GTTTTCAGACAAGAAATAGCATCAGTTTATAACTGATAAAACTTTAGCTTTATCCTAATGGAAAAAATATTTTTTAACTACATAAAAATAACTTGACACAACTATTTTAAGATTTTTTTTTCTTGTGTTTTGAAGTTTTAATTAGAAATCAGACTTAAAAGATAAATCACTGGAATTTTCTCTTGCTTGCCTCTCAGGGCTCCTGTACAGAGTGCAACTTACTACTTTCACTTAAATTGTTTTGAAGAGTTAAACTTATTTAAAGTATATTTGGCTAATAATGTTTATGTACGTTCATTTGAGTTGTAGTTTAAATGCAGGGCTTCTTTTTTAAATAGATCAAAAAAGTCATTAATGTGTTCATTCCTTTTGCAGCTCTGCTTTTTGTCATGTATTAACGAATGGCGACTTCAAAATAAAACCCAGTTCACCGTGATAATGTTTTTTATCTGACACCTACAGGGTTGACCCACAGGGACCGGACGGTGCTGCACTGTCAGTTCTGTGGGAAAAGAGGCCACGCCCACAACTTCATGAGGTCCAAACGCTTCTGCTCCACGTCCTGTGCACGCGGGTGAGACCTTGGTTCATTGACTCGAGTGCAAAAAGCAGCCCTTTGTTCTGTGTGACCTGAAGACATTGTTTCTGAGATGCAGTTTTGTTTTTCTGGTGTTTCTGAAACCCAGTGCTGACAGGATGTGGTGTGTGGCCTATGAACAGAAACACACACAGGTGTTAGCAGCAGATATGAGCGTGGATCAAAGCATCAGAACAAGGAAATAACGCCTCATCTGTCATCTGCTCCCCCCCCCCTCTCTCTCTCTCTCTCTCTCTCTCTCTCTCTCTGCCCTTTTTCTCTCTCCTCATCTCTCTGTGGCAGGTTCAATGTTCGTCTGACTAAGCGTCTGCGAGCTCTGAGTGCAGGGAGTCGGTCAGAGAGGCCACGCCCTGTTCTGAACAGGGCGGAGTCTGTTCCTGGGAAACCACTGTTGCTGCGGCTGGTAGGGACCCTGAACTAACCATCCCCACACACTGAACAAACCTCACTACACTTTCCCAGGAGCTTACTTTCCTGTTGCTCTGAGAACACTACTGCTACTTTTAGAAGAAAGCGTTTGGTAAAAGAGAATATGAAAAAGCTGTTAAACCTGAAACTAAAAAGTAGCTACTAATCTAATTTTTTCTGAGTACTAACTATAAAGTCAGAAGCCAGTAGGGGAAGCTCCCCAATACACTGTTGCTTTATATCGTGTATTATTTAAACATAATCAACTTCCCACAGTATTTTATTAGTCATGGAAGTAATGATAGGTAACTGCCAACACATGATGTAACAGTTCGAGTTTCCATGTGTTAAGAGGACCTATGGAAATTAAAACTCACCCTGAAGAAAACATGAATTTCTCTGGTGTATTTGGATTATAGGTTGATGGTGAAATACAGCCTCCTGTGGCCATTAGGAGTATTACACCAACAAACACTTTTTTTTTCTTTTTTCTTTTTCACTTGTCAATGCTTTTTTCTTCATGAGCTGTCACAGACACACACACAAAAACAAAACAAAAAATGATCAAGGCTAACTTGTTTTATAATTCATTGACCCCTTTTTGCTATTACTTTCTCAACGTAGAAAAAAATAATACATAATAATACATAATACAACTATTTCACTTTTTCTTCCGTCATAGATCAGACCTAGATAATGGATCACCAGAATTGTTTTTCTTACTTGCCTCCCGGTATTCCAGACAGGAGACATTTTTCAGCAAATAAACTAATTTTATTTTGAGTGATATTTAAGGCATATTTATCTGTTAACACTTTTGTACATTTAATGTAATTGTGTTTTAATTGTAGGACTTTAACTTGAAATAAAAGAGTTTTACATAGTTGCATTAATAACACATATATTGAAACATTTAAGAAGTACAAGTTTTAAACCCCTTCATCCTCACATATAAAACAAATTGACGAACTCACCTGTTTGATCAGGGCCGACATATTCATTTCTTCTTTTTTCTCGTGTGTCCCTTTTAGCCTCGTGATCTGTGGAGCGCCGGTCGGCGGGAGAAGGAGGGAAAGGAGAAGGCAGCGGCTGCAGAGGACGAAGAGGAGGAGGACGATGAGGAGGAAGACATGGAGGCAGGAGCGGAGGAGGAAGAAGAAGAAGACGACGGTGGAGAGGAGGATCCAGCTGTTGCCATGACAGCCAGGATGGAGCGCCGGGCGGTCCGGAGAGGGAGGAGGGCGTCTGCACCAGCCCTGACCTCCTCCTCCTCCACACCCACGACCACGTTTAAACCCGCCATCTCCCAGTGGAGCGTGGAGGAGGTGACGGCCTTCATACACACCCTGCCAGGTAGACACACACACACACACACACAAAAACACACACAGCACACACAAGAAGATATCAGACAACATCTCACATGTGGAGATTCCTGAAAACTGGCAGTCTCTGTCAAAGTTGTCAGTTTGATTTATAAATACATTGAAGCGACTTAATTGTCAGCAGATGATGGGGGGCTCCTTACCCAATACAGTGTTTCGCAAATCATTAAAATTAACTGCTGAGTGTCCTCATGTGCATACTTTTAACCACAAACTGTCAGTGTGAGTAACGTCACTGTGAACATGCTGAAGAAAACAGAAACACCGTGAAAGTTCGAGTGACATTCCCAAACTCAGTCTGAAAGGTTCACTTCAGAAAGATATGGTTTTATGGTGAGAGATTTTCAGATATAATCCGGGTTAAAGGAGCACTGTTAGAACCAGATTGCAGAGCATTCATTTAGTTGTCTTCATTGGTCAACCCAGGAGGGAAATCACTTCATGCATGTTAAGAGGAATCTGACGGCCAATTTGTGGGCGCTGCCATCTAGCGGGATTAAACAATAAACAGCTGCTGATGAAGGAACCTTAATGAGACGATTTTCACGTTATTGAGATTTTACTTATTGAACATTGTTTATAACAAAAACCTGATTACATAATGAAGAAGAAAAACTCAACCATCAGCCACATATTTATGATGAAGGGCTTTGTTTTACAAGCTAGTTATCTTAGGCTGGCGATTATCTTTACAGCTCCTGATCGAGTCAGCGCCTCCCAGATCTGGAATCCCCCATGTTTTTTTTTTTTTCAGATTGGTCAAGATTTGAAAGTCGTCTCGTGCGTAGCCATCCTTAATCAGTTAACAGCTGCATTTAATATCAAATACTAGTTGCACTGAGAAATACATTTCTTAAGATATTCATTATAGCTGGTCTTCAAAGATTAAACGCAGCTCTTACCGGATTATGACTCGAGTACATGAATAGAAGATCATCAACTTCTAAACACCATCTACAAGAGCAGGAGCCGGTTAAAATGGAATGGATTTTCTCAAAGCTCCAGAATCTTTTTAAAATTCATTAAAAGAAAATATATTTTTTTAAATAGCTCATTCATATTTAAATCATTTATATTTTTGTGTCATTAAACGCTACCACAATACTACTACAGATATGGTCTTAATTTTATCAACAGGTTCCACTTTCACTTAAAATATATTTTGGAAAACATTTTTCACCCCATAACAATATTTGACGGAATCTCAAACTTTTGAAGTGAAAAAAGGGATTGATAGGGATATAGTGTTTACTTCTGACTGACAAAATGAGCTGCACCTTTTGCTTCACGGTCAAAAACCACTACCTCTGACAGTGACTTTACTGAGCTGCACTCAAGCACCCACCATCAGTACTAAAACAACAATAAAATGTTCATATAAGATGCCGATGTGTTGGCACTTACAGTTTGTGTCTTGCTGTCTTTCAGGCTGCAGTGATGTGGCTGAGGCTTTCCGTCTGCAGGAGATTGACGGTCAGGCTCTGCTGCTGCTGACCGAGGACCATCTGATGACCAGCATGAACATCAAACTGGGACCAGCTCTCAAGATCTGCGCTCACATCAACTCACTGAAAAACCAGTGAGCACACAGACAGAAGGATGCAGAGAAGAAACAGAGAAATTTGAAGGCAAACTGACAACAAAAACATGGAAAAAAAGAAGGAAGGAAAATCAAAAGCTGACACCAAGGATGACAGAACAAAGTCACAAAAAGGGTTAAAGGTAATTTATGAGATTAAAAATCGAGGAGTGGCCTTAGAGGAGGTTAAAGAAGCATGAAGACACCAGAGTCCAGAGGAAGATTCATCATTTTTTGTCCCTCCGACTGTAGCAGGAGAGCGGGGGTGTTTTTGTAACTTTGTGTACATTTTACATGCAGCTGGAGAGTGTACATTTGAAGCTATTTCATGAAGGATTTTGAACATTTAATATATAAATTTGTCTATTTAGTTTTTTTAGAACGTGACGTCAATGACAAAAATATCCAGTAGCTAACATAACCAGTGTGTGTAAAAAAAAACAATAATAATAATGATGATGATAGGTAGACTTTGTAAGTGATTAATGAAAGTTTAATGTTTTATATCACTATATTCTGGACAAAACATGTCTGTGGATTAAAAAAGTCACTATCAGGGTAGAGACTGGTGTCTTTAATCGTCACATTTTTATGGTATCCTGCTTGAAATTATTTAATAAATGAATAATTAATCAAAATGTATTGTTTATCTTACTGTTTGAATTCAATTGAGGCTGTTTGATATGAGGAAGGCGACCAGCAGGGGGCGTCAGTGAGCCAGGTGAGTGATTTTAAACTTAAGAAAACTGGATTTGGATTCATCACCTCCAGACCCGATCTAAAAACCTCTCATTTGCGCATGCGTACAGGTCAGTGAGTATCTGCTGAGTCTCTGATGGAGTTGGTATGCCTGTATCTCTGTGTCTGGTTTAGGTTAGGATCTCACACGCGCTCTGATTGGCTCAGACGTTAACTGTTAGGTTTGTTTTTTACCACACCCGATGATAAATCTTATTCTAGGCGTTTTATCTGCTGATCAGTCTGGGGCGCACTGACGGGACGCAGTTGGATTATTTTTCAATTTTATACTTTTCTGAGCTCAAACTCAATCAAAAACAAAACTTTATTAGTTTAATCCGAGATCTTTCGTGGAATTTTGTTTTTATTTATATTTTATAAACTAACGAGGAAAAAAACAAAAACTCCGATTTTACATTTTTTATCCTCTGTTGAAACAAACTAAATATTGTTATCCATACATCTCCAAAAGATAAGGAAGAAACATCTAAACACTGCGACCTGTTTTAAAAAAAACTTTTGATTATTCTTTTTCGCTGCGTAAAAACGCACAGCGGCTCCATGGCGCACATGTGCAGACAGATCGTTGGCAGCGCAGCGAGCTGCGCGGGCTGGGTGGGGATCATCGTCGCCACGGCCACCAACGACTGGGTCCGGACCTGTGACTACACGGTGGCCACGTGTGTCCGTATGGAAGAGCTGGGCTCGCGGGGTCTGTGGGCGCAGTGCGTAATCTCTCCTGCGCTTTATCACTGCGTGGACATCAACCAGATCCTCACCCTGCCCGGTGAGACAGAGGAGGAGAGGGGGGTGACTCATGACTTATCCTTACTATAATTTCATATATTTAAATAACTGTTTGTGTGTACAGTCATTAGGGGGATTTTTCTTTACGACCCATAATGCATTGTTCTGTTTCATGAGAGGGAAACTTAAGAGATGTGTAGTATTGATTTTTGGTGACTTTTTTTTAACGTCTACACTTCGTCTATGCTATCTAATTTTCTTACCTGTAAATGGAAATTTTGTCTTCCCTCTATCAAGGAGAACCCATAACCTGCTGAATGTTCATTCTAGATATAAGAACTCCTCTCAAAAAAATTGTTTAAGTACAACACATTTTAAATAGTACAGTTACATCTAAACATATTTTAAGAGCTTTTAGTCTCTGACAAAAGAGCTTCTTTATTTTTATTGGCTCCCTCCTCTGCACACAGATGTGGAATGCAGAACATATACTGATGCTCTGTGCTGAAGTAGGTATTTGTACTTGAATTGAATATTTAAACTTTATCCAATCCTGTACTTTTACTCGAAACTTTGATTCGCAGTTAGTCATTTATCTCAAACTTTTAAATACTCGTTTCTGTCTAGATGTGGGTTTTTGATTGTTTGTTATTATCAGGGTAAAGATGAATACATATTCATGCAGCAGTGTTAAGTGAGATTTAGAACCCATGACTTGACTGCGCATGTGTGTAGATTCCTGACTGTTCTCAACTGCTTGGTCGAGACCCCAAAGTGGGTCCGGAGCCTTTTCCAATGGGTCGCAAATGTGTGCCTGGAAGAAATTAGTCAAAAAGTCTGTGAAGACATTTTTCAAACAGGTTTGATTTTCATAAAATAAATCTGATGTCAGGAAATTGAATCAACATTTCTCATGAAGGATCTGGTGGTGGGTCCTGGGGCTAGACCAGTTGAGAACCTCTGAAATGTGTAAAAAAACGAGTAAACACATGCTTCTGTTGTATCTCTCTCTCAGCTTACATCCAGACATCTCGCGCTCTGATGATCTGTGCATGTCTGCTCGGCCTACCTGCAATGCTGCAGGTGCTCATGTCGATGCCCTGCGTCAGGCTGCAGAATGACACCGCCGCCATCAAGCAGCGCCGGGCTCGGATAGGAGGCGTCCTGTTCCTCCTTATGGGTAAGGAAAGACACACTGCACAAAAACTTTTGCAACATTTCAAAAACATTGCCAACATGTTTGTGCAATTCAAACAGTGTGCAGGATGACGTCCAATTCCTTTTGTTGGAGTCCTACAGTGGATTTACATTTTTTTTGATGAGGGATTTTTTGGAAATTAGGAGACAATGCTTTTATATATTTTTTTTAATGATTCTGGTTTTAGAGCAGAGTGGCATGAGGATGTGCATTTGTCTGGTTGTTCTCAGCTTTTTTTGGAGGGTGGAGAGGTAAGGAGGGTCATGGTCTGTCAGACTAAACCTCACCCTGACTGGGTTCATCCATCAGACTGGCCTGTTTCCTGTTGGCAGAGACCGGTACTTCCTGTCAACAGCCTCAGGGATGGGCAGCCAGATGGTTCCAGACTCCAACAGAAACTCATGCAACTTTCGATCCATATATAACTTCATTTCTTGCCTTCTTTTTCTCTTTCATCTTTAAAACCCTCTTCTGTGTCTCCTGTATTGTCTGTTGCAGCTGTGTTTGGCATCATATCCACCGTCTGGTTCCCGATCGGCGCTCACCAGGACGAAGGCCTCATGTCGTTTGGTTTCTCGTTGTACGCCGGCTGGGTTGGTTCTGCCCTCTGCCTCATGGGCGGCTCCATGATCTTGTGCTGCCATGGCGTCGACCCCGGGACCCCAAGCAGAGACAACAGCTTCTACTTCTCCAGACAGCGGGGCACGGCCACGCCGCTGGACCCACCCGCCAACCATGCCAAGAGTGCAAGAGTGTGAAGATTGATTATAGACTGTGTAGACTGTCATAATCAAGTCTGATATTTCTTTTTCTGCATTTAGCGTATTGAGACATATTTGGGAGTGATTCATAATTTCCGTGCATAGAGCCATGATAACAGTTTTTTTTACCAGCCATTTGTTAGGACAAATATTTTGTGACATTTATCCCTAAATTCCTTTACGATAAGCTTAAGAGCCACACTTGTATGATCCTTTTCCTCTAGTCAAATTTTGCAACTCAAGCAAGCTTTTGGTTTACATCAAAAGAATATTCAGGGAACCAAAAGGTTCCTTAAGCCCCATTCTGTCTGTTGCTATGTCTCATTCAGTGGGCTGCATCCTTCAAAGGACTAAGTAAGACAGTCTGGACTACAGAAAATTACTTGTTTGTATCACCAGCTGTGACGGTATTACACTTTATTTTTCTAAGCGTCACCCTATTCACCTAGCAACCTCCACATCTGCCCCGGAACTAAGAGAAGCTTCACCTTTATTCATCCTACAACGGAGACATTTAGTGTTATCGCAGCAAAGAGCAAGGACAGACAAAAAAAAAGAGCACACAGTGCACAACCAAGTATATGAAGAATTAGTAAACATATCTAATGTCTCGTAACTAAACTATCAATATTAAAGATAATCTGTAGTTTTAAGGCCCCCGTTTTTTTTAACAATGGTATTAGTATCTATTTGATTGAGTTGAAACCAGCTACATACATTAAAAAGTGTGTTACTCGACCACTTCAGAGTCTACCAGCTCGTTTGAATTGATGCGATGAATCTCCGTATATGTTAGTCCAGGAAGGATGCAGCAGATGAATCCGAGACAGACTTCAACTAACCTCTATGATGCGAACGGTCTTCAAAAGCTCACTCCAAAGGATGCATCCCCTGGATTTGGACATGCATAGTATTTCAAACGTTTCTTAAGACTGAAAGAAAAAACACAAATTAGTCTACAGACATTTAAAAGGGACAGCTGTTTTTACCTATAGTTTTTTTTTTCTACACAACAAAAGCATCATTATTGGCACTATATTCATTTCAATAAAATGCTCAGAAATATTCTTTAGGGCTTGGACTTCATTTTCCTCCATCTGTTGTACAATTTCATCTGTAACTGCATCAGTTTGTCAACAACAAGAAATACGTTACTTTGTGGCTTAAAATGTCTAAAATGGCAGCTGAAAAAAAAAGACAACCAATCAGAATCATTCAATGATGGAAGCAACACCCCCAAATGTTCCTGCACTTTTTGGAAACCCTGGTTCTTTGTTCTTTGAATTGAAATCGCACAGAGTTCCTCTAAAGGTTCCCCGTCCCTGGGGAAAGTTCCTGCAGTGGAAATGCGGCTTTTGTTTGAAAATCAAATAACAGAAATAGCTTTCATCGAAGGCGCAGTCCAATTTGTTCGGAGATGTGTGCAGTTTTACAGATTTCATGCTACTGTTGCTGTCCACCATTGTAGCAACTAAATGCCTCAACTTTTTTATTTAATGGTCTTCTTGTATATTCTTCACAAGCTTAAATACCAAACTACGACTGTTGTACTTTAGATCATGTGTTTGAAAGTCTTTATCCTCCTTAACATGTACCGATCTGCATATTTCTTTTTGAATAGTTTTCTTTTCCATTGTTGGTAACATCATGTGACGTTGAGCTTCTTTAAATAAGATTACAACAAAAAGTATATTTTAAAAGCATTAAAAAACAACTCAAATGTATATCTCCTCTGTGAGCATCTTGGTGATCATATTATGCCCCTAAATTAATGCATAAATAGCTTCTTTTGCAACAATACACAGTTGTTTCACTCTCCTCAGGCAGGAAGGGAAATGTTCAGAGTTCATATTTTGGTCCCTTGCACGTTTAAGTGACCCTTTATAAAACTGACTTGAAGTAAATCATGTCCGGTCATGAGAATTATATTGCATCAGCACTATGTTGAAATAAGTGCCTAAAGGATTTTGTAGACCTATTTACACAACACATTCATTTAATTTGTTTTCTTTTTTTTTTTGCGTCTTAGACATTCTTGATTTGAAAACAGCAGCTTTAGTCATTTTAATTTTGATGACTTCTGTTCTATTGGTGATTATCTGACTTTAAATTGCATGAACACATTTCTGAAGTTTAAACTGAAGCACATAGATTGAGTAATTTTGGTTTGATATAACCTGCTCTTGTTAAACTGCATTTCTTTTTGCATCTTGCTCCATATTTACTCTAATATATATATCTGTATGGTCAGATTTTTAGATGACGCTACCAGTAAGACCATTTTTAAATAAATCTCTAAATAAATAAATAAATTCACTCCAAATGAGAAATTTATTCCGACAACAAAAAATAAATATAACACTTATCCTCATGAACACACATCAACACAACCCTTTTGTTTTTGCTGCAGCCCCTGAGTCGAGCAAATCCTCCTTTACTGTAAAAACCATTCACTCAAACAAGAAACACAAACTTTAAATGAACTGTCAGGGCTTCAAAACGCTGTCATGAGGAATATAAAGAGATGCAATGAACAGTAACAGTCTGTTTGCAATATGCTAAAGTACGAAAACATATCAAAGCTACATTATGAAACATATCTGACACTTTTTTTTACTTTAACTGTTTCACAATGTTAGCCATGTGTTTCTTCTTGTCACCTGTATTTACCTGAAGCACCAATACTCATAAAATGCATCAGTGTGAAATGACTCGATGGTGATTTCACGACTCTTTTAGATGATGGTATAAGAGTCAGTGGTGAGGCATGTCACCTGCAAGTGTTTGAACAAAGTGTTTGATACTTTGATACTATTTCAATACCAATGTGTTTCATTATGATGCAATCTTTGTTTTTTTTAAGTATGGACAGTATTGGAAAAGTACCAAAGCTTTAAAAAAAAAAAACTACATCTGTTTCATAACATGTGCTTTGCACACCTGCACATATGGAAAAGTTGTCAATAAATTCTACAATTTAGACAGTGTGAAGGAGTTTGTCTGTAATCTTTGCTCATTATTTTTGTTGTTGTTCTTGGTTTGAGTCCTTTAAGTATTGAGCTTCACAGATTAGTTAAGATCCTAACTTTGATTCAAAGGTTCATTCTTTCTGATACAAAAGAGCTCTTCAGTGTAACTGTGAAAAAAGCTCCTCTGCAGCTGCTGCAGCCATCTTACATGATCTCTGAGGTGGGAGGTGTCCGTTACTGGATCCACTCCTCCACCTTCATCGCTAAACTCCAAAAAAGATGTTCCTCCCAAGCAGACAAAGGTATGAATATGACTATGATCGCCATGTAGATTATTTGAGTCAGTGTCTTATGCAGGAGGCACTTTCAAAGTTTTCTTAATTTATTCATAATTTCAGATTTTTTCGTTTCAAGAGGGGAAAAATCAGGAAGTATCAGTCCTCTTCTTCATCTGCATCAAAGCCATGATTGGTCCGTCCTGTCGTCCTGCCTCCTCTGCTCTCATACTGGTCTCCTGGTGCAGACTGGTACCCATACTGGTCCCCAGTGACTTCATACTGGCTCGGATGCTGCTCGCCATCCAGGTCCTCGTATTGCTTCTCCTGCTGGTTCGGGTGTCCGCTCTCCTCTGGAGCAGACCAGCCCTGGTAGGGTTTCTCCTCCTGGTCCTGGGGGTGAAAGTTGTCATCGGGGGAGAAGGTGTCGTCAAGGTGGTCGTCGTAGCGCTGGTAGGAGCTGGCGTGCGCCTGCTGCTCCCGGGCATTCATCTCCAGCGTGCTGTGCCACACTCCGTAACAACCGTAGATCAACAAACCTACAGACGGACACATGGTTACCATTAAAGACAGAGCCTGAGAGGGATAGAAAGCAGGTAAAGATGCCAGGTAGAGAAACCGTCCAGCTGGAAGGATTTATACCAGAGAGCCGGAAACTTTTCCCTTTCTTCTTCAGCTGTGACACAACTGCAGAACTAATGCAAAACAAAGAGTAGTTGTGCAGTTTCTTCTTCTCTCTGCTGTCTCAATAAAAAGAGAAAAACCTGTCATCCAAATCTACATCCACTTTTATACTTTACCTACTAGTTTGCAATGATTTCTCAAAACTAAAAGGATAGAAACATTTCCATTTTTTCATGTTTAGCAATGTTAGCAAACTGCAAATTCATCAGTAGTATACTTGTCGAGATTAAAACTACTTTACAACGATCGGATCAAGTACAAAACATTTTTGGTGTACAGAAAAGAAACTCAATGGATTCAGTGATTTGGAGAACAAGAGAAAGTAAAAGGAAGAGCTGAATCAGCATGAATGATGGACAAAAAACTAAAAATAAGCACAGTACAAATCTTCAGTCTACTCCAACCACATGCCAAACCAGGTGTTCAGTAGAGCCTCTTTAAAGGGGAATTTAGGTGTTTTTATACTTCAACATATTTTGGGGTCTATATCAGTAATAGTTACAGAAGTGTTGAATGGTAGATTACTTCAGCTGATGGACGTGACACAGGCTGTTACAGCTGCAATGTAAACCTTTGTGGCAAATGTGCAAGATCAAATAACACTTACTACAACTTCTTGTTTTTGCCACTAGCAGGCTCGGATTAATATTTTTAGAGCCTGAAAACATTACTGAAAGGAGCCCTACAAAGGGGCCCTACGGAGATAAAGACTTTAAGTAAATGTTTTACTGTAGGACTATCAACTGCTTATATTTAAACTTAATGGTTCTGATCAAATCCATAAAGAATGATTCGTCTCACCTATGAAGCACCAGACAGTGAACCTGGCCCAGGTGAGAGGAGACAGTTTGAGCATGAGGTAGCTGTTGACCAATATGGCTGCCGCAGGGACGAAAGGCACACAGGGCGCCATGTAGGGCAGTCTCCTCCCACTCTCTGGCTGCTGTATGATCGTAATTAAAAGCTTCACCCAAGACCCCGCCATCAATGTGGCCATGAGGCCTGAAAACACCGCCCCAGCACCTGCTCCCTGCTCAACGCCAAAAATAACAGTGGACCAGAGGAAGAAGGACGTGAAGAAGAGGAGGAGGGTACAACGGGTCACTATGCGACCGGTGGCAGGGGTGGGACGAGCTGATGCATCTGGAATCCCCAGCCGCAGCCGCAGGGTATAGTAATGACCTCCCAGAAGCCTTTTTAGCAAAGAGGCGTGGCCTGTGTGGAATTCCGAGTCATCTCCTTCTCCTTCAGTCCCTCCGGCGTGGTAAGACGTCGAGCCATCACCGTCCGCACCTCCAATCAACATCTGGTCGTCTTTAGTGGGGACAGCTCCATCATTCTGGTGATTCAGGCCGTCCATGTCATCCTGGGAGGTAAACTGGTGTGTGTCCGTCTGTTCGTCAGGCTGGTATCGCAGTAAAAGAACACACACACTGACCAGAGTGTAAGCGAGCAGGGTGCCGATGGACATCATCTCGATCAGGTCTCTGAGGCTCACCAGCAGAGCAAGGAGGGCCGCAAAGCTCCCCGACACCACACACGCCACAGCGGGGGTGTGTGTGAGCGATGACACATGTGACAAGAACCTAGAGAGACATTCAGCCAAAGGTTAACAAGGAACAAACCACAACCCCTACCTGTGTTCGAGTGTGTTCTTACCTGAAGAGCAGTCCGTCCCTGGACATGGCGTAGATGACTCTGGGCATGGGGAACAAAGAGCCGAGCAGAGAGACGGTGAGTCCGGCTATAGAGCCCACAGCCACCGTGTATTTTCCCCACAGGAAGCCGTGCACCTCAAACATCTCCATGAGAGGGGCAGAGCCGTCTATCAGGTTGTAAGGAACCATGAGAGTCAGGATCACGCTCACCTGCGGAGAGAAAGGGTGCAGAGCCGATGAATTATTGTCGTTTTACAAGTGCTGGACTAAAGGACAAAGCTATCCAGTATAAAAATAAAAAAACACTCTTAGACTTTCTCTTTCTGTGCATTGTTTAATAAATAATTATATATTAATGGAACATCTTTGTATGTTTGAAGTACTTTTGGCTCCAAAAATGAAGATAGTGAAGGCCTGAATGTTTAGCTTAAGGCTCCAAAGCAGTAACCAACAAATAGAAACGTAGCAAAGAAAAGAGATGACATACTCTATAAATCTTGAGGGAAATTCAGTTTTTCTCTCTGTTATTGGACACACACATACAGTAGGTCAGAAAAACGCACACATGCACAAACTGTGGACATCCACTAACGGAGAGATTTCAGAGTGAGGGGTTTTATGTGAAAGGGCACCTCTGCAGTGTCGGGATGTAGACATCTCTCCAGCAACCAGACACATTTCCGTAATTCGTTCTGTACTAGATCTTGAGCCAGGGACCCTCTGATTCCCATATGACTCACAGGTGGACACATTGTAGCTGTTTGCCAGGAGTGTTAAGCCTCATCTGCGCCTCTTAATTAACCGAAAGTGAGCCTAAGGTCAGCCTTTCCAATATGGCACCGCCAAAATTTGAGCTTCAAAACCCCTCTTCAGAAATCAGTGGGTGATGTCACTGAGGCTACACATCCATGTCCGAATTTTGTAAAGAAATTAAAAATGTTCTGCAACCATAGACACGCAAAAGCCGCGTACTGACCGACACGTAGGCAGTGAGGCAGGTGACCAGTGAGGCGGTGATGGCGTACGGGATGGAGGTGTTTGGGCTCTTCGCCTCTTCTCCTGTCGTTGCGATGATGTCAAAGCCGATAAAGGCGTAGAAGCAAGTAGCTGCCCCTTGCATCACCTGAACAACAACAAGAGTTTCCAAAAACCTGTTATTGTGTACATCAAGAACTGTTAAGACTGATTTTAATATCATTATGAAAGCAGTTTGGGGATTTTAACTAGAACAATTACAACCAAGCTGAGTAGATATCTCACCCCTGACCAGCCGTAAGGCAGGAACTTTCCACTCTCCCAGTTGCTGGCGGAGAGGAAAAAGAGCCCCGCAATGACCATGAAGACCCACACCACAAGGTTGACCACATTGAGGATGTTGTTGAACCCCACTGTGTTACGAACCCCGAGAGCAATAATCACTGTGACCAGCAGTACGATAAACAGGGCAAAAGGTCAGGGTACGTGTCCTCCCCTTTACCTGAGACAAACAGACATACCAGGACCATTTGAGTTTAAAAAAAGATCCAGATTCAGACTGTTTTAATCAATAGGCGATACATTAATGAGCTAGTGAATGTTAAACATATTGATGGTACTGACCGAGTCCTCTGATCGTGCCCAGGTGAGTTATCATGTAGTTACTGATGCTGTGATTGGCCAGAGAGTCGAACATGCTGCTGAGAGCCGACGCCCCCGCCGCTGTGCCGATCAGATACTCCAGGATCAGGTTCCATCCGATGAAAAAGGCCACAAACTCCCCTACTGTCACATAGCTGTAGGTGTAGGCCGAGCCGGTCGTCTTTGGGACCCGGACTCCAAACTCTGCATAGCAGACACCTTCAGATGAAAACACAGAGGTATAAGGTTGTAAGACGACTAAACTGTGATTACAATGAATTAACAAATCAGCAACTGAACATTCAGTCTGTTCTGTTAATTTACTAAATCATTTAGTTTGTTTGTCATGTTCTATCTTTTCCTCAATTCCCAAAGTTAATGTCATTTTATTTACCCATAAGTCATTTATTATTGGTGCAAGTAGAAAAGGCTCAGCTTATACATCCTATTGAAGTTCTGCTCTTGATGAGGGGAAAAAAAACAAAAAAGAGGGCAAACTTTGATGATTTGACCGGTGACAACAACATAAGCTGAAATGTAGTTTCTGCATGGAGGACCGAGAAAAAGTTCAAAAGAGTATTTCTCTGGTCTTAAAATACGTGCATTCCCCAGGAGTGCATAAATCATTAAGATATTATTTACATTTTCCAAAAATGTTTCTTCCTCATGAGCCACGGAGCTTAATCTTAAAAAAAAAAAAGGATTAAGAAACTTGAACATTCAAGCTTTTTTTTCATTTTGAACATTAACTGTATTAAACATGGACAAACTCTCACAAGGTCACCCGCTGGTTTCTCAATAGGTGTTTGAAGCCAAACGATGGTGGTCGCCATATTGGATACTGACTAAACCTAACTTTAAACTTCTCGAAACAATGTGCCTGACTGTCAGAGAAAAAAGCTGTGCCACTAATTAATTTATCAGCACCTGTCAGGTAAATGTAGCTCATAAAAAGTGGAATGAGAGGCTTTTAACTTGTAAATGACACAAATACACTTGTTTAAATTTACACAGGCTTGTATCAGAAAGCGACAGACAGAATGTTCTTCTTTGCGTTTCCAGACTTTTAGACCTATTAAGTGTTACTCTTCGGAAATGTACAACAAAGATCTTCCTCAGTACAGTTCCAGAGTAAATCAATGTATTCTCCACCTCGTGTCAATCAATGTTTTGTCTCACCTGACAGTATTGAGGCCACAGCAGCAATGATAAAAGACAGGATGACTCCAGGACCAGCCATCGCCTTAGCAACCAGCCCGGCGACCACGTACATCCCTGTGCCAACGCAGCTGCCCACCCCGAGCGACACCAGGTCCACTGTGGTCAGGACCTTGGCGAGCCCGACCCCTGAGCCTTCTGCAAGCTCGGTAAGGTCGTCAGAGCTCTGAGCCATGGAGCCCACAGGTTTGGTCCTCAGGAGGCGAGAGTACATGTTGTACCAGGCGTCGCCCAGAGAGAGCCGGCTGAGCCACGTCGCCATCACCGCACCGTCTGTTACCTGTTTATATGTGTGTGTGTCTGTGACCTTCTACTGTTTCTCTGACATTCCCTCTTTCATTCTTTCACTCTCATGGTTTAGACTTATTCCTCAGGAGCCACAAATCCAACAAAGGACAAAAACTGTAGAAGGCATAGATGTAAAAATTATTCAGATTGTTTACTGATGTAAACATGTCAATAAAACAAGGAAAAATATACCATTAACTTTCTTATATTAAAGTTTACAGACAACAAATCTGCAACAGTAAATTTAGCTGCTACATTAATATATTTGACCAAGTAGTTTTTTTTTGTTTTTTTTTTACGTTTTAGAAACATCTGCAACTAAAACTGTCCTCAAAGCCACGTCCTCACTGCAATCACTTAATTTCAGAGGAGGATTCTTATATGTTTTGTTTGGTCAAAAATGTGAAACTTAAGAATGCAAAATCTAAAGAACATACTTGTATCTGCCTACATTTTTTATGTGATAATGTGTATTGTCCAATTAAATCCTCCTCTCCTGTCTCCAGGTCAGGACTGCTGCTCAGAGAACCTTTTAATACTTAGAATATAACGCCATTCAACCATGAACACCTGCTTTTAAATAAGTGGCTGATATCATGCAAGTAGGCCTGATGATGTTAGCCTGCAGGGGAAGATGGGATACCATCAGCTGTTTCTTTCACTCACTAGAGCGAGACTCCCTCTCTGAAACATTAATGAAGACCAAAAAGATCTGATTTCACAACGGAAAGGTACGACTGTGAAGCCAAAACTGAAAAATTAAAACACATGAATGACTTCCACAAGTCTGAATTTACCTCCTAACTACGCAAAAGGCATGAAATCAAAAACCTGAATTGGAATCAAACACTGATTAACATCAACAGGTTGAATTTCTCAGAGAGAAAACCTCAGAGGCTTTTCTCACTGTTGCACAAAGATTCTGATAAAACCACCGGAATGTAGATTAGAGAACACATCTGAGGAGACAGGTAAACACTCACCTGTTGTTCTTCTGTGTATGTTGAGTCCACGTCCTCTACAGAGCTGCAGGAAATAATGACGAGAGGAGACGGCAACTTTAATCATTCAGACCTGACACCATGTGACCCGGCTGATACATTATTCAACACGAGGCTGAGCAAGTGTGTGTGTGTGTGTGTGTGTGTGTGTGTGTGTGTGTGTGTATAGCTACTGCCATCATTCATTTATTGAAGGGAGGATAGAAGCAGTTTATTTTTTGCAGCAGATTAAATCGGTGACGTTTCTTTACTTTTTGTGTGTACAAGGCTGGGAACTGACCAGATGTTTGTGTGAGAAAAAGAGAAAAAGAAAGAGCGAGAGAGTGAGAGGGACTGTGTGTGTTTGTGCGTGTGTGTTTGTGCAATTATTCAATAAAGTACAAGTGAATATTATTAACCAAACAGACAAAAATGTGTTTAAACACATCGATTCTTATGAGGGTCATTTTTGACCCCCTTATGGTCTGATTACTTCTGAGTGCATCTATGGGTCAAAACATCCATTCGTCAATACTCAATCAAATATTGGGGATTCATCTTGTGGAATTAATATGTGGAAAAAAATTAATCGGTCTAGTTCAGTGGTTCTCAACTGGTGGGTTGGGACCCAAAGGTGGGTCGTTGGGTTGTTTTCAGTGGGTCATGGACCAGATGAATGCCACACGTCTAGCTCTAAGTGGAGAATTCCTACTGGTTGAGTACCACTACAAATGGCTTAGTGTTTCCTTTCATCCATTTGACTTCCTGATGAAGTCTTAATGCTGAAATACGTTGAAGTTGGAATTCTTTAGGCAGGCCCAGTTGAGTTGCTCTAGGTCATCGATTGTAAGTCAAGACCTGATGTAAAAAGAATGATTCAGAAGTGGCGGACGAAGCAACAGAGTCCGCTATAGGAATATTTGACTTCATATCGATGTAATTTGACAGAATCAATACCAACAAAAGAGCTAAGAAAACATACTGGGGAACAGAAAGCAGCAGTTTGATTACGCTCACAAAGATCATAGCAGTCGCGTGCATTGTTGTTCACCAATCGCAGGGAATGAATGTCACTCCCCCTTTTATATTTCAATATATTAAACTTTATGGATTTAAAATGAATCCTTACCAACATGTGCACAGTGTATGGTTGTAAGCTGTTTGCATGTATGTGTTGTGTTGTTATCGGTTCGTAATCGGATACGCAGAGTCAGATTACCTGCAGACGTTGTAACATAATGCATACAGCAAAACCAGACTCATTTTCTTTACACAAGCTTTTTTTTTACTGACAGTTTTAAGGAGAAAACAGGGAATATTTCTGTCCAAACCCTGAGCTCAAAGTGCTTTCATTTGCTTCATCTGTTGGCAGAAACCTTCAGCACCAAATAGGATCTGGTTGATACAACTGCCAGGTATGAGAGAGCTCTGATCATGTCGGATTTTTGGTAGATAATCAGATCCAGTTAGCAGCAGTCAGACCTGTAATATCTCTGAATTGGACCAGAATACAAGTGTATTTAGAAGCATTATTCACCATGCATGATATTAATATGAGGCTGTTTGACAGAGTTGTCGTTTGTGTGTGTAATCACTTCTCTCTCAGTCTTTTTTCATGGCTCTAGGTCTCTTAAGGGTCTTAAAAATCCTCCTCACTCCTCCTCCCAGTTTCTCACCTTAGGACCTTTCTTAAGGGCCTAGATGTTCTGTGAATTACTTGTATCTTTACCAGGGTCCAGTCTATATCTTTGAGGGGAAATTCTTCGAAAACGTCAGGATTCTTAGAAAATTATTTTTTGTACTTTGGAGGCTTTGTGGAGTTTTGTGTCTGTGTGTAATAACTCCCTCCGCTGGGTCTGCTACATCCACCTCAGCCTTTTTCCTTTGTTTGGTTTGCTGCACCCATCACAAGCATCACTCATTATCACTCGCCCCCACACAGAAATGACTGACTTCTCATACTGATAAATGACATTACTTTAAATGTTTGATACTCTATGTAAAATAAAACTATTCCTTAACTGCTCTGTGTGTGTGGCTTTCCTTTTTGTAACCAGCCCTGAGCCGGGACGTTACCAATGAGAGCTCGTCAGGGATTGTAAGATTGAAACTAGATTGAAACATTGTTTGAGGGAGTGTTTCACACAGATGTTTTTGGATTGCTCTGGTGTATTTAGGGAACAACAGCTAGGCTTTTGTTAGCAGCCTGTTTGTATTCCTGAAGGTTTCGCTTCCTCCCAGATTTTGGCCTGAAAATGTTAAAATGTGGTTTTGATCTTCTAGCAAGAGGCTATACTGCTACATCATGTGTGTCCTTAATTCTTGTTAGGCATAAGCAATGAGAGTCATCAGGTTTGTTTCCTTTAGTAACATTGATCAGACACATAATATTGTATATCATTCAGATACTGTACCAGGGAATATGTCAAAGCAGAAAGAAGCTATAATCCTTGTGATTAAAAGCAAAGATCCCCAAAGTGGTTTATTGTCTTTAGCGAACACAAAAGATACTAGATACCAAAGATAATATAAATGTTTGTGTGGTAGAAATTTATTGTGATTTTATATCATCATCAGGATATGACATATCACGACGCTCTTAATGTATTGCAATAAACAAGAGAGACTTTTAATGTTATCAAAAGAATGCTTCGAAAAACAAGTTTGGGGGATTAAGAAGGGACATGCTGCAAACACAGGTGTTGTGTTGTGTTGTGTTGGGGGGTGGGGGTGTGTGTGTGGTGTAATAGTTTGTCAAGAGGTTTTAAACCTTCAGCTCCAGCTCTCAACCTAAAGCATCATTTTGGAAATTAAAGAGTTATCTACTGAAATATGAGAAGGTCAAAACACAAGACAATTTTTTTTTAAATAAATGCTTATTGGAACAAAGCAGTAATGCAGAACGTTTATGGAAGGAACTGGGAGCTTTCAAAATATGAGTTGGGGAAGTTTCTCAGGAGATTGGGTGGTACTTCAGCCAGAGTAAAGAGCAGCTGAAGAGGAGGTCATTGTGCAACTTCCTTAGTTTCTCAACAGGAGGCCTACTCTGACAGGGCAAAAAGTGAGTACATAATAAGCAATCTGTGACCTTAAAAACAACAAGAGCCCAGGGGATGATGGGATTATTTCAGAGTTCTTTAAAATGTTTTTCTCCATTTTAAATTAAGGTCTTCTCTTAAGTAGTGAGTTAACTTTATGTCTATTTTCTGTTATAATGTTATATGTATATATTACAATAAAAAAAAGAAAATATAAAATCCAGCTCTCAGCCTGTCGTTAGGTTGACTTATAGTTAGGGTGAGTCAGCATTTTTACCATGGAGACGGCTGTCGATGGGACTCGATGTTTTTCTTTTCTGTTTTAATTCTTCTTGTTTGTTTTTTTTTCATGTTTTTGAAATGTATGAAGGTATAGAACGTATAGAGTGAGCGTATAAAAGTGCCTGTGCGTGTCGGTGTGCTGACTGCACAGCAGCAGAAGGTGGATACATTCCTGAAGATACACGCTTTATACACAACAGATGAGCAAGTGAGAGTGAATCCAGACACACACACAGACACACACAGACTACAACATCCCTTTCTGTTTAAGAGAATAAAGGTTTTCGTTGGCAGCCTGAAGAGTTTCAAACGGGACAGAAGCAAAGATCAGACGGAGGTGGACACTGTCTCATCATGCCAGTCTGAGCAGCGAAACAGATCATTTCGTTTTTTGATGTTTCTTTAATCCAAGAGAAATATTCAACCACTAATTTTTCAGACACTGAACCTGGGAAACGTTAAGATAGAAAATTGTATCTCGTCATCCGTCGACAACTACAGCTCCCATGAGGCTTTGAGAGCCCAAGCTTGGGATTTCCAAGGCTTAAATAATGACCAAGGAGGATATTTGTGTTACTTCAATCTGAGTTTGAGACTCTCATAATTAAAGTTGTAATGTAGTGATTGCATTAGTACCTATACTTTCCCCCCCATCTCCTAACATGACTATTTTGAACACAAAAAACAAACCAGGTTGAACTGTTAATGAACATAAAGTATTTGCTGTGCATTTTAGATTGGTATTGATTTTCGGCTTTAAAACTTCCCAAAGACTTTGCTTCTTTTATTCCTTTAATGCTATATGTACACTGCTGTTGTTTTTGTTAATGTTGATATTTGTTTTATTTGTTCCTATCGTTTGAATACGGCATTTGTAATATTATGAAGTCAAACAACATTAAATCAATAATGATTATCCTGCCTTTATATTCTACAACAGAAAAATACATTTTGGAGATTTTCAAAAAGACGTCAAATTATTCATCAGTTGAAGAAGTTCTTCATTTTGATGGATTTATTTAAAGTACTGATCCTTTAGTACACTTTAGAAAACTCAGCATGCAGGTGTGATTTGGAGTATCTGCAGCACCACCTAGTGTTTATTAAGTATTAAGTAGTGTTTATCTACTGCTGAACAGACTTCTGTGAATACCAGTGGACCAGCATCCGCAGTGAACTTCACATAATAAACCCCTATTTTATTATCAGGGACACCACGATAATGTAATCAAATAACATGTACTTAGCATACCTCAAGTTAGTTAAAGATCTGTTTCTATAACTGACTCGACTAAAAAACAAATCTAAGTGAAAGGTCGATAGGACGTAGGCACATTTCTGCCGAACAGTGTATGATTGTACATGAATCCTGGTGAACACCATAAACTGAAAAACAGATGTGCATCAATGCAAGGTACATCATTAATCATTTCAATTTGTTAAAGAAACGCATTTAGAAACACAAGTCCGCAACTCAAGAACTTTGTGGTGAGTCTTTTCTTCTAAAGTCTAAAAAAAGAAAAGAAAAAAATTTAATCCGACATTGCTCGGTACAGAAAAACAGTTCTCCATTTAGTATGAATTCTGACTTATTCAGTGTATTAAAGTCCTTTTTAATGGTGACATCTTACAGATTGACAAAAATGTCTTGACCATATAATTTAATGGCAAATTGTTTCATTCACCAATTAAGATGAAGGTATTTCACATGGAATCCAGTGTTGACGCATTCACACGATCAAGACATTAAAAACAAAACTCAAACAACTTTTCTTTTTTTTTTGGTATTAACTGGAACGCTAATGTGTGTTAAACATTCAAAATACATTTGGGATTTCCACAACAAAAACCAAACACAAAAGGTTCTTCTTCCAAATTTATTCTCCTGACAAACACACAGGCTCGACTCTCTGCAGCAGCTGTTCACTCGTCTGTCTCCGACTCCTCGTCCTCCTGACTGATCTGGAAGTAACGCAGCTCGTACGTCTCCTTGTCTGACGCCACAACTCTGAGCCAGTCTCTGAGGTTGTTCTTCTTCAGGTACTTCTTCGTTAAGTACTTCAGATACCTGATGGAGAGAAGCGGAGGCATTTAAAGAAAGACAAGACACTTTCCTGTAGACACATTTTGAAGAGTACATTGACTCCCGACTTCCAGTTGAATCATTGTTTGAGATTAAGAAGCTGCAGCTGATCTCACCTTTTAGAGAACTGTTTGTCCGACGACACGTTAATCTTGTTCTTCATCCTGCCGACCTGGACCGTGTTACCGAGGTTCCCCGTCTTTCCATTGACCTTTATCCTCTCTTTGAGGAAGGTTTCCTATTAAACAGAGCACAGTGACGAGCTAGGGAAGGGAACCCTAGTCGATTAGGAGCTAGGGAAGGGAGCCCTAGTCCAGACACGACGTTAGCTGCTTGCAAAGGTAACTAAATTTACCCCGAACCAAAATGTTCTCAGAGATGATGCTTGTATCATAGTGCTTGATAATATTACAATCGTGTATATATTTTTTTTATTTGTTAGTTTTTTTAATTTCTTGAATTAAGAAGTTCAAAACTGAAATCTCTTTACTTAAAACTTAGAATTAAGCAAGTGTTTAAAGTGATGCAGTGTGACTCACAAAGTTAGCCGAGTCTAGGATGCCGTCCTCCACAGGGTGGGTCAGGTCCAATGAGAACTTCCACAAAGCTCCTCTTTTGGCCTTCTTGCCAACAGCTGGCCTCTTCTGTTTGAGCTGCAACGTTAAGAAAATCAGAATTGCATTCAGTTACATTTGCAAAAAAGATATAATGATTAAGGGTCTTCAACCTAAATATTACATTACTGATTAACCCGTAACTGAGCTGTAAAGGGTCTTTACAGCCTTTCTCTACATCCATTTAAAATGATTTTCTCCATTTCACGTTTAAAAATTAGCAGTACTGGATTGCCAGTTCGAGTAAGAAGAGAATATTAACTCATTCCTGTATAGAAATAAGCAGCATCTATAAGGGCAGAAACTTAACTCAAGACAACTACTTCAAATATAAAGTAAAACTGGTTATCAACAGGATGCAACCCTGGTTTCTTCTCACGTAAAGAACATCAGTATATAATTGAATTTCCTTGATAAACTGTAGATTAACATACAAGATAAGATAAGATAAGATATACTTTATTCATCCCAGCAGGGACATTGAGGTGTTCCAGCAGCCAGCATACATACAAACACAACACATATATACATACATATCCCACCCATACAAATAAAACATGAGCCCACAATACAGTTTGATATTTGATATATGCAACTCAGGCTAAAGTTTAAGTTTAAATGTCTTCTGTCCTCACTTAAAGGGGAGTCGCAGTAGTTAAAAAAAAAGTTTTTTTAAATCTTTGTTTTGTTGTGTCAAGCTGACTACTCCTACATTTAGAATAGTAGCACACATCATGTCAATCAGCCAACAGCATGAAGAAAACACCATTTATTCCCGTGTAGATTGGCGAGCTGTCATGGTAGGTGCGATGAATGGAACACGTGTTCATCTACCACCAGCTAATGCTAACTCTGCTAGCTTCTAGTTTCATCTCCACGCCGAACAACTAGATTCTCACAGACTGCTAACACCATCAAAGCTTTACTTTACTTTAATTACACAAATTAAGACGAACATATGCAACTAAGCAAGGAATCATTAACAATAAAACGCGTAATTATGAGGGAGGCTGCGTTATCTTACCGGAGCCATGGTTGAGAGATCGGAGGGGAAAGGGAGAACCGGACGTGACGTGACGTGACCTGACGTCGGCGGGCTTTGTGCCGCGTGGAACGCCCTTACCATATATGGTAAACACGCTCATGCAGCTCAAGTGAACGTTTCCTCACAGGGATTTGGACAATTCACACTCTTATATGAGTTTAGTCATGTCAAAAAATAACTTTTAGAAGCGTCTCTAGGCTTTATTAAATGTTTTAGCCTCAATAAAGACTGGATTAGTCTAAAACACGGGTTTAAAGTAGAAGTTTTGCCTGTTGCTTCAGCACCTGTCTGTGATGAATGCCGCAAGTCCAAAGGTCAATTTACACACCCTGATAATAAACCTGCTGAGTCTGGTCAATTATTCTCTCTCTCTCTCTCTCTCTCTCTCACACACACACACACACACACACACACACACACACACACACACACACACACACACACACACACACACACACACACACACACACACACACACACACACACACACACACACACACACCTTCCTGCTCAGCACTGGGCCTCAGACAGTCACGTTTTATTCAGCTGCATTATGATGAACAGAGAAAAAAGCTTTTCCCCCTGTGACTCAGAGAAGCCATGGCTGATCACAGGGGCACATAGGAAATAAAGTCATGCCTCCTTCTTTCCATCATGGTTCTGTTTTAGGCTCACACCACTCAAAATTCAGGATGTTCAGACTGTCTGACGTGTCTGTTGCCATGACTTTAAATGCAGAAACAACACAAATATGTGAACACAAAGAAACTGAGGAACACTGCATGTTTTTTTGTGTCTCTCAGTAGTTTTTCACATTTACTAACATACCTAGATTTTGTTTAAACCTTGGTAACTGACTCATTTTGGGTAAAACATTCAATTTGTTTTCTTCTGCAGTTGACGAATAGTTTGAAAACATTACTACACTTAGTGACAGGTTTGTGGACCAACATAGATTTTCCTTTATGAAACTGTCAATCTTTTTGTTGTAACACTAAGGATGAATTGCTATGCCTTACAATTAATCTGTACTGGTGTTTGATGGATTTCACATTTGAAGATGCTGTAACACATTTCATGAAAAGGATTTTTTTTTTTTTACTTCTCGAGCAACAGTTAGTTCCGACTTTGTTAATTCTGGTTAACACCATGAGAACGATGCAGCACAGTCATAAATATTTGTCATGGAGGACCCTTTTCTGACTTTAAGGGCCATAGTCTTCAAATTTCCATGATTGTCAGTTCTTTCAGCACCTTCAAACCATTTTTGAAGAAAGTACATCGTTTCCCTCTGTTAAGCTGCTACTTTAAGTCACAGATGCCTTTCCATAATTCATTACCATCCCAAATGATATAACTTAACCATTGATACCCAAGTACATCACTGGCAGTAAAAAAAACAAGCAGTACACCTTTGCAATAAACATTTAATTGCATTTTTAAGGATTTTCATAGGAAGCATTAGAACCTTCATGAAAGGCAAGGTTTTGATCCAAAGCTTTGTACCTTGAGTAGTTTGGACCATTCTTTGTGTTTTGGGGGAATAAAGTATTTTTCAAAGGGTTTTAGCACTAACAGCTGAGTCAGGAAATCAGCTGCCAGAATAAAGCAAAATGTGGTCTATGGCATGTAGTAAAAAAAAAAAAAAAAAAAGCTAACTCACTTCCTGCCACCATGGCTCTAGTTGGTTTTCATTTTGTAAAAGGCCATTTTTAAGTTATGGACACTCAACGTTTACATTTTTTTATTATTGATTTTCCACATCTAGTACTGCTGGAACTCAGAAGTGGCATATACGTTACTAGTATAAAACTTGATTGATAATTTCAGACCCTGTCCAAGATAATGCTCCTCCGTTATTTTGTCTGACTCCACCTAGATATATATATATATATATTTAAGTTACTCGATACATTAGAGACAGAAAACCAGACATAGTTTGCAGTTTTTGTCCATTTGTTTCATCGTTTTATTTTTGCCATCTCCAGTCAGGTGACAAAGGCCTCGAGTGAACAAAAAGTTTGCAACTCAACCACCCTCCCCCTCCCCGATCGAGTCCCTCAAAAGAAACACGCCTCACTGCAAACCACCTCCCACAATTTGGAGGCCCACAACGCTACACACTCATGCCTCTCTAAACAAAACATAACACTCCTTTGTATTGGGGGATAGTCAGGGCAGTGGGGTGATCTCGACTGCCTCGGTGGACAAGAGGCGAGAGGCGAGAGTGTACAGGACGCTCACGCCCCTCAGACTTCTACACAGACAAGAGACTGGCATCATGAGGGTTAATCACTGAAGTTTGCTTCTGTTCTTTCGTAGGGGGGGGGGAGAAAAAAATAAACATTTCTATTTTCTTGGTTTTAGAGGTTTTACATGCTGCAGTGGACCTCAAGTGCTCTGAAGTGCTAGCCACCACCAATCTCAGCTACTGAGAGGAAAATAGACCTTGTCGTGACCAATCCACTTGGGAACAAGAGCACGGGCCATGCTGGAAAGCGTTATGGCTGCTAGAGGGAAAACCTAAACCAGAATTTAGTATCTACAGGGGAAACCCTCCCGCCCACTGCTTTAATAACTCAAAAACTGCCCCCTTCCCTCTAAAAGGCTTTAAACCTGCTATATTCAAGAATATAAAAAATAATCATACAAAAGCTGAATCCCGTTGTTATTTAAACATTCAGGAATGTGAGTGGCAAAACCAACACGTTGAAGGCAAAAATAAGCAGGAATGAGCAACTGATCCGTTATTTTTGAAGTTGTTTTATATAAAGTTGATCGTTACCAAACAAAACCTCAGCAATCAGACAGAGGACCATGCAGCGAGCTGCAGCAGAACTCTACCAACAGCGATGGCAAAGAGAAACGATGAGGGGGAGGAGAGAAAAAAAAGATCATTGATGAGAGAAATTACAACAGAATGATTGAGGTTGTCTGTGAAGGCCGACGCTTTGGTGACAGAACCAATGAGAATGCGAGACTGGTTGTGGGTGGTGCTTTTTGCCTGGGCAGCAAAGTCTGTCTCCCTATTTGTTGGCCAGGACCTTGGTAGCGACGGCACATTCCTCCCCCATGGCAGAAATCACGGTGACCTGCGAAGAGACCAAAACATGCCAGAGTCAATCTAAAAGCTTAACAGATGCAGGATGCACATGTTCCAGTGAGACAACTTGACTGACCAAATAGGATAAAAAAATAAACACGGCAGACATTCCTGTTTCACCACAACATAGCATTATGTTCTCACTGATTCCAAACGTAAGAATTTAGCAAGAAAGTCCATTATATTTCACTTTTATAACTCACAGTGAAGAACCAACACTGAACAGGTAGTGTGTGTAGTTTTAACAAAATAATTAAGAAGTCCTTACCATGAACTCATCTCCAGATTCAAACTTTGTCTCAATATCCTTGCCGATATCGCTTTCAGGGACACGCAGGTCCTCTCTGATTTCACCGTTGTCGCTCATCAAGGTCATGTAGCTTTCATTGATGTTAACCAACTGGGAAGGGCAGAAAAATTTAAGCCATTAACCAATATTATACCTATAAAAGATCAAATTCACCTGAGCATTCAATCTCAAAATAGTTCCACCATCTAATCTCAGGTGGTAGAAGCATGAGTAACAGTTCTACATATTTCAAAAGACAAATATCACTGAAAGATAAACAGAGGTAATGCCTACTTAATGCTTTGTTATTTACCAAAAATTACACAAGTTAGTCTGCAACAAACCACTGATCTTAAAGCTGGAGAAGTGCTGACACACGAAACAGCTGCCACATGATCGAGATGATCAACACGCCCTTTAAGTGCTGTCACATCTATGTGATAGAAAGTTCCAGAGATGTTTGGACCACCTGCCTACCTGGTAGTCTATCCTCTTGATGGAGGGGACATCCATGTTGTGGGTGGAGGGGCACATATCCTCATGCTTCTTGTTGGTGAAGATGTCGATACCAACCAGGTTAACCTACAGAACAAAGTTAAGTTTATTTCACATGTTAAAGAGGAATTCTGAACAGGTAAAAATAATAATTGAAAGGTTAAAATAGCACACAAAAATCTTAATCCCAGCTAGGTGCCAAGCTGTTCACCGCCAAAACAATGTATGGGAAATAACTTTCTCTCAGGTGCTTTGACATGTTTCCTGCATTGATCAGAGACATACTAATAAGAACACAACAAAAGTTAGTTTGCAGCATTATAAAATCATGTAAAAATAACATCTGTAGCCATGAACATGCAAAAATATAGTGGTGCTAAATTGATTCTAATCATAATTTATAGTGTTGTTGGTATTATAACACTTATAATAGTATACTAGTAATCCCAGCATTGCATTTCTAATTGAAAGAGCAAAAAATAAATAACAAACTTAACCATTCCAAATAAATGTATTGGAACTTTTTTCTGGCTGCACATTCAAACAGATGACAGCAACAACTGTTTGGTTCAAGTTCAAGTCAATATTGGATCTGATACCGATATTACATCAGATCTTTTGAACCTCTATTTCCATGGGAATTAAAATAAAATTCAGACTAGGTGATTAATATATTTATTGGACTAGGGTTGTTGTACTATCAGAATTTTAAACTTAGATATGAATCAAGTAAAAATCTGACCATGTTGATACCCATATACAATACCATGGCAGCAAAACAGAAGTTATAGGCACCCAATATGGGTTAATTTCTTGTTTTTCGGCAACCAAAAACTGCAGGAAACTCATGGACTCAAGCGAAATCGAATAAATACAATTTCGTGCATTCTTGCAATTTAGAGAGTACTCCTTTTACAGCTTTGGTACTTTTTGATGCTATATAGTGAAGATAATGTGAAAAGCCATGGTATCAAAATATTGAAAAGTATGTCAACCTTTTATTGGTCAACTTAATGAACACTATACATTAACATACATGGCTCTATAGATTCACCATGTTAGAAATCAGTGATAACTGCTTTGGTCATTAACAGACCAGTAATCCTTAAAATGTCTTTAACAAAGTGAAGCAAACTGGAGTACAGGATTCAACAGAAACACTACTGATTCTACAATTTGAAGTGATTATCAAGACAACTTTCTCACAGATTCTGTCTGTGTATTTTAAGAGTCTCAAAGGACAAAGAACAGGTGGCAGCACCCAGGTGTATACATAATAAGTATACATAACGGAATGACTAGGACACCGCTTCAGGATTATTAGACTGGTATAAGTCTAACCATGTTTTGGAGGGGATTTTACCTTAGCGTGCCCGTGCTTGCCAGTCTTGGAGGTGGACATCTCCACAATTTTGCAGGGACGTCCCTTCAGCACCACGTAGCCGTTCTTGCGCAGAGCAGAGCACTGCATGGGGTAGGTGGCCGAGGCGCCAGAATCGGCAGTCGTGAAGTCAAGATCGGGATCTGCCATGGTGCGATGGGTCAGGGGCGCTGAAAGACACGTTAAGAGATTTGTTTGATTCATTTTCATTCATTCAGGATCAAATACCAAAATGTAACAATAAACTTCCCACCACCTTGCGTAAAACTGCAAAGCTTATATTTCTACTAAAATTTCATTCCCACATTTTTGTATTCGCATATTATAGAAAAAGTCATTATTTATGAGAGTTGAGAGTTGATGACACTAAAAAATAATTGGAGTTTCCTAATGTGCTGTTTCAGGTGTTTATACAGCTGACATCCTCCCTGTAAAACACTGAAATGCAACTGAATTTGTCTGAAAGGTGCTGTATAAATAAAGATTGATTGAACACGAGGCTGCGCTTTTATCATGACCATGAAGTGTGTCATGTTGAGGGCAACTCAAACTTTACTACAGATCTAACCACAAATTGCCCTTTTAAAAAAAAAAACAAAGTTCACAAATACTAATTTGATGAAACAACTTTGGAGGAGATTTGATTGTATAATTGATTAGGATAAAACACACTCAGCTAGTGAGAGCTTTAACAAAGTCTGGAGTTTAAAGTGCTGCCAGATAACTGTACATATAAATCTAACAATACACATTAAAACAACAATTACATTAAATGTGGACTTAAGACAATATTTTGAATTTACTTAACACTATTTAAATAAGCATATGGTGCCTGGAGGTTTATTTACCAGCCAGCATGGGCTTTTGAGTCTGAGGCAGCAAATACCGTTAGTCGGTGTTCTATCGAGAAATGTTACCCCTCGAGGTGTGTTCCCATGCAGCTCTGTGCAGTAAAGGCTTTATTGTTTGATTATACAACACCAAAACGGGCTCACAATACATATGCAATGAGTAGTTAATCAATATTAAAATGTTTTTGTTCTCCCAGCATTAACATCTAGGTACACATGTGCTGTCTGCTACCGTTTAGCGCCGTGTTAAGTGTTTTTCGACAAGGCAGCACATCTCGACACAACACCGGCTGGGTCGGCTAACTGGATGCTAAAAGCTGCTAGTCACGCTAGCCATCCATCGCGCTACATCCAAATTAAAAGAATTACGCTCCGTCGACAGCGTCTGTTGCGACGACTGTTGTTTTAATTAAACCAGCGCAATAAATACACCGTTGATAACGAAGGTGTAAACAAACGGGAAAAAAAAAAATGTAAACATTAGTGAAGATAACGAGCAGCGACGTCCAGCGACCGCGCCGTCGAAGGCCGCGTGTCCCTTTGATTCTAGCTGGGAACGTTAGCTGGAACACGGACACCCACACCCCGCCGCCCGAAAATCAACTAACTACTTCAACAGCTTCTCAAAACACCACACGACAACTTTAATACCTCAGAATTTGTTATCAGATCACATAAATAGTCGTTAGGACCACCGTTTATTCCCCCCCAAGGTAGAAACACGCGCCATGCCACACTTACCTTCCAAGAAAAAGAGGACCGAGAGCGCGCATGCGCGGCCAACTCTACTGCAGCATCCGTAGAGGAAGAGGGAGTGGAGGGGGGGGGGGGGGGGGGGGAGTTTATGTGTTCCGGTCGGGGCCTGGCAGAAAGGGTTGCCAGATCGGAGGATGTCAAACATGGCAACCAGTCGGTTCAGTTCTCGACCACAGAGTTTAAAATGTGTGAGGTCTATTTTAACAAATTATTTTCCCTGCTCAGTTTTATAGAAACAACATTTTTGACCAAGTCACAGTATCAAAACTGAGAACAAAGCTCTGGAATATCCAGTTCCATCAAAATAAAACAAATGCAAGTCAAGTTATCATTATTGTCATTTCAACCATATACAAGTACTACACACAGAGATGAGATTTTGTTCCTCTATACTACATAAGACATTTGAGATTTAAGTAGGCTATTAAGAGGTAGAAGCAAAAGATTAAATGCAATAGGTAGCATAAATAACGACTTGTGTATTGATACAGTGAAAGTGGCTTAAAACAGTTGAACTTGCAACAAACACTTAAATTGACTAAAACGGATAAAGTGACAAAAAAACAAAACAATTAACAATTAAGGTGGCAAAGAAACAGTTTACATTGACATTTAAGAGGCTGGTGTAGCATGTGGGCTAATTGTGAATTTAAGTCAAATTAAAATTTGGAAGAAATAAGGTAGGTCTCTCGGAGCTCAAAATGTGAATACCAACAAAAATCCAAACACAGGTAAATTTAAATAATTATTATTGTATTCACAAAAAAAAAAAATAAAAATACTTCCAAGATATCAAAACAATAAGTTCAACAACCAACATAAATATCCTCTTAATCAGGAACCGCGGTTTGGGTCCATCAAAAACCGGGGAAAAAAAATAAGTCAATGTCTTTTTTATCCTTGTTCGAATGTCTTTAGAGATCCTACCAACTTGTAGGCAGGTTAGATCTTACAGGTGTTAACTCGCCATCTCAGCGCTGTAAGGCAAATACACAAATGCGCTTTTTAAATCATAAACTCGTCCCGTCTTGTGCAAACCAAACAATTCTGCAGCACGCGATGAGGTGAGGGGAAGTGACCTCCTGAACTGGATATTTATGACGGGTGGGAGGAGTTCTGATAGGTTGAGGATTTTACCGGAGTTCAAGTGAGATTATGGAATGTTTTAGAAAAATAAAATAGGGAAATAAATAAAATACAAAATAAAATGAAAACCAATTATTCATAAGTTATGGCGGTTCACGGAGGTCACTCCCCTCTCAAAAGAAAAAAAAATAGAGGGCTAATATTTAAATAACCTGTTTAATTAACCTGGGTTACACTCTACACTCAAGGGGCAACCTCGAAAAATGAAGCCAATGCGGAAGTACAAAAAACTGCAGTTCCTCGAGGTTCCGCTTGAGGCTGGCTGCAGAAGCGCCGGAAGTGCCATAAGCCCACAGCCAAAAAAGCCCGTTTTTACCACAGGAATCAACATGTTTACAGCCTAGTTCAAAAAACGAGATATATCTGAGAAATTGACGGCCCCTTCTCCTCACACTGTGGGGGGGATATATGTGGAATGTCATTGTGTGAGTGAGAGAGCTGAACAGCATGATTACAATAATGTTTATCTTCTTAACTTTGAACAGATGTTGATTACCTGAATACTGTACCTTTGTTGTCTGGGTAGTACACTGTTGAATTTATAAATGTGCTCTTACACACAGATGAATACAGAAAAATAGATGAGAACAAAAAAAATGATTTAATGAATAACTGATATTTTCTCTCTTTCTTTGCCATCCTGAAGACCCCTCACTAAAAGTCCATGTTCTCCTGGATCCATGTCACATGCTCGAGCTTCTTCTGAATGACATTTCAACAGTCAAAGTTCTGCTGAGAGAAGATGGCCAGCAGATAAGACAGCAGTACATCAACAAGCTCCACAGGCTTCAGGAGGAGGAGGAGGGTTTGCACTTTGGAAGACTGTATTCATGCTGTTCAAATAAAAATAGATCTCCTCCAAACAACCTGCAATCAAACCATTTTCTTCCCATTTTAAAACCCTTTGTCCAGTTTAGCTGGGAGAAGTTGATATTATGTGATATTGATCAGGGAAGACTACATTTCTAAATCATTTTTAACTGTGTTTTTATTCACCAGTTATTGATCTTATTTACTCTCCATGTATCTTGATTTAAGAGTGGGGCTGTGTTTAAGGGCATATTTTTGCAATGACTCTGTTCCATCCCACTTTCAGAAATGAACTGCATTAGTATTTATCAAAAGAATAAGAAGTTGTGTAAAAGTAGACTTCCTTCCCTAAGCTATTGAGTTGAGCATTAATGCACATTTTAGTCTTGTCATTTCAAATCTGAAATGTATAAAGGAGTGCATTTATATATAAATATTTATTTAATCTGAAAAATAACATTAAAAAAAGTCTGTTTTTACAGCAGAGATGAACATGTTTACAGCTTGGTACAAAACAAACAAATAGGTGTGATTAGCTCATGTCTCGATGGACACACACTGTACGGGGGGTGAATGTTTTGATGACTCATCAGTTTTGATTTGATGAAGGATAAGAGTTATTCACAATAAGGCGTGTAGCTGACCAGGTTGAGAGGCGGGTGCGGTGTAACGGTTTGTCAAGAGGCTTAAAACACACCTCAGCTCCAGCTCTCAGCCTGTGGGTGTCATCACTCAGGCCATCCGGGGGAGACCTCCCTCACAGCGAGCTGTTGAAGAGAAGCAACTGAAGTCCACCCAGAAGAACCAACAAATGCAGATGTTGTTGAGGCTCAGGTTTCTTCCTCTGTCTCTGCAGCTCTCTGGGCACCTTGACGGACCAGTCACCAATAATCCACACTGTGTCTATAGGAGAAATACAAAGGTGTTCAATTAATGCCTCAGACAACACAAAATGTACAGTTAACTACATGTGACAGCTCAGGCTGTTTTTTTGTTATGAGCCACATCTGCAGGAATAATATTGAACAAGGTAGCTGCAACTCATAATAATGGATGCCAGTCTTAAACACTATTTTTTCTAATACTTAAAGTTTTTGGTGTGAAGCTGACACTGTCCACAGACTCCATGACTTCACAGGGTTCAAGAGAAAACAAATGTCTTATAATAAATACTAAATCATTATTTTTCAATTGTCATGTTCACCTCATCGCTGTTGACATCAGTAAATATAAACACAGACATTCCTCTTTTTGTCAGAACAGTAACATGAACTGTATGCTTTGTAATATTGATTTCTTCTGGATGTCTCATATTTATTTACAGTCTATGATAAAACTTTGTTCATGTATTTCTCTGCTAACACTGACAAAGTCTAACTGCTCTGACAAATAACTAATAACCATGATTGTATATTTAAAAAAGTGTAGTTTTAAGACTTTAATTAAATATTTGGGTTGAATATAATTCGTTTTAACTGTGTTGTAGAAAAGTTAAATGTTAACTTCCTGTTTGGAGAGTTTTCTCAGGACGAGCAGGAATAGTTGATGATAGCAGCCAGCTGTTAGCTATGCTGTCAAGTGGACTGCTGACGTCGAGCTGAATGGGCGGAGTTAAGTCCCGCCGGTCCCGCCTTACTGCTGTGGTTAGGTTGATCCGAAGTTAGGTTGAAACCGAAACTGCAAATCCAATATGGATCCGGCCGTCGATTGGACTCATTTTCTGCCTATGTCACAGACGGGTCAGGGTTCGTCCAGTAATATTTACAGTCTATGGTTACACTGAGGTAGTTTAAAGACAGATCAGCAGACTATATGCAGGATACACAGTATACGTTTATTATACATTATAATTATAAAAAGTTCAATAAATAGACATTTATACAGAAGAAGTGGAAAGAGTGAATATTGTTGTGCAACCATGTGCAAATTTCTTGAGAGTTACAAAGTAATGAATAATTTCTACTCTTCTAATGAATTTTTAAGATTAAGATTTGGGAGCATTTAATGCATTTGTTGCAAAGGAAAAACTGAGACAGAACAGAACATCTTTGTAGTTTAGTTTATTTGCACATAAATGAAAGAAAAGAGACAGAGAAAAAGGTGAATTAAAAATAAATTACATGTTTAGTCAAGGTAGAAACCAATTGTGGGTTAATGTCAAAAGCTCACTAATAAGATAAACAAAAATTAAATAATTACTGACAAATATGATTTACCAAATTATAATTATAATTGTAATTATAATTACAGACAAACATTAAAAAAAATAAAATAGATCAAACCAGCACATACTGTCTCTTTTGTTTCATGGTCGAATACCCAGTTGTTCTGGAAACGATTAATGGAATTATCTAGCAATTATCTAAGAAAACTGGCAAAGATCATAATAGCAGAATCTCAAAAATATTGATACACAAACGTATAAGCGTTTAAGTTTTATTTTTTGGCTTTTTGTGCCTTTATTTGAGAGATAGGACAGTGGATAGAGTTGGAAAGCAGGGAGACAGAGAGTGGGGACTGACATGCAGGAAAGGAGCCACTGGATGGATTTGAACCTGGGCCGCCTGTTTGGAAGACTATGGCTTCCATACATGGGGTGCGTGAACTAACCACTGCGCCACCAGCGCCCCCAGGTTGATGTTGCTTGATACTGTTGCTTCAATAGTTACAGCTTCATGGTGTTTTTATTTCTTCACTAATTGATGTTGATTAAACATCAGAATGTGTGCAATATTGGCAATTAATTTTCTTTTTGATTGTTGTAATTAGCATATTCTTCCTTGTTTATATATAAATTGTCAGTTAAATAGCAGAGCCCCTACCCCCTGCCCTTGTAAGGTGCATGTGTTTAACAACCAGATCAAGAGAATTTCAGGAGCAGTCCTCCTGGAATTCTCTAGAAGTGTATATGTCCCTAATCCTCTTCAGTAGAGAACGGCTTCAAATACAAAGAACAAAGACACTGAAGCAGGTTCTGTGGCTGTACAAGGAGAGGACATTTATTGTAGATTTTCAAACATCACAGATGTGTGTTACCAGTTTGAGGCCGTCTTTCGACTGATTCCAGTGATTTAGACAAGGTGAAAACATCCACTCACATGCATGTAGCACCCTGTGCACACACCTACCCACACACACACACACACACACACACACACACCCTCACAGGCTGACAGCCATACATACGTTCACAGTCTTGATACGTACAAAAATTGAAATACAAATACAAATAATACCACAATAAAAACGTTGTATTTTTTTTTTTTTTAGAAATTCTTATAGCTATGTTCTCTATTCTGTAGAAAGACAACTAAGCTTTAACAAGTGAACATTATTTTTTTTGTCTTCCTCTAAAATGATCAGTATGATATCATCATAACGGAAATTCTTACAGTATATATATCTTTAATCTATGGTTTCTCAAACAGACCCTGCCTCCTGACCTTTATTCACAGGGTGTTTGTTGCTGCTAACATCCTGCACATTTAAAAGGGTTCAGCTGGCCTTTAAAGTGGCGTCACTTACACCTGTCGCATCCTTAAAGACCAATTTTAAGAAAAAATCAAGTAAAAATGAACACATTTCCCTCTCTCACAGCCTGTTCAAAATTCCACAAACACTAGCATTTAGGGACCATCATCAAAAGGTCAACCGTGCCAAAAATAGAAAATGCTGTTCAAAGTGATGCTGGAGTCCCGTCCTGCTCGGTCTGGGCGTGACCGTCAACAAAAGATGTATTTAATGCTAACTTTTCTGTGTACAAACTTGACCTATCTGACTGTTATTTCGGAGAAAGCCCAAATGCTAAGATAATAATAGCTAACTTTCATTTTACAGTTTATACTTTTTGTTTTAGGGCTCCTGCAGAAAGTTCTTCTCTTGTTGTCCAGCTAGTACAGATAGATCAGTCAGTGTATTGCCTTAAACTTACAATTCATAACAAGTGATGTCAGGTAAAACATGTATGTCACCATGCAAAATGCACAATTAAATAAACAGTGATGGACTACAGAGAAAAACATGTGTTAACCCAAACCAAACTTTTTGTTCAGCTCATTGGTCTAAAAAAAACCCAATCTGAGAGAAACTAACAGACATTTTTCAAAGAGGTGTAACAAACAAAAAAAAAGCCAGACCGTTGCTTATTTTTTTCTTCAGTCTTCACACCTGCTTTTGCAAAGTCTGCCCTTAACATCAAAGTGAGTATTTACACAGGTGCGGTATACACAGAATAGTAGGGACAGAAAAACAAAGGGCAGTTAAGAAACTTCCAGAAGTTGGCAACTACTCTACGCCAAGTTCTTTTTTTTTTTTGTGAGAAATGATGTGTAGTTTTTGTGTTGCTGTTACAGCAATAATACAATATCTACAAGCTTCCCTTCCTTATTAGTAAAATACCAGGACAAAGTAGCCGCAGTAGCTGTGCAGCATCCTCTATGACAGGTGTAGAAGTGTGTCTCATTTCCCCTGTGACTCCAGCTGCTTGTTTGTTGTATTTTTCTCTTCTAATGGGGAACAGACACAGAAGGTTTTTCAGCAAAAGCAGCACTCGAAATGAGTGTTCACACTGTGAGCAACACCGTCATCAAGTCCAAGAGGGTCAATTCACCTCCTACTGACAAAGCAATGATCAAGATGTCTGCAACAGTTTTACACAGTGGACGGATTCTGATGTAGCCCTCTATTTTTTTTTTTTACATGAGGAAAAATGTCTGACAGCGCAAGAAGACATCTGTTAGTTTTTGCTACAAGATATTAGCCTAAGAACATCTATTCATCACTATCAGAAGGGGTTTGGGTGATAAGAATAAAAAGGAGTCTCATAATTGTGAATAGAATCCAATAATATGACATGACACACATAGCCGGTTAATTAAGAGATGTTTGAAAATGCCATATGCCCAAAATAAGTTGTTTTTTGTAAAGGTCTCTGTTCAAACTTAAAAGGGATTCCTCACATTTGCTGCACGTCATCCTCCATTCCCAATTTTCTGCAAACTTCATACAGATAAAGGCAAAAACAAGCCCAAAAATATCTTTAAAACACATTTTGGAGCTGTCAAAGTGGCTGTCAGGACTGCATTATATTAATGTGGGCGCATGCATGAGGAGACTGTGAAGATCACAATAGAAGACAAGAAAAAGCCCATTTTGCAAGTTGAATTTGACTTGTTTGAGCTGTAGCATTTCATTAGCTTGCTCCTTTGATTCTTTATGCCGTGTTTCAACTCGATGCTTTGACGATATGAGTCACAGACTTCATTTAGACTCCACAGTGTAACACTGAGAGTTTAAATTAGTCTGTATTGATGACCACAGATTAAAATATTTTTCTCTCATGATTGTCTTGTATTGTTTATTGGTTTTACTGGACGGCCAACCAATATAGATAGATAATAACTAAACTGAACAGCTAACATCTTTTCAACAGTTGCTGAATAGGGACCTGTTGTGTTTTTTTTCCCTCTTTCTATCAAGAAAATTAAATATTCTAATTTCCTATGTTTTTATTGAACTTACCTTCAAGTTTAGAATAAAGGGGTAAACATCCAAGTGGTTTTTAATGCCTAAAGTGATTTGTTGTTGCAATATCACAATTGGCCATCAAGAAATAAACTGCATACTACGTACTCCAGCAGTATATACTGCATACTACTACATTTAGTCTGAAAACAATATACAATTGTTCAGTATTTATACACCTTGTAATCATTTTAATGTTTTATATTTGACAACATATAAAACATATTACAGTTTGGTTACTTTTATTTGTACGTCGCTTTTTGGCTGGCTGGCCATTGGATAGTCTGCGGCCCCTTTCACAGTTCAGTGGACTCAGGGGTGAAGTTGCAACACCGTTGGATTTATCATTTGTTTGCTTACACACTGCACATTGTCAAGCACATAAAAGCTAGTCAAATGTTTTGTACTGGAGCCATCTGCCACTTGTTTGGGCTGTAGCTCAGGGCAGTGCGGATACTGTCATCTGGCCTAATGCTGCACTATGACCAAGAAGTAAACAGCAGGACAGTGGAAGAACGGCATCTGGTAGCACAGCGCAGTTTGGCAGTAATTTGATCTACAAAATGGAGATACAGTTATATGTCCGCTTTGTCAGGTTAAACCATAGACTGTAAATAATAATGGTTATATACAGTCTAACATTTGCGAACCTATTTAACCTTCGCTGTTTATTTTGAAATATCTGGCAAAATTCCACCCACAATGCACTGCTTTTTGGTTAACGTCCCTTGTTTGGTTCGGATCGCATTCTCACCTAAGGCGAATCGAACACCAATGCACTTGGAAGCGAACCGAGACCCCTGTTTTCTTCCAGACCAGAACTCGGTTCTTTGGTCCACACAAGAGTTCGTTTGAGCATTCATACCACCCCAAGCCAAACAAACTATCCGACTAAGCGTGCCAGAGTTTGTTTCAAACAGACCAAACCGCTCAGGTGTGAATGCACCCTGAGAGTCACAATGCATTCTGGGGTGCTTTAGTATGACCAGTGTGCTCCTGTGTCACACTTGTAAAAAATCAGCCAGTCTAGTATATAACCGGGTATTTCTCGCATACATAAAATTGCATGCTGGGATTTTGGAATGTACAATGTGACGTTCTTGTTATTAATAGTATGAAAGTGTGCAGTTTCAGACACAGCCCAAATCTGTGAAACCACCCCAGAAAAATCTAAACCCTTGGCATGATTCCGGACTGCTGGCCAAAAAGAAATAAGTGAGCTATCATAGAGGGGGCCTTTAAGAGACAGGAGCTAAAGCAGCTTGTTTTGGACAGAAGTTGAACTGCAGAAACAGTCAGTATGAGGATTTCAAAAAAGTTGACTTGCCTGCCCACAGTATAACATTTGGTCTGAGTTTTAGGATTCATCACCTTCTTTTGGGTAAAAAGAAAACATCAGCTCAGGGTGGACATGAGGCCAAAATAAAATAGAACTAGCTTAGTGTGAATGTTCTGATTGCCTGTAAGGGATTTGGGTTTGCACATCTTAAAAACTGTTGCATCTAGTTTTTGGGTTAATGACCATCTGAATTTTCTTTCTGCTATTGATGCTACCTTAACAGCCAAAAGTGTCCACCCATTACTTACTTAAATAAGTCAGAGATGCTGCAATAAATGCAGTCATAACGCCGACATTACCACCAGCAAGCAAAGAAGACGGACATATTGTACTCGCAGTGTGAACACCCTGTAAGGAATCAATAATGTGCTACACAGAGAATGTCTCTACAGCTTCCCATTCGACCAAATGGGGAAGTCAAAGGCTACTCGGCATGATGTCAGTGTCCGCTAAAGTTTGGATCCAAACACTTCAGAACAACCATCAAAAAATCCACATGGTGAAGGAATCGCCCACTGTTGATTACGGTGTCCTCCTTGTTCAGTAGGCAGTGTAACCATCAGTGAGGCCTGCAGCGCCCCCCGTAGTTGGAGGGTTTCTGTGGATGGGACACACTCCTGTGGTCTAACTCTTCCTCTAGTTACTCAAATGTTTTTGTTCAGGAGCTTGTGGTTTTCTTCCAGGAACACACACACACACATCATAAACACACACAAAAAAGCTGTCCCTTCGCCGTCCCTCCCTTCTTATGTCGGCCGATGCTCAGAGTGAAGAAGAAGACGGTTGTGGGTCGAGGTGAAGGGTTACCAGTTCATCATGGAGCTTCTGTTTAGGGTCATGAAGAAGACTTGACTGCTGCCTCCAGAACGCACAGAGGCGAAGAAGACCTGCAGACGAGAGGAGACACCAGTGAGCTCAAACACCCGCCTGTGGTGTGTTAGAGGTTTATGTATCCATTTGTGATGTCGTTTATTCAACCAGTTGTGATTTAAACAATATCTAAACAAAAAAAAAAAAAAGGGTATATCCTTGCGTGAAAGTTTCACAAATCCAGGTGTCGCCAGACTCACCTTGTCGTTCCTCTCCGACAGGAACTTCAGTCGCTGAGCTCGCTTGTGCATGAAAACTCCGTCGAGGTGTCCCGTCTCCACGGAGCGGATCTCAATGGCCTTCTCTCCCCAGCCCATGATCTGGTTGGAGTGGATGTAGGCTGCAGGGACAGGACAGGGTATACACACACACACACACACAAGAACATACAGACACACGCAAGCATCACACACATAAAAACACACACACACACACACACACACACACACACACACACACACACACACACAGGGATTGGGACAGGAGAAAACTCAGCACCAGTCTCACACCCAAGCCAGTCACACACCTACGGGAGGAGATTATTGCAGCAGTTTCTGACAGATTCCAACGATCACGACCTCTGAGCTGTATACCTGAGAAGGAGCTCGGTGTTGGGGAAGCGATTGAAATCACAGGATTACTGGGTAATCCATTGATTTTGATCGGTTTGATGTTAGTATTTGATTTAAATGATGCTTGTGGTCAGAGTTTTGCGTGAGCTCCAAAGAATACGATTGGACAGCATCAGTGTCAATAAGGCTGAGTTTCTTTTTCACAATTAAATCCCCCCCAATGGTTCTTTAGGGGAACATTTTAATCTGAAGAAATGTGTAGCTAGAATTGGTAGCTTCTTTGCACAATAAGGCCACCTTTGAAAGCATGTCAAAGATGATTAAATGGAAAAAGCGAGGCTGCTGTCTGTTCAAAGTAAGACGTATACGTCCCAAACCGGGATCAGAACGGGCGTTTCGGGCTGATTTATACCCGATCTCTGCCTTTTGACCATCTGAAGAGGACTCTGGTTTAGGCTCTTGGTCAGTACACATTTTCTGCCAAGGATTTCTGTTGAAATCCCATAGAACCCAATCTTAAATCTCCAAAATGGCTCACAGACTCATTAGAATATGATTGTGGAGAAGCCGTCAACACAGGTAGCCTATTCATCCATGTGTGTCAGATTAGGTGATCACAGAACCATAAATTTGTGCTGTGACTCGACCGAAAGACAAGACAGACTACACAGCGGTACCCGACCAATCATCACCACAGATGGATGACGTTGGAAGGAAAAGGGGCTAGAATGTTTACTGTTGCTTGGCAACACCCTCGACCGCTCAATCTCCTTCTGATCTTCTCTCAATCATTGGCTGTGTGGATTCAAAAGCAGCCTAGTTTGAAAAACATTTTTAATTAAAGATGGAGTTTACACACTACTTACGTTTAAGTTGTTGGACCGCCTGAGATAGTTCCAACACCGGCAAAAATGACAACTTAAATCTTAACCCTAGTTCCTAGTAGTTGTTCATTCCTCTGTTAAATATGGTTGTCATGGTGATAGTTTTAAAGATGGAGGACGAGGATAATGTCGGCAACATGTTCTCTGTGATAGAAATGTGTGATGACCAATGCTCAAAATGTAATGATGTCATTTTCCAGCTAACCTGGGCCAAACATCGGTACAGACAATGGTTCAAAACTCCTTGAATTGTAGGGAGAGGCCAATGGGTCATAAATTGGCTGTAACTTCTGTATTTCAACTTCTTTTAGGATTGTCGTCAAAGCAAAAATGTTGGGACAAATACTAGAGCATATGAAAAATGCTCAATAATCCTGCTTTGAATGGAGATTCTTAGTCGGTGGGAAATAGTGCAGAAATATAGCTGTGTGCGTTTTTTTGCAGAGAAAGGGTATAAACCAGCGTGTTCAGTGTGCGGATAAAACGTACGACGATGCAGGTTTTTCTTTGGTTTTCCATTTGATCTGAGGGGCTGAGGCCAGGCTTGGCTGTGAGAAACTCTGGTCTGACAGTAAAATACACACAAACATGTCAACAAGAGATGATGTCCACACAAAGAACACACACAGTACACCAGCAGCGCTTCATGACACAGACACAGTCAGTCAAACATTAATGTTTAATCAACCCACGTATCGTACACTGACATCTGAGAATCAGAGAGTGAGGGCCGAATGGAAAAACAGACGACTTGGATCATAAGATCCCAGATCCATCCTTGATGTGCTCGAGTTTCCTCTTCGTGTGGTTTGACTGAGTGTGCTGGTAAATAATAGATCAGTTTAGATGCACTGCGCTATGCTATCATCTCAGGCTAAACATTGGTCTCACTTTTAGCCTGCTGTATCTCACAAATATCTCATTATTTCTCCTGCAATCAAGGATGAAAGTCAGAACAGATGAGAAGTCTGTGTTTGAAACAGTTTGAAGTAAACAACTGAACAGAACGAGAGGACAAAACTCAACAGAGCAGACTAACAACACACAAGCATTTCCCCCAATGCATAGATAAAGATATATATTGTATATTTAAAATAAGTGTGAAAGGAAGAGAAGTTCAGTGTGTGTGTGTGTGTGTGTGTGCGTCTGTATTAGGATTTTGGTGGGGTGGAGGATAGAGGTAATGCTCTGTGAGATGTGTTGTTGTCAACTCATGCAGAAGATGGATGTTCAACACTTGACATTAAAGAAATACACTTTTCAGTTTTTGGGTTAAAATTCTTTAAATGAATACACTGCAAAAAACTCAAATCTGAGCAAGTGATGCGTCTAACTTCTAGTCAAAATGGTCTCGTTACACTTAATGTAAGACACACCTGATAAGTCCGGATACATTTTTGATTTCTAATAAAGATATTAAAAGCAAAAAATAAGGTATTGTAATGAATTGCTTATAATGAGCAAAACTTACTGGTTTCTTCAAATATGACAAAATATCTAATTTCAAGAAACTTAAACAAACATTATATCATATTGAACACATAGTGCTGTTATGCCTGACTGACTGACAAGGTTTAGTAATATTACCAGATTTTGCTCTAATATGTCTCCGTTAGCATCTACAGCCCGTTGTAAAGTCAACCTTTGGTGTAAGATGGATTTATTTGCTTATTTGTCCGCAACCTTGAGACAAAACTTGGGTCAGATTACTTTGGGTTACGTTGCAATCTGTTATGAATAAAATCTGCCGGGATGTACACTCTGCATCTTGCTCTGTAACCAAGCTCAGCCGTCATTACATCTTTGTAAAGTCATAGTGATTCCGTGACGACGTAATATTGGACTTGTCAGATAAATATGACTTAGAGTAAGCGTATAGAGATATTTTTTACTAGAAATTAGACAAATAAACTTGCTCAGATTTTAGTTTTGCATGTAGACCATCAATTTAATAGGAACATATTTACTAGGGTTAAAAATCAAGTGGCATTTAAGCATCTACTTCTATTCAAGTTCAGTCACCCCCTGCTGGCCATCAGAAAGAATGCAAGTTTAACCCTTGATTGTAATTCTTAAAAATATAAATAAGTAAGCCTAAGCAAAAATGTAAATTATACCAATAAGCAATATTGGTAATATGATTAATATAATGTTAGTTGTCTATTTTTTCATACATGCATATACTGAAATGTGGAATGCCGTATAAAGCCAGGATTGGACTTTGATTTATAACTTGCCACAGCTAATGGTAATACTTAATAAGTCCTATATAGTTTGTAAGAAGAACTGCTCATTCAGAAATATGAACGCTACAGGCAGGTTCATATCGCCATTCAACACAGTTAAAGTGAAAGTATTGGCATGAATGAATATCAGTCATTTTCATTTGGATGACTTCAGTCTCTACTCTATGTTTTCATCACTTTGCCAAATAAAGCTGAACAGTCTGATCTACCTCCCAAAACCCTCGTTGTATTTCTTTAAGCAGCTGATGACACAGGTGAGACTAAAATCTGAGCTTCTTGTCTACAGGTGTGACTGAAAGCAAAAGGCAGGAGGAGAGAGGAGGAGAGTTGCTTTGAACGGAGGAGGTGTGAGGGTGAAAGATGATCTGCTTTAACCGTTTATAGAGGTCAGGGGGTCAGGGAGAAGCGAGCTGATTGGTTGACGTACCGACGGAGGTGGGCATCTCGCCCCACTGCAGCACCACGTCTTTGGTGATGCGTCCGTAGGTGTTGACGTAGACGCCTTCGTCCTCGTAGCACAGCAGCATCTCCATGCCGTCCGTCTTGGGCAGAACCACGATGGCGTGCGGGGTCACCTGACCCTGAATCTGCCGGGGCAACACACGGGAGGGGGATTGGAGGGAGGTGGGGCAGGGGATTAGGAGCTGACGTAAGTCTACATGGGGGTCTGGACCGCCCCTAAACCCCCGACCTTCCCCACCCTGAGAGAGGAGAAACTGCTGCAACAATAGTGTCTCCCACTCCTTAGCCACGCAATTGCCATGGAAACAGACATGAGCACAGCGTGATTCATGACTGCCAAGAGCATTGTGAGGCGGTTGCTATAGTTACCGTCTCCCTCCAGAGTCCTTCTCTCACAGTAAGTAGACCAGGGTTAGAGCAGGACACCAATCCACCCACTCCACCACTCAGTCATTCATTCACTCAATTACTCTCATCCATTCATAGACTCACATATCCACTCACTCACTCACTCACTCACTCACTCACTCACTCACTCACTCACTGATTCATTCACTCACTTGGTCATCCACTCCTCACTTTCCTTTTTTGTCTTTTCACTCAGTCATCTCTTCATGCAGTTACTCGATATCAGTGGTCGACCTACAATATGTTTTCATTACGTTTCATACATTCAGTCCCTGGTTGACTCACATCATTACATCTTTCATTTATTCATATTCTGGCTGATTTAGTAAACTTTCCAGGGAGGAAGTCACTCATTTATGCACACAATCATTACCCTGACTGTTTACTTACTTATTATTCACTTACTGGCATGCTTCTCTACACCATCAAAAAATTGTGCCGCAAACGGTCTAGCGTGTAGCCATCCTTAGAAACTAAAGTTTCCACATCCCAAGTGTAATTAACTCTTTTGCTCATTTCTAAATGAGTAAAACTGATTTAACTGTAAATAGGAATTGATACACTTTCTCTTGAACTTTCTGTTTTCTATGTCTCAAATCACTTAAGGTTTTCAATCACCCACTACCTCTATCACTCTTAAAGAGTCTCCCACTCTATTACTCCTCCATTCATTAAAAAAAACAAAAAACATGATTTTCTGAAAATCATTCACTAGCCATCATGTACATGCAAGCAAATGCATTCAATGTTGAAAAAGTGATTTGTTAGATCATTTAGACACACACACGCATGAACACACACACTCAGACTAACATGTGAGGGGATGTAGATGTCGTAAGGGTTGCCCGAGTCGACATCGATGACATGGAAGCCAACACTGGAGCCGTAAATGACTTTCAACCTCTGTCCCTCCTCCACGGTCAGGTCCACTAGCTGGGGGCGATGCTGCAGATCAGTGAACGACTGAAAGACGGAAAGATACACAGATTGGATAAACACCTGAAGGACAATAATGAGAGAAAAAAAAACGCTTAAACTGTGCAGGTTCCCCCCATTTCCACAACTAAAAAGTTTAATGCGATAATTGTTTACATTTTAAAATAAAGCAGGATGACTTTTGTTGTTAAAACACAACATACACAAATACAGAACAAACTCAGTCAAGAGATAAAAGGTTCCATTATGACCAAAAGTTCCTGACAGGAGCCACAGCAGATGATGTTGTGGTCTGTATCTCAATGAGCCCGTGTCATCTACATTTAAAAGTATTTCATTAGTTTTTATTCGACTCTGACAGTTCGATCGCATCATGACTCCTCTTACCTTGAAGGCCATAAACTTGTGGTAAGGTTTCGGCGCCCAAGCGTAGATCTCCACTGAGTTCTTCAGAGCAATCACCAAAAATTTAATCCTCTCGTACTTCACTGCAGGAGGAAAGCAGAGCAGTCTAAAAAAACTCAAGAATTGATTAAAGATTTAAGATTTAAAACAGAATTGCTAACTTTTAAATGGACCAGCTTTTGGACCCTAATTGGGATGCGAGTCCTCATAACGTAACCACAAAAAAATGTTTTTCTTACCGACTTTATAATGCACACAGCCCTCCAGCTCCCCGACAGTGATCCAGCCCTGTTTCTTTTCCACCTCAGGGTCGTTGTGTAATATCCTGTTCCTCAGCCAGGACAGGTAGTAAACACGCAGCTTGTTCTTCTTCCCTGGTTAGGACAAAATCAGAGACATACATATCTGTTTTAATCTACAGGTTTGACTATTAAGGCATAGGTGGGGTAGAGGCGATAGTCTTATTGATACTGGGATAACAATTTCATTCAACTCAATAAACTTTAATTATCCATGAGGAAGTTCATTTGTGTTCGAGCGTCAGTGCTGACACAACACATACTGAAGCAGGCGGAGACGAAACACAAAAAAGGAAAACGTAAAAACATCACCAATTAGATAAACTTAGAATTTAAAATGTCCATGAATAAACACATCAATAATTGCTTGTGAGTAAAGCCTCCCTGAAAGTGAACTTCAAATACATTTATTTTTGTAAAAAAAAAAGAGAACATCAGACTTCAGATGCTGATACTTCAATTATGACAGTTAGACATTTTTGATGAAGCAGTCCCTTCGTCTCTCTCCCTGCGTCCGTCTTTTTGTCAGCATACCAACCTGAGATGGTGACCAAGACGTTGAGTCCCTCCAAGACGTCCATCTGCTGGAAGCGCCGTCGATTAATCAAGTTGTAAACTTTGCCCTGACCGCTTCGATCCAACAACATCAGGCCGTTCTCCGTCCCCACCAGGAGATTCACTCCTGTAAAAACGTACATTTTATTTGTTCACAGCCTGTCTTGTAATTGAGATTATCATTGTGACGGTGTGCTGGTGACTGTCTCACCCCACAGAGCTGCACAGAGGATCTCGGAGTTGAAACGTTTCTTGTATTTGCGGATCTCGGGTGTGTCGCTGTGCGGTCTGATGTTGGTCGGGTTCACGTTGACCACAGAGATCTTCTTGGCCTCGTTGAGTCTCGCCTGTTCCTGCTCGTGCTTCAAAAGCTCATCAGCAAACAGCGCTGCAGCAAAATAACACAATACACATATTAAGCAAGTTTTCCAGTTCACTGTGACAGTTGTAAAAAATACTCAAAAATTGATACCAATTGCTACAATTTTAACAACTATTACATGCCAACAGGTTAGCCACACACTGAGAATTATCATTGGTGTGACTCTACATGGCGCCATTATTTACAAAATGAACATAACCCTGCTCTGAAGAAGACTCAAAACTAGAGATTTAGACCATAAAATCAATAAGAAAATGCTTTATGAGAGGGTAAGAGGTAGGGTGCTTTTTTTCATTTTCACTCCGTTACTTCTTTGTTGTTGTCATATTTTGAGAAATCTTACCTTTTAAAGAGTGAAGTATAAGTAATAAGTAGTTCAACCAAAGAGTTATAACCTCCTTCAGACTGTTTTAAGTAATCATTCCGAATAAAGTTGTCTCCATATTTGAGCTGTTTTCTTCCTATCATCCAGAGAGTTAGAGTACCTGAGGCAGAGATGTTATCATCGTCGTCAGTCGGGGACGTCCCGTACACCCTCGGATCAACGAACGGTGTGAAGGACGACTTGGAGCCCCCGCTGCCTCCCATTCCGTACTGCAGATCACAGAAACACAGGAAACAGTCAGCCATTTGTTTGTCAGATCGTTTGTTAGCTCTTTGGGATAACAGGTAGCTGTCAAAATAAAGGAGACTCAGCGTGGTTGTTGAAGCCTTTTTGGTCTGTGACACGAGTTTGTTCCTTGATTCTTTCTTTATGGAAACAGGTTTTCAGAAACCATGAAAACTAAAAGACAAGTGTCCACCAAACGGTGAAAAAAATATTGTAAATGTAAAACGTTCAACTGTTTAAATATGTAAAAATAAGGTTCAAAAATCTTGTGAATGATAAAACACTTCATGGGCATGATTTTGTGTAGACATGCAACTAATAAACAAAAGTGCATCGTTTTCCCTGAAAAAAGTTCACTTTTGATTTTTCAGCAGATGTTTCGTATCTGCACCTTTTTGAGAGCAGCTGTGATCAGATTGAAACTTTTAACGATCCGCGTTTCCTTTACTTTGTCAGCCACTTGTAATATCTGCTCAAGGTGGACTTTGCGGATATAAAGGCTGGAAAACTAAGAAAGAGAGAGGGAGAAAGGGGATCAAACGGGAAGAAGAGGAAGAAGGGGAGGAATAAATCCACGAGGAATAAATTCCATCCATCTGAAGGAAGAACACAGGAGCCAAAAAGTACAGCAGGGCAGGAAATTAAAGGGGCCACATGTTGTAATGCTTTGAACTTCATTTTTATAAATCAAATCTTTTTGATTAAAGTTTCTGAAAATTTATGACAAAAGTTTATACTAAAAGACACCCAAAGGAGACCGCTATTCTGCTTTTGGCATTTACATTTTGCTACTTGCTTAAATCAGCATCCCAATCAAATCAGTTACTGTGGATCACAGGTGAACTTTTAGATCTTTTGATAACTAACATTTTGTTCCTCTAAAGATCCACCCTACAATCCAAATATGTGTTGCTCTTTAAGGCTCCATATTTTATTTTCTGCTCCCGCTTCAACCAAAAATCTCACAAACTCTACTGCTTTATATCTGAATAACCAGCTGGTGGTGGATTGGTGGCTGTTTTGTAATTTCCCGCCCTGATAAAGGTGTCAGTTGGTTGGTGGCAGGTGGAGTGTAGCAGGGTGACAGGGTGAATAGGTGACAGGGTGCTAGTCTGTCAGGGTCAGGTGTGGGGGGGTTTCAGGGGCCAACTTTCAGGTGCAGCTCCACCTACTTGGGCCCCAAAGGCGTCACCAGGGGAGACCAGAGGGGAGGTGCTTTGCTGCACCAAATCAGGGAGATTGGCGTTACCGGGGAACAGATTAGCGTTGCCGGGGAAACCGTTGCTGGCGGCAGAGCTCCGCCTCCGTTCTCTATGTTTCTGGAAAAAGAGAGAGAGGGACGGGCTACTGTGTGTACAGGACTGTGACTGACAGGTCAGGTGGTGGAGGGAGGAGGCTGAATGCTGCTGTGTGAGGGTGCGTTTGTTTTTGTGTCTGTGTAGATTTTCAGTAAGAGGGCGAGAGGGCACTGAACCCGGAGGCCTCAGAGACAGAGTGAAGCACTACACACATGTTTTACACACACAACATGCAGCACACACACACACTGAGATTACTTCCTGCATGCCAACTTTTTATTTTTTTACTTACTGGGTGATAGATGTTCATTTAGATTTGAGGAACTCTACAATTTTACAGACTTAACAACAACTACGTATTAAATTAAATATTCAGCAGACTAATTCATAAAGGAAATCAAGAAGGTATACTTAGTTAAACTGAAACATAAGCTCTGCAGCCTGCTGAAGCCGATCTACGTAGATGTCCTGATTTTTTGGAACATTTTATTAATTAAGACCCCAAAAAATAACAAATAAATATAAATAAATAAATAATAAAAATAATAGCCTATGTTTTAACATTTTGTATCTAAAGTGAACTGAAGCGTACTGCTGTATCAGAACGAAATTTAAATTGATTTTTCAATATATTTAAACAAACTTTTATCTCAGCACGGGGGAAGCCCTGACACTGATAATGTGTTGACTTCTATAAACATTTTTGGAATTTGCAGCTAAATCTGAAAAACACGCACGCACGCACACACACACACACACACACACACACACACACACGCACACACACGCGCACACACACACACACACACTTCAGATCGAAAACAGGAAGCAGCGAGGCATGCAGAGCCGGTGAATTAGTGTCTGAGCGCAGTGTCAGTTTCTGATGAGTCGGCGAGGCTGCAGCTACACCTTGAGGCGGCTCACCTCACGCATCATCAGGGTGCTGTCCTGGGAGCTGTTTCCATACGCGTCGTCATGGGTGTCATTGTGTCCTCCTATCCCGCCAAAGGACTCGTTGCTGCCTTGACCTGCAGCTGGCCTGTAAGACAGAAAACCAAGATGTTTCAATGTCTCTCTTTTTTCCATCTTCATAAATTGACTCAACATTCTTTTAAAAAACATGTCAGTGCCTGTTCCTAGTCCTTTCACTTCCTGTTGTACCTCAAGTTTGACTGAAAACAAAAGGAGTTGTTCCTATGAATTAGCTCCGACACTTAGAAACACTTTTTTTCTTGAACATACACTCTGGGCCTGCAAATAATTGGGCCGATCTTGGGCCAATAATATGCAAATAAGTCAGTAAGACACCTCCTACTTCACAAAACCCACGCAAAGTGTTGAATGTTACCCTTTCTGCGCTGCGGAGCAAACAGCGTCTGTGTGCACTAGTGTTGTTTGCATGCATTGAAATTCACTGCCATGCATTCATTTTGGGGAAAAACTGGCCCCTACTATACAAATCGTCATTATTGCAAAGAGTGCCTAAATCTCAAACACCTGCGCTGACGGCGTCACTTTAAGAAAGTATTGTGATGCTGCTCTTTTCCAAGATCCAGTTGCCAGGGAGTGTTATTAGAATTTTAAACAAAGCCCTGGTTTTGTAGGCTGTAAAACCAAAATAATGACACTAAATGTAGGGAGCCCGATGATTACGAGATGCTGTGATTCAGGTTATATATTTACAAATGTAGGGAAGATGAAAGATCTTTATGACTGAGCGTAGTTGGAAATCATGTCTTGGAATAGCGTCCCCTTCCTGCAGTCTGCAATGAAAACGTGTTGAATTTAACCAGAAAACAGACAACAGTACTCACATAATGCGCGGTATATCGCTGACGGCCACTGATCCGTCATTGGACCTGCCCTCACCCTCCTCGTCCTCGCTGCTGTGGGAGTCCTCGCTGGACGACGAGTAGTCGGTCACTTTGACAGGCGGGCGACTGGTTTCTTCCCCCTGTCGCAGCTCCCTCAGCTCTTTGGCCAGAGCCGTCAGGTCCTGGAGGACGGGAAAACAACCGAGACAGTCACAAACCAAAGCTGAGGGTTCAAACTATGGGGAACAGCTTTATCTGAAGACCCGGTGTTCAGGGTTTTCATTCCAGCGTCTGAATGAGAGACTGATCTCGACTGACTACAAGTGGCATGTGATGGAGTCCTTCATGCATTAAATTGAAGTTTTATATATCTAACCACATATGTATCATTAGGGCTCTATCTTTAAAAAATGCATTGGTTTTGTGTCATTCCTTCATGGACTTTAACATTTTATGACAAATGTTGGTTTTGCAGAAGAAAAGTTTATGTTTTTTGCATGTGTTGCAAGTTTACAATGAATTTCTTTTGGTATATGAAGAAGAGGATTAACGGCACATTGCACGTGGTTTGAAAGATTTCTTTGCAGCCACATTGTTGAGTTTGTGAGTGTGAGGAAGGGCAGCGAGCAGCAGAACGGCGCAGGAGAAAGAGGAGGAAGAGGAGCAGGAGTATCATCATGCCTCAGTGCAGGAGAGCCAAAGGGTTAAAGCTCACAATTCAGCCTCTGTGACATCTCACTGTTTCCAGCAAAAAAGTTGTGCATGTCAGAGGTCAAAAAAAAAAATGTTTGGGTAGTTTGTGGTGGTGGGAGGAATGGGCAGGGGGATTATCTTACCAATTCCTCCTGATGAGAGAGAGAGAGAGAGAAGAGATAAACAGGGAGGAGAGAAAGAACGACAGAGTGTGACTATGGAGATGAAGCATGAGAGCAGAGATGTCTGAAGGGATAACAAATAGATGAAAGGAAGACATGGGTCCTACACTAACTGATAACACATCAATTACAGCTGTAGCCCCTGATACAACAGCAAAAAACAAGAGTAGAGACCATTTTTAAAACTCAAGAGAGTTAAAGGTTGTATGAATTTGAGGGCTGATGTCAGTTTATATGCCGTCGTTCTTAAAGGTTTTTATTTACGTTTCAGCTTTCTAGTCAATTGGACGGCAAAATATGCTGAAACATTTTTTTAAAGGGCCTTTAAAAATGCATCCTTTTTTTCCCATGGAAAATGAATGGCTACCGTTAATACCGTATTTTAACCCACACTTGCTGTCTTGCTTCAATAAGTACTTTTAAACCAAAGGACCAGACAGGCTGGCCTTTTCACAGCAGAGGTTGTTTGTTTAATTCAGTAACAAGATTTGAAAACATTTATAGGCAGATACTAGAAAAGAGGAGATCGACCTTGTACATGGACAATGACAGGCTTCGGTTTAGCCCTAGCTGCAACCTCCTGCAGAAAAAAAATTAAGCCAATGCAAAAGTGCACAACTGCAGGTCCCCAAGTGTCCACCTGAGGTTGTCTGCAAGAGCCAATAAACCCCGACTAGTTCCCATATGAAAGTGTGCACAGCAGAAATAAACATATCTACAGCCGGGTTAAAAACTGTTTTGGTCTTGTTAAGCTTATTTCTTTATTGGCACACACTGTACGGGTAGAATGTCATATCCATTTTAATTATATAGTTTAAGAGTTATGCATACATTTGCATAATGAGGGGTGTGGCTTGTTCGACTGACAGGTTGGCTTGTTGTCGATGTGTGTGAGGAGGCTTGAGGTCCGCCTCAGCTCCACCTCTTTGTCTGTTTGTAGATTTATAAAAAGTAAGAGTCATCATTGTCTCGACTTCAAAGGTCTCTTTAGAAACCAATGGACGACGTCCCTGACACTACGTCCATGTTTTATACAGACCGTGGTTTTGCCTTCAGTATGTCTTTGCCGCCTGCCCTTTACTGAAGCTTGACATGCACCTTCAATGATACAAGTAAAAAGGCAAGCCATTCACAGTACAAAACAATCTGTCAATCAAAAGTGTGTCAGAAGACCATCAGACTGAGCTCATTTAAAACAGAGACTGATCCAGTGCTCAGAAAGATCTCCATGAACTGATTCTGATCTGAACTTAAAATGCATTTTTTTCAGATGTGACAATGATTAAAAAGCCGACTTCAAGTGAGAGAGGTGTCAGAGAGGGGGTGAGACAATGAAAGGGAGAGAGAGGGGTGAGTGAGAAGAAATGTCACTGACCTCGTCTACAGCTTTCTTATAGCTCTGAAGGAAGATGAGAGGGGGATGGAGGAAAGCATGAACAGCAGCATGGTTAGTTCAGAGAGAAGAGACCGTCTGTCAGAGTGTGTTTGTTTTTTCTACAACATCACCTACCGGTACTTGTGCAGAGTACTCCCATATTAAGACTGTACAGTAGAAGAGAATGTTTGGGTTGCTTGGTAACAGTCAAGTTTCAGTTTAATGGTGGAGCTAGTTGAGTTAGATAACTCTTTAACTTTAATAGAGTTAAATAATAAAATTAAATAATATGTCTTGAGTGTGATATGTACTGTATATCAAACTGAAGGTCTTGATGTTGTTCTAGATATCAGCATCTGCTGTGATGATCTCATCAACAGTCACTGATATACAGGACAACATCACTCCCTCTCAGGCGATATGGCTTTTAATTGTCATAATGCAGATTGCACAGTGGTAAAATAGTAAACATCATTTATCTGGATTATATTATTGATGCATAATTGATGTTAAATTTCTAATTTTAATTAATTTTTTAACAATACAACTGTTAAAATTCTGTATTGCCAACATACTATATCTGCGGTGTGATGAATAGCTGTCGAATATTTATTGGAGTAAAAAAGAGAGAGAGAGGAGAGAGAGAGAGAGAGAGTGTGTGTGTGTGTGTGTGTGTGTGTGTGTGTGTGTGTGTGTGTGTGTGTGTGTGGTGTGTCCGTGTGTACTTACTGCAGGCCTGCTGGGTCGTGTCACCTCTCTGCCGTCATCTTTGGTCTCGTGGGAAGAAACTGTTGAGCCTTCAGTCATAACGGCTGAATTTCCTGAAAGCAGAAACAACTACAGTGAGGGTGAGGACGCTCGCGAAATAGAACTTAAACCTGTTTTGAGCTGAGTTTTAAAGAAGCTCTTAAAAATGGGCACATTTTTGGACGGCAAGGACAGTCTAGAGCTGTGAAAACCTTTGAGTTAACGTTTAGGGGAAATTGAAGACTCATCGTTCAGGAAAGTGAGGACAAAGATCAAAGACGATTTTAGAGATCGGGGACAATAGAGAGATTACGGATCTAGATATTTAGAGAAAATCAGGGTTTGGGCAAATTGTTGCACATTTTAGCGAAATCAAGAAACATTTTGGTAAAAGGACTTATAAGGATGAGAGCCCTCACACACGTGATGTACAGACATGTTTGTGCATGTGTGAGTGTGCACCTCGTTCGTTGGAGCCTCCCTGGGAACTCGGGGTGCTGGAGCTGGAGGAGCTGTTGCTGCTCGTCCTCTTCAGGGGCGTATCCATAGAAATGTCTGTCCTCCGCAAGTCAGGGTTGCTACGGCAACACAAACACAGACAGCGCTGTCTCATTCATGCGGGAAAACTGTTGGAATCCTGCTCTGAACTAACAATGAAAACATGTCACACCTGCGCTTCCACAAACACAGCTCCCACACACGGAGCTGTGTTTGCATCATATCAGAGCACAGGGCTTGTGTGTCTCTTAGTGAGTGTGGTTGCCTAGAATGTATAAGGTGTGCTCCATCAGTATGTGTGTTAGAAAAATTTGTATTTAAGAATATGACAAATTAAACTGCATGACTTCAGCATGAGAGTGTGTTTGTGTGTGTGTGTTTGTGTGTGTTGTACCTGGCCCGTATGAGGTGAGCTCCGGCCCGAGGTCCAAGGCCAGGTCCATTTCCAGGAGAGTGCTTCCTGACCAGAGCCGGAGAGATGGAGGTCGTCCTTTGAGGAACCTTGAAACAAAAGACAGGGTCAGAACCTCCATCATGATTTAATATCACACGCTCTCCGACTAAGCAGAGGAAACAGAATCTAAAATATAAACATTAACATGTGACTCTCAATCTTAATTAAAAGCTTCATTAAATAATAATATAAAGGTGAAATAACAATAAAGGTAAAATGGCTTTAAAAAAGTATGATGTTAATATGATTACCTCAGGGAGTGGCATGACTTATTAAGAAATGGACCATTAAGTCAAGTACATTTCCTCTGAGGAAGCACACTTTTTGTTAACTTTTTCATCTAAATTTGCTTCGTAAAAAAATGTTAAAATTTACAGCAATTAGTACTCTTAAAAAAGAAAGTTAATAAGATAATATAGCGCACACCACCTGTTGTAAAAATAATACAAAAAACATTGGCTATAAGGAGAGAGTCCCACAAAAGAAACTCAACAAATCAAACAAATGATTAAAAGTTTACCCAGAAAAAAAACAACAGAATTTAGACAAAGAAAAGCTTCAAGCCAAAAGGTTCAACACACAAACACACACACACTGGGACAGACACACTCAGGTGGTGGCATGCAGAGACCTTGGGGGGCATGTCGTCGTCCTGTCGCAGCCACGAGCTGCGGTCCAGCTTGTCGAGGGGGGGCGCCAGGCGGGATAGGGGCGGGGGAGGAGGGGTGTCGGAGGTGGGGTCAGAATTCTGCCGGGGCATGGGAGGCCGGGATGGGGAGGGTGACGCCGAGGAGGAAGAAACGCCGTGAGGATCGTACAGGGACTGGGAGCCTGACAGACCGTGACTCTTCACTTGCACTAGGTGGGCCATCTGAACACACACACACACACACACACACGCGCAGGAAACAGGCAGGGTTCAGGAGGAAGAGCAGAATCAGGATTTGGGTTCGAAAAACGTGATGATGAGGAGAGATGCAGGGTTGGAGGAAATGATGCAGAAGGAGTGATGAAGGAGAGAGATGAGGCGAGAGAGGAAGGTACAAAACACATGCCTCAGGGTGCGTTCACGACTGTCATGTTCAAAAACTGGGCTTTTTGTTCTTTGGTGTTGTGGAAAATGCTGACTTTGACCCTACAAACCCTGAAATAACACTGATCTCTGGAAAATCTCACATCCAGCAGTTTGTAATTGTTTGTCTTGATAAAAACAACAGAGTCAAAGCAATCTGATGTGAGAGTGAGATTGAACAAACGTCATCAACTCATCAGATTATCTTTGTCCAATTGTGGACAAAAAAATAATCATGTAAGTCAAATTCTAAATTTGAATCAGTCCATCCTTGAGTCCAAGTTAAAGTTTGTTACAAATTCCCTTCAGGGACTACAGATGTAATGAGCTCAAGTGGCTGTACACTGTCCCTGTCAACATAACCAAATACAAAAAAATGTAAACAAAATTCCCTCCAGGCTACTCTGACTTATGATCGTGATGATGACCGATGTTCACCAAAGCTGGCTCCCCTTAGCTTTATTTTAAGATTATGTCCATAAAAATCTGAAGAATGAATGAAAACATGCAAACTGGGCATAGATTCTGCAAGCATGGCACCAATCACCTGTCACTCTCAGGTTTCACCTCACTGACCACACCCACAGATCGTTCTTTTAAACCTTCTCTCATCTAACCTTCCTTTATCTGTCACTACTCCACTATGGTTGCACCCTGAGTGTTGTTATGTTGCGATTCATGCAAACACACACGTACACAGACGCAGACAAATAAAGACATAGAACACACACCTGCGGCTCGACAGAGCGGTGCATGGGTGGGGTCCGGGCCTGCTGGATTCCTCCACTGCTGAACGACTCGGAGCGCGGCGGCAGAGAGGGGTCCGAGATCCGGTTTGAGACTTTATGCTGCAATGCAGGAGAAGTCTGTCTGTTCATCTTATAATGCTCCTCCACCTGACACATACACACATACATCAGACCACAATCACTCAGCATGCAGTGAGGTGTGTGTGGAGAGTTTAAATCTGTTAGCACACACTCATGATCTGTTTGTTTTATGGGAAGGCTATGATCTCATCCATCATTGGTTATATGTGAAAAGGCATTACTTGTGGTTTGTTAGTCCAAAAATGAAAGTGTTAAGGAACATTTTAATTTGAATGATAGAAGTTTATATTTTGACTTTCATGAATTCCACTCTGCTATTCTGCATTCAGATTTTTTTTTAAATCATTCATATTCACGAGAGTTGGCTCAACTTTATCACAGTCATGTTGTTTTGTTACTGAAGCGTTCACATGAGAAAATAAACTTTTGCTCTGTTGAACGAGAACCCACTCAAAGCAGCAAGCATTCCCTGACCAATTTTATTCGGTTTGGGTTTGAAATATGGGGAGATACTTGTGTCTTTGGGTAAAATCGGTGATATGTTATTAGTTAGTTTGTAGACTGCGCAGGCAACTTAGACTTTTGCAGTTCAGCCGCAAACCTCACTCTGACCTATCAGGATCAACTGTGCCGATAACACCAGACATGAATCCAGTTTGGAAAATTTGCAGAATAAAAAAAGGATATCTGGCAAAACTTGGTTGCAAGAAAATCTTTTCAGAGCTTTTTGTTGCTTAAAGAACCAGTTTTAAATCATTGTAGAAGGTAGAGTGCACCTGGTACTAAGAAGATACCAAGGACTCCCTCAAGGATAAGTATCAAAGTATAAAGAGTTTTCATTTTGCCAAAGACTGCATGGACAGTAACACTAAGGAGAAAGGTTACAAACTCACTTCCCACCAAAGTTAGTTTACGTTGATCGAGGACATGAGACTGCTTTAATCTGCAGAGATTTACAGAGGAGATTTTTTATCGTTTTGACAGATCATTCTGCAGATAAAGGCAGATGAGAATTTGACCCTTTTATAGCAAAAGTCTCAAAAGTTACATGTGTTAAAATGTGCTGAGTTAACAATCTTGTTACTGTAGTTTGTTGGTAACCTGCACTCTTTTCTTCTTTAATTGCTGTGAATTTTAAAAAGCTGTCCTGCTTGCTCTAGAGAGTTGAACTTTAACACCTGCAGTCGTTTCATATGAGAGGTAATCATCTGTTTTTAGAGAAGGACTTTTTGTCTGTGCATGATGGAAATATTTCTCCCTCAAAGGAAATCCTTGGAGGCTGAGGTGAGGGTAGACCTCTCTGTACGTGTGTGGGTTTCTTTTTGTGTGTGTGTGTGTGTGTGTGTGTGTGTGTGTGTGTGTGTGTGTGTGTGTGTGTGTGTTTCCATGCATGGTGTCCGCAGAGAGATGGACTGATATAGCTGCAGCTGCCCTACATTAGTCCATTAGCTGCCACCAGAGGGCAGGGCTGCAGATCTGCCCTAAATGTGTGTGTGCGTGTGTGCGTGTGTGTGTGTGTGTGTGTGTGTGTGTGTGTGTGTGTGTGTGTGTGTGTGTGTGTGTGTGTGTGTGTGTGTGTGTGTGCACCAGGGAGGGTTTCATACTTGTGTATAAAGAGCTGACCTGTATCGCCTTCACTAACATCTTACTTGACTTGAATTTAAAAACTGTGTGAAAGTAACAAGATGTCAGGCTAGAGGAACGAAGAGGAGTCACAGCATCATGTTCGTTAAGTGTGTGAAGCTGAAAATGTCTAAATAATAAACGTAGGAAAAAGGAAAGACTTGAACTAAAGAGAACCCTGGTAGGTTAATGAACACAAAGAAAGCCTGTAATGTCAACGTTTGTTAAAGTTAGTATTTGTTAGATATTTGACCCAACACCACAAAAACATGCAAGAAACCAGTGTTTTTACTTCTAGTGCTTCAACCAAATCAGGAGTAAAACTCTGTGTTTCCCTTCTTTTTAAACGCATTTGTCGCAAGAAAGATGAACAGGAATAAAACACATCGTAACCAGATCAACAGTATTGCCTATTTTCTTTAAGTGAATAAATCAAACAGAAAAATCCCAACAGCTTTTAGTAAAGGGAACCAGTCAGTGCTACATCCAGTCAGAAACCTGGGAAATGAAGAGTGAAAGTCAAACATCAAGAAAAGTCGAGATTATCTGAACAGAAGGAAACACGTTAGTAGATAAAAAGAGAGAGAAATACAGGGGTTAGTTTCATGTGGACTACCTCTGTTGTTATATGTTTCTGGGGATTTTTTTTACACCCATTACTTAAAAATAAAACCATATTGCAATACCACAACAAATTTAGCATTTAGGATCCTTAAAAAAAAGACAATCTAGTCATGTAAATGTATTGCTAGATGGCTTCCAAAAAATGTATAAACCTTGAGGATGACTTTTTGATGATAAGATTGTTTTTCACTGTGAGTAGCGCCACCATGAAGTCAAGTTATTGTACTTTTCAGTGTAATATTTTAACAACTATTGGACGTGTTGTGACTAAATCTGGTGCAGATATTTGGCTAGCATCCGAGATGTGAACAGAGGTCCCGTGCAATGATTTGATTATATTTATGCTAATTAGAAAATATCACCTTGCAAATACGATAAACATTCAACCTTAACGTTATGGCTGTCATTGCACTCAGGCTGATTTTAGACTTTAGTAAATGCTTATTCACAGCCTCACACAGCTGCTGCAGATTTGTAGTCTTGTACATCCTTTAATAAGAAAAGTCTAATGTGATTCAGAGCTGTTATACAAGAGGTGGGAGTTAGTGTCAGTGTTGGAAGGAAGCTGGTTGGAAGCACCGACAGAACTAATCAAAGAGGAAATTAATCAAAAGATTCCTGTGAGAAAAAGATGAGATGAGGGGGTGAGAAATTGGGGTGAAAGAGTAGACATTATAATTCTGCAGCCAGCCCAGAGTTAATGTGTGAGTCCGCCTGGTTAGAGAAATAAACTGTTAGGAGGAATTAAAGAGGGAATCATTCCTGCACACGAGTTAGTACGCAGCCTGGATCAAAAAGAAGACGAAGAGATAATAAGGAATAATGAGTCTGCTCATCCTCCAACTGACCCGGCGGCCGGGGCTCCGCCCTCTGGAGTTGGGGCTCTGCCCTCTGGACTTGGGGCCCCTGCGGCGCATTACTGGCTGAGAAGAGTTGGGGGCGGGGTTAGGTTTACAGGTAACACGGATATGAGGCACATGGTGGTGATCTCTGGAGGGGCTGTTGTGGGCGGGATAGGAAGGAGGGCGGGAGCGTCGAGGTTTGTAACCGGGGAGTAAGAGTAGGTTGCCGAGGTTGACATTTCTTGGCTCCCTGAAGGAATGATATTTCTTTGGAGGGATGCGAGGAGAGTTGCTCTGAGCTCGATGCATCACCTGGAGAGCAAGGTGAGTGTTTAGACACAAGAACATATACATACATACAGTCTGGGAATGAAAAGGCAGGCGTCTGTCTGGGATGTAACACACCCTCTGACACAGGTGTTAATAAATCCCCTGAAAACATATCAACAACATACACTGTATATGAAAATAGACAACACGTCTCTACCTCCATCCGTTATTTAAAAGTGAAGCCAAAATACCCCGAGCCTCAGCCACAGACATGTTGCACATTTTGAGGCAAGGTCTGCACAGGAGAGGTTTGCTGCTTGACATCCTGCCCTTCCTCTTACCAAAACAAAACATCTAATTTAGCGATGAAAGGTTCTGGATTTAACCATCAAAAGCCCCTGGGGGGTTCAGTCCACAGCAGAACTGTTTCTTGTGTCAGTTTGAAGCAGACACTCATGGTTTAGGAAAGTTCAATGACTCTAGTGATAGTGTTTGTTACGTTTCCTCTCACAGGTCCTCCTCCTGTCCGTGAACAGAGCGCTGAACAAGCCTCATTTGTGCAACAGAGCTGTCCATCATAATGTTATACTCTTTTTTTATGGCATCGTATAAGTGGTAAAAACTAAATAAAATATGTAAACATGGAGGAAGCAGTTTTGGCTTCACTTTAGGAGGACAGCTATGTTGTCCATCTTTTATTCAGTCCATGGTCCGCACACTTTTAACATCAGTTTGTTTGACTGAAAAACAGATGATTTATGATTTATTAAAGCACCAAAGTAGGAGCAAAGATAAATGTTATTTTCGGAACTCCACCTTTGACCAAAGTATTTCATGAACAAACGTTCAGTTGCTGCACCTAAAAGAGGCAGAACACATTTGAAGCACCACCACACACAGAGATCAACTCTCATCTGCAGGTAAAGTAGAGATGACACCTGGAGGCAAAAACAAAACCTGCAGGGAGCTCTGCTGGCCTGGAACCAACGGCTATGAAAACTAAAACTTTACAAACAGGGTATTGTGATGCAACTATTTACAAAGTGAGGTGTTAGGAAAATATGTTTTTGAAGAAAAAGAAAAGTTTTCCGTCGTTTTCTCTCCTTGTGCGTGTGTTTGTGTCTCCGACTGTTACCTCTTTGGCCCATGCGGGTTTGTCGTTGGTGCCGGGCGCCTGGTCTTTGTAGTGGTACAGCTGCTTCTTGTCCTGTGGCGGTCGAGTCGGCTCCTGCTGCTGCTGTTGCAAGGACACCAGGTAGGCTCGCTCCTGCTGCAGCTGCCTCTGCAGCCGCTCGGCCTGCCGCTGCTCCTCAATCTGCTTCCTCTTGTACTCCTTCACAACAGAGGAGAGAGATATGATAAACGTTCAGGCAAACGTACAAGGTCAAAGTAAGTCCTCTAAAAATTATTAGCCAAAAAAGTTAGGTTAGAAATTCGTGAAATCTAAATTCCATCCTTTGGTTCCATGTTACAGTTCCTCAGTTTTTAAAGAATTATGTGAATTTTCTTCTACCACTTAGTTTGGAGCAAAACCACCAGTGTCCACTAGAGGCTGTCTCCTGCAGTGAGTCAATCCTTATAAAGCCCAACGTTAAAATGTCCAACATTACAGAAGAAATAAGCATGTTTAAAGCCTCCTACAAAAACTGTTTTGGTCTCTATAGCTCATTTCTCTTATGATTAAGACATTAGTAATAAAATAACTCTGTAAATATTCATATTTATTATGTAGTCATTATTTTATGTATCATTATTTATGCAACAATTGAGTTTCCCCAATGGGAAATCAATAAAGCTTCTCTTTCCTGAATTGTATCTTATGATTATGGGCGTGGCCTCTTTGAGTGGCAGCTGAGTGCTTTGAGCTGCCTGCTAGGTGTCACCTCAGCTAATATAGTCAGAGGCTGTGTCCGGATCACAAACTTCTCACTGTTTAATGAGTTCCCCATTTTGTAGTGTGTCTAGATTCCGAGTGAGCATAACATACCCTATATAGTGCACTCAATGTATCCCACAATGAATTGTAAAAAGTAGTGGTCCCAGTGCAAGTAATATAAACCATCATGCATTGCGGTTGAAAGCTTTTCTTGCGAGCAGAAGGTGTTTGACTGCTCTCAGACGGACAAGAGGAGCAGCCAGCGTGAACACAGAACACAGAAACACAGAAGAGTCTTTATTCTGAGGCATTTGAGCTGAAATCTAGAAGCTGCTCCAATAAAACTAAAGAATTTTAAACTGAAAGATTATGTCAGGCAAGAATCCATCATCAGTGAGCATAAATAAATTAGTTTTGGTGTGAACATATGTTTCATTATTTATGAAAAAATCAGTATTTTTAAATGTATCTATTACATGTAATTGTTTCATAAACACCCTTGGTAAATTGTCAGTTATCACTAAAATTCATGCTGTTATTTACCATTATTATTAATCCTTGGCCGCTGTTAAGCTGCAGGTTTTAGATGTGTGACAGAAATGGTGTCACTGCCGGCGAGTGAGTGGGTAGTGTCTGAAATGTTTTTTTATTGTACCAAATGAGTTCACGAGACAGTCCACTAATACAGAGAACTCACTATGAAGGGAGTAGGTCGTATGGAACGAGTGTGTGACTTCAGACACAACCTCTGAACTTTACCTCTCTCGGCAGTGTTTGAGCTGTTTGGAGATTGTTTTAACGCTCACATCTCTGTGCGCTCCAGTGTTTTTTTAAGCGAGTTCAATTTAACACCTTTTTGATCATGCATTAGCGGACATTCTCGCGGCTTGTGCGTGGAAGGCAGAATTGAAGTTGGATATTCCCTGTGGAGAAGACAGCAGAGCATGGCGAGGAGAACCACGAAAGGCGGGTGGCTCAGTTCTAAAATGTCTGTGTGTGTGTTTCTCACACCTTCCTGTCATGTCAGAGGTCTGGTATTTATCTGAGACGTGTGTGTGAAAGTCTGCAGCAGTGAACATGTGTGTGTGTTAGTGTGTGTGGACTGCTTGTTAAACAGCTGCTTGTTTATGGAGGACACGCCGCTGTCTGCTTTCATTTCACTGAAAAGAATGACGACATCATCAGGAACAATAAAGCTGGGTAAAGTGTGATTACTGAACTGTCAGCTACCGACAGACACGCCTGCCGCTTTCTGTGTTTATTGATTTGTTGTTTGCTAACTTTTCTGACGTGTGTGACGTCTTGCCTCAGTATTGATCGAATATCGACTGCTTTCGCAAATTCCCTGTGAAAATAACAAACAGGCCGACAACACATCCTCAAAATCCTGGTATTGGGTGTCATGAAAACTTTTGTCACTGTTGTAGCTCAAGGATGAGCCTGCACATCCTTATTCCCATAAAAGTGTGTCTCTGTGGTTGTGTGTGATGTTACCAGCAGTAAGGCCTGCTCCTGCAGGAGCTGCTGCTGCAGGATCTCCAGCTGCCTCTGCTCCTCCTCCAGCTGTCTACGGATATACTCCTAACCAATCAGCACCAGGGTCGGTGCGAGGACGCAGCCAACCAGAGAGCACCGATGCAGGCGAGAAGCAAATCAGAAGCCCCAGGCAACCAGTGACATCAGCAGAGCAGGAAACAAGAGAGAGTAAAAAGAAGAGGACGGAGCAAAGTGGATTTAGTGAAGAGGTGTGAGAGCAGCGGTAAAGTCAGAAATAGACGAGAGATAAAAGAGAGTAGCAGCAGGGGGCCATCGTTAGTAGAACAAGAAGTCATGCTTATTAATGAAGGAGGAGAAGTTCACCATCAGCATGAAATCTAAGTGTTCAGGAAGAGTTGAACTGCAGTATAAGTTCACCATTAGTCGTGCAGTCATTTGCAAAGCATCCTGTCTCCCCTGTTATACTCTAGAATTAGAAATCTGTTTTTTTTTCTTTTAGTTTCTGTACACCTTTCTTCATTTATCATACACCACAGCCCATTGACATGATGTGTTCTCTTAGCATGAAAGCAGATCAGTCTTGGGCCGTCAACATATCCAGTAATGGAACCTTCATTAACACCATAGTTCACTGCGTCATATCTCTTGAACTTAAGATTATTCTAGAAAAAGGAGCACGTCCCGTCTGATGTTTGGATGGTCTAAGGTTCCATTTCATTCATTCATTTCATTTCATTGTGTGAAAGCTGCAAAAACGTTCATGCATTTCCCATGATGAAGCTCAATACTTTAAAAGTACTGCACATTCATTTTTGACACAAGTTTTTGAAATTCCAAGCTGAGACATCGCTGTTAGACATCAGGGTTGTTTTCTCCCTCATCTTCTCTAGAGAACAATGTGAACGAGACGTAACCCCTTAAAAGTCATCCAGTTTTAAAGCTAATGCTTTTTCTGCTTTCCTATCCTGGTTATCATATTTTGCCTGCACATGTAAGCTGTAACTGTATATTCATGCTTTGTTTCAAACAAGGGGAGATGAGGAAAAGAAATATCTCAACAAAACTCCACAAAAGGCACAGAGCAGTGATTTTTCAGGAGTTGAGAGGCCACTCCCCTCTGGATGACACCTGTGACGTGACATCTGTGGTGTTTCAGGTGTTGTCGTACCTGTTCCCTCTCTGCATGCCTCCTCTCCTCCTCACGGCGGATCTGCTCCATCTCCTCGTACCTCCTCCTCTGCTCGCGCTCCTGCTGCTTCCTCATCTCACGCTCTCGACGCTGTTGCTGCAGGCAGAGGAGATTTAACACAAGAAACTCCTTAGCTGTGTGTGTGTGTGTGTGTGTGTGTGTGTGTGTGTGTGTGTGTGTGTGTGTGTGTGTGTGTGCACATCAGGTGTGTTTCTCTGGCATTTAGATAAGCTGAGGTGCTAACATCACAGGTGTGGTGAGTTTGCTTTTTGAATGGGAGTCATTGAATAATCAAAGCTGAGATGTTTTTTAAAGGTGAAAACAGCCTCAGGCTGAAACAGGGAACTTCATTCTCATCTATCTGATGTGATGATGAGGTATTAACACTTCATCTTCTCAGGCATATTTTTTATCTAAATATGCTTATGGGAATGGGGCTTATTTTTATATCATATTGTTCAATCTGAATGACATACATGTACAAAAAGTTTTACAATTTCTTAAACAGTAAAACTCTTGCCATCAAGAAGTTATTAACCCTTTAACCATGATATAAACACCCTTCATCACATGGTGCACTCATGCTGACCTGATGGGAATTCAGTCTTTTTAAAGCCCCTTGCTAAAAGCATCAGGAACACTAATGTATATTTTACAATTTCCTGGTGATGTCTTTAAAGGGCATCTGAGTATTTGAGAGTAAAAACCTCTAAGCTCTCTGCACATTTTATTTCAACATAAACCGTATATAAGACATGGTCACAGCTTCAATGTGTCAAAAGTGCTGAAAACATCTGAACCCGCCCCTGTTGTGGCCAACCAAAGTGTGATGTCAAGTTAGCTATTCACTTCTGAGACACACTATGATTATTTTAAATTGTATTTTTGACTGTTTGCCTTCATCTAGATTTCTATGTTTCTTTTTCTTTGGATTTGCAATTTAGCCTGTTAAGAAAAATCGATCCCTTTCTTTGCCTTTTCAGCTGTTCACTTGCAACACTAACAGAGCGATTATTCTGGTAAGTGTGACATCAGCACTCCAATGCCTACATTGCGCTGTATTTTTCATCTAATGCAACTTGTCGACAAATCAAAGAATAAAAACTACCTCCTCCAGCCGTCGCCTCTGCTCTTTCTGCTCCTCAATGCGTTTCTGTCTTTCAGCCAGCAGTTGGCGCTTGTGTTCCTCGTTCTGCTGCTGCTCCAGCTGCTGACGACGGATCAGCTCCGACCGCTCCTTATTGGCCAGCTGGAGCCGCAGGAAGTCCCGCCTCAGAGTAGACTCTCCGGGGATGTTGATGATTGAACTAAACAAGAACAATCATGACAATTTCAAACGATCAGCAGAGGTAGGAGTGGCTGTAAAACCAGTAAATCAGAAATGTGATAAAAGCTAGAGGAGACACAGTAGCAGCAGTAGCACCACTAACCTTAAACTATATAAAAAATATGGTTGACACTGGAGCTCTCGAAACTGAAGCCAAAATATTAAGAGCTCCCCCTACTGCATTATACGTGGACATCAATGCCATGGTTTCAAAAGAAGATCCCTACAGCATATCAATCCTAATGCAAATGATTTCATTACCGGTGATGGGGAATTTGGCTTCACTTTTGTAAAACAGGAGGAGGTGAAGACATATTGTCCATCTTTCTATACAGTCAAGCCTTGGTCGTAATAGTATTAGCAGGAGAAGTGGAAGTAGCAGCCTAATTAACTACTAATAGGTCGCACTGAGGCAGCTGAATTCAAATGGCAGTATTAGTGATACCTGGGCTCTCCAATGTCCCTCTCTTCATCCTCCTCCTCACTGCCGCTGTACTCGTATTCTGTCTCATCTGGAAGAAAAACACAGACTTCAGGTTAGCTGCATTCACACATGCTGATGCAGGTGTGAGGTGATTCAGCGGGGGAGCAGCCTCACCCCTCTCCCCCCTCCTCTTCTTGGTGCGGTCGATGTGGTCCTTCAGCTGGATGCGGACCTGCCGCTCGTTGGGGAGGTCTCTGATGAACGGGTGTTTGAGGAGCTGCTCGGTGCTCGGCCTCTGACTGTGACTCTTCACCAGACAGCTGTCTATGAACGACTGGAACTTCTTCGACCTGGAAACACAACAACACAAATGTATATAGCGGCAGCAGAAGAAGCTAAAGTAGCAGTAGATAATAAATAAACACAAATACCATTCCTAGCCAAGATAATCATTAACTGGATCCAGATCATTATGTTCCATGATGATCAATAAAAGGTAGTGCACCTGTTCAGTAAGGCAGCATCGGTGCAGACTCACGGTTGGAGGGTTTAACGACCCACTCTCACTCCACCCTCAGAGGTTTTTGACAGCACTCAATGTGGATTTGGATTCCCTCGACTCTGTTCAGTACCCTTTTGTTTGTGTTTTTGTCTTTTGTTGAATAATTCTGTTTTTTTTTTAGTCTGCAATAGGGTTCGCTTTATTTGCAAAACTTGACATGGCCAAGACAGCAGAATAAAAGTATTGTACAAAGAAACAAACAACTAAATACAATTTAGAACACTTGCCTGGTTTTAAAAACATCAAAGCTAATAAAATGCTTTAGTTTAAAGCGAGCTACACACTACAAGATAATCGGGCTAATTTGGGGCCTGATCCCCCCGGTTCTGACCCAAGTCCGCAAAGGTCAGTTCATCTGATGGTTTCAAAGATTAGCATGCCAGATGTGGTGTGAGGTGTGTTAAGAGCTCGGTTTGAAATCATAAATATGTTCAATATTTACAATCAGAACTCCTGATGTGTGGCGAGAACACGGAGGACAGTCGAGCAAACAATAACCAATCAGGAGGCAAGCTGACTGAAACAGGAAGCACAGCAAATGCATACATGGGGACCACAACTAACACTCAGCATAAAGTTAGATGGACGTCAGAAATGGAGAACCAATTTGTGTTAATAGAAAGACAGGAGTCCAAAAACAACTACCGATTCTTCCTGCTTGTTGTCGGCGGTACTTCTTTCGTCTTCAACGCACAAGATTACGAGTTTTGACAGTCGAGAATCTGGTTGTTGGTGAATGAATCTGTTAGTGTGTGGTGTGCTGAGTCAGTCATCTTGTTGCACACACTATAAGAACTAGACTGTTCAATCTGTCAGTATTTGTTGTCGTGTGGGGTCTCTCACATTTTCAACATCGTTTTTAAGATTTAAACAATATTTTGGCTGCAGTACTTTAAAAATCATACACATCTGTTTTTCCATGTAAAGCAGATTATTATTAATCCCTGTAGATGCACTTTTACTCATAACAAGTGTGAGATTTATTTTGAAGACAGAATTCTGCTGAATGTGTCTCAGAGTCAGAGGAGGCTCAGTGTGAAGCTGACAGAGGATAATAACCACAGAACATGTGCAGTGCGTGTGTGTGTGTGTGTGTGTGTGTGTGTGTGTGTGTGTGTGTGTTATTGTGTGTGTGTTTGTGTTTGTTGTAATGTGTGTTTGTGTGACTCACCACTTCTTTGACTTGAGTCTGGGGGCGGGATTTCTGGGGATGAGGAAGAGCGCTCTCATTGGATGCATGTCACATAGAGCTGAGGAGGAGAGAAAGAAAAGAGGAGAGAAAAAGGGAGAAACAAGGAGAGGAGGGTGGAAGAGGGAGGAAAGGAAGGAAAGAAAGGAAAGGGCATAAGAGGAAAGGATGCAAAAAGGAAAAAGACAAAAGAGAGGAAGGAAAAGAAAGAAATCAAAATGAGATTGATGGGAAGAAGAGACAATACAAGAGGAGGGGAGGAAAAGAAGACAAGACATTGAGAAAACAAACATGAAAAAGAAAAAGGACAGGAATGAAAGAAGAAAAAGGAAAAAACAGAGACAGATTTAGACGTTTAACTACGAGACAAACTGTTCTCTGTATCCGTTCCTAAAAAATGTCATGAGTCTGAGGTTTCACACTTACGTGGTGCTCCCTCTGCCATCTCGATGGCTGTGATACCGAGCGACCACAAATCACTCTGCGCACAGAAAAAGAGAGAAAATGAAACTTAACAGACTTCACTTATTAATAATTCAGTCTACTGATCAGTGTTCTTGTTGAGTCATAAAAATACAGACACAAAAACTACAAATCGTCTGCTGTTGTAGACATGCACAATTAGTCATGACTTAAATAGGCAGTGTGTTTTTAGGCCGTGTTAAAGCTTCTTTAAGTACGTTCAGTTTGCATACATTATAGCACCCCCTGTGGAAAAGGGATATCTCTCATTTCTTTGCTTATATTCTTTCTTCACCATGAATCTTTGCCGTGAAAATGTAAACACAGATTGTTTATGCAGCATGCGGAAGCACACGTCGGCATGGCAGCAGTTAAACAATTAAAAAAAATACTTAATAGACATGTTGAACCTTGTCGCCGATGACTACTTTGTTTTTAAAAGTCATGAAAAGGTACAACCAGATAAAAACGGCTTTCTGAGTGTTTTTTTTTAACCTTTAAGACTAATAGACTAGTCTGAATTTAAATATCTGTTTCATCGACTTTAAAATGAATCTCTAGAAACACCCCTAGTGGTGGATCTCTGGCCTCATGCAAACATTTTATAATCTCTTTATTTGACTCTATCTGCATATTTCAGCCATCAGACGGCAGTGTCAAGTTGATGTTTTTATTGCGAGAGGATCTGAGGGTTTATTTAAGCCCCAGAGGGTGGGAGTTAATGGTGTCATAGCAGAGCCATGTTCATCCTCCACAGGCTCACCACAGGGAGCCGTCCTGTCCCCATTACTGCACATCCTTCATACAGAGACGACGGCTCCAGTCTCACTGCAGAGTCTGTCCTTTCTGTGAGGAGGTTTTAAACCAGCCTGTGTTTGTGCAGTTCAGTGGAGATGATCGGGGATTAAAGGATTGAAAATAAAAAGAACTGATCATTGAACCTTTTCAGGGACGATAAAGGTCAGTAGGTGTGACTTATTCCCTGGTAGAAACATTTCAACCCTGCCTGATGAGAAATTAAACATTGGAGATTTAAAAAAAAAGTATTTATTGTTTTCACTCTTTAAAACAACCCTCTGATATTATCCATCTTCAGTTCAGAAGTGCATGTGTAGATCTCTTTGCATGGTGTCTTAAATCATAAACACGTTACAGTTACATGAACAAAGGCGAAAGCCAGTAGCCATGATTTGACGATGATTTTTTTTTAGGGCAACGGTCTAAAGCTGCTGTTAACGCCCGGACAAGATTCCTTTCCAAAGTTTCCTGTTTTATTTGAAAAATATCCTTAAATAAAAGAAAATATTAAGCAAACAGAGGAACCTAAAACAGGCTTGATGGACACTAAGGAAAGTGAACATGGTGAAGGACCACTTTCTCAACCATTACCAATCAGTAATGAGTGCAGGTAAAGTGTACTTTAAAGTTGAGGTGACGGCAAAAACAGTCAGGTGACACAGACCCTCAGGCCAACAGTTGGTTGAACCTGCCTTTCTCAATAGTTGTGTAATTTACATTAAAAAATGACCAAATGTGGCTTACTGTCCTTCTACGATCCACATCTTCTCTGTATTGCTATGCTCTTTAAACCTATTTAAGTTCATTATTTTAATCTGTAGGACATGCTTCACATTCAAGTCGATTCATTTTCCCAAAAATGTAATCTATATATATATATGTAGATGATATTTATAAATATAATAATATATATAATTCTCTGGTACTTATTCTTTGCACTTAAAAAATGTTAAAAGTTGTTTCCAAGCAGCAGATATTTAATACAAATAAAGTGCAAAGTGTCCGGTCTATAATCAGGACAACAACATATATAACATATATAACAAAACTGTACAACATGTGCTCATGAAGCCAGTGATGTAGCATCACATTCACAAACACTCACAACAGATGATCACAGACATCAGGTGTACCTTGAAGTCATATGTAGCGTCAGGATTCTCGTCACAGGCGATGACCTCTGGGGCCATCCAGTACGGCGTCCCAATGAATGTATTCCTCCGTCCAACTGTACGGTCCAGCTGAGCGCTCACACCAAAGTCCACTGCGCACACACACAAACACACACACACACAAACCCACACAATTTAAGCTAAGCCAAATAATAACACATTGATATATCATTAAACTTTTATATTTGTTAAATGATGTGATTTTTAAAAGCTTAATATTATTTTAGCTGCTAAAGTTTGGTAAGCACCAGCAAATACTGCTTAAGATGACAAAACGTGTGTGTGCAAGTGGCTGTGTGTGTGTGTGTGTGTGTGTGTGTGTGTGTGTGTGTGTGCAGTCTCACCCAGTTTAACCTCTGCATTCTCTGTCAGCAGCACGTTCTGGCCTTTGATATCTCTGTGGATAACCTTGTGCTGGTGGAGATGGGTCAGACCCTGGAGACAGAGAGACAGGATCATCATAGAGTCTTTACTATGACAGTAGGGTAGTAGACACTGTGGTAGACATGTTCCAACTATAGTAGAGGCTATCTGACGTGAATGTATGCTTTGATTTTATTTACACTTAGAAGCTTTGACAGATTAAGTCCACTCTCCCCTTGAGTTAAAGGTCAGAAAATCATTAAAAATATTGTTAATTGCTGATTGTTAAGCTTCTCGGATTCCATCATGAAGTAGGGACCATTGACTGTATTTGACTAAGTATCTCTTTCTCCTTCTGTTGTTCAAAAGTGAAGCCATGATACCATGGTTCAGACCATGAAATATTTTGCTGGTGACTTAATTTGCTGCAAAGACATGTGAAGAAAGGCACCTGCTGACTAAACACTGACAGAGATTTTCAGATGTTTTCATGCAGACACATGTCTACTTGCGATGCTCATTTGGATTCTTGTTCTCACCCGGAGGATCTCTCTGCAGATGTAAGCGATCCACTCCTCCTTCAGAGAGTTCCCTTTGGTGTTTTTGATCAGATCTGTCACAGAGCCGGCCCCGCAAAACTCCATCACCAGCTGTACGTAAACACACACAAAGAAGAGTAACATTACTGCACAGGTTATCATACATCTTTTTGAGAACTTTATTTTAGAATTAGAACTTGAAAGCAGCAACACAATTAAAAAAAAATGCTTTACCTTTAAATGCAAGACATTAAGGCCTTCACATTCATGTTTTAAAGCATAAACTCAAGTTAAAAAAAAAGTTCAATTCAGTGATATTTACTGATATCTAGAGAAGAGTCCTTCCCCTCACACTGCTGCTGGACACATCTTTACACATTTTTGATTTTTGAGTAATGTTAGTTAAAAAGTTAACGCAAGAATTAATGTCAGGATCAGTAGAAGTTTGTTCTTTTGTTCCACCACAGGGACAGCGGAGCGTCGAACAGCATTAATATGCGTCCCCTCATCTATGAGTTTTGTCTTGTGGGTTAGTGCAACCCCTTGGAAAACTACTGTATTTTGATTTAAAGAATTAAAACTGGTGAAAACACATAGCTGGCAACTGAGACTGATAACTTCTCCACACTGTACAGAGGTAACAAGCCTTTAATGCACGCCAGTTGGGCAGTTTCATTAGTATGTGACGTCACGTGAAATCTATTAATTAAATCGACATACAGATATATACACTTTGTTAGTCTTCTGTGGAAGGTTGTGGTTGTTCATCTTTTGTAATTGAATACATTTTTGAAAATATAATTTTTTTTGTCTTTATTACACAATACTTTTTTTCTGGCTTTTATGTGAATCTCCTCTGGTAGCTACCCCAAATAAAAATTACAACAAACTTCAGTTGGGTTGACAAAGAGTGTATCTGAGGTGTTTTCTTAATTATGTGAATAAAGGGTGCATTAAGGCTCAAAGGCATGTTTTGTTGCTCTTTAAGTAACAGATAAATGTACCCAGAGCTGGTCGTCCATTCCCGGAGGATTCTTCTTGATAAACGCTCCATAATATGTTGCAATGTTTCTGTGGTGGCTGTACTTCTTCAACATGTTGATCTCTGCTTTAATCTCCTCCTCTTCATCCTAAAAACACAAAAAATCACACACACACACACACACAGAGACAGCACAATAAATACCAAAATCCATGGATTAGGATATACAGTATGTGGTCCCAGAGAAAACCCTCCCGCAGAGTTCACCAAGGACAAATTGCTGCTTTCAAACCTGGGCGTATATGTTCAATGCTGATATGTGTGTCTGTGCAGATACAGATTCAACAAGACACTTTGTCTGTCTGTGTGAGGGTCACTTACTCCGGTGACGTCCATGACCTTAATAGCAGCGAGCTGGCCGGTTTTGACATGTCGACCCTGAAAGACGAAGAGAACAAGTACAAATGATGATTTTCAGGTATTTTATTGTTACATTAAATATTTTACTGTGATAACCTCCCCCTGAGAATCAAATGGTAAAGATTTGGACTGTATTTAATCACATCTTTTGTGTCAATTGAACACAGAGCAACGCATCAGACACAGCATAGCAGGCTATAAACTTCACAGTGTCTTAAAGTTACCCATCAACCCTTCAACCATCATCTTTTACAAGGTTTCTTTTTTAAAAGAAGCCGGTTAAGCTAAAGGAGAGATTTCCTCTTCTACCAAAAAAATCAGAATATACAAACCATACAAGCACTGAATGAAGCCATTTTACATAAACAATCAGAGCCTTTAAGACGTTCTTAACGGTGGAGTCAGTTGCATTGTTCGTTGCAGCTTGTAAACTCAATATTCAAACTGTGCCCCTCCTCTGGATGAAACACCAGAAACATCAGAAACACAGGCAGAGGGTCTCTGCAGGCACAGTCACCACCACACTGGTATGAGCAGCATTCATTTTGCATAAGGCTAATATTTTATTCTTAAAGAAAATGCTACTGACTCTACCTTTAAACAAAAACTTGAGACTGCGAGCGCTGCAGCTTACTTGAGCTCAGTTCTAAAATCTTTTATCTGGTTCAAGTAAACAGTTCAAATAAACCTGATTTGACTCCAAACAGTAAGAAAAAAGTCATCTGGAAATGTTAGAAAGGCGCTTATAAAAAACTATATCTCACAGGGGAAATCTGCCACCAAAGGAGACTGGTTAAGCAATTTTTGAGGCGCTTAACTCAATATGAATGTACAGAGTCAAAGTATCGTTATTGAAAGGCCATATTTGATGAGACTAAAGCCCTTTTCACACATGCCCTCCTGAAAATGTCAGAACAGCCTGCCCTTGAAATCTTCCTGAATTGCTCTTTCACACATCACAGGAGTCTCAGGAGGCAGGACATGGCGTACAAAGAACACAGTGGACAACAGCATCCAACGGTGACAGTCTTTGCTTTCATATCGATGCCACGTTAATCTTCAGATGTAGGAATAAAGTCAGGGTGAAATTTTTGTCTGTTTGTGTTCACACATGTAGCTCACTCTGAAATATTGGGACATTTTCAGGAGTTGTCTGCATGTATAAAAAAGCTATCGGACACATTTCTGAGTTGGTTAACAGACTGTAACCGGCCCCGCCACAGCTCATGTGCTCCTTAACAAGGTGCTAAAGCTGCTTTCAAAGTATTTTCCCTTTTTCATAGCCAAACATATGTCAAAAACAAGCACAGCAGCCAAACAGAACTTTGTGTTGTAGAAAACATCAAAGGTCTTCAGTTACACAGATTACTTTGTTTGAAGGATGTTTAGATATCTAAAACAGAAAAAGACTTATTACATGAAAGGAGCGAAGATTAATTATCCTCTTTCTCCTCTTGGATCCACTCAGATAAACCTTGTGACCCCCTGGAGGGTCCCGACCCATAGATTGGGAAAACAAGGCATCGATTCTGAGTTATCCTCCTCCCAACTACAGACACAATCACAGCTGCTTGAGCCAGAAAGTAGAAATGCATCCACCTCACTGCCACCAGCCCACCACCTCATTACACACACACACACACACACACACACACACACACACACACACACACACACACACACACACACACACACACACACACACCATCTCCTCATGGTAACCTAGCAACAGGGCTGGCAGGTTTTTTAGCGAGGGAAACGAATGGGGGGTTGGAAGAGGCAAAGTGATGACAGTCTGTGTGTGTGTGCAGGGAGGCCACGATGTTTCACACTCTGGGTCACTCAGACATGAGAGCTGCTCGGATTCACACACACATACACACACACACACACACCCCCACACACACACACACACACACACACTAACAGAGATCTTGGTTTCTCAGTGTTGCATCAGACACTGAATGAATCTTGGAGTCCGAAACCACCTCAGATTGCGGAAAGTCTCTTTTCACATCTTTATGTCTTTCATCTTTTCTATTTTACTGTCTCCATTAGAGGGGGAACTATCACAGGGTAACCCACCACACCATTCCAAACTATACCACACCATTCCATTGCAATACAAAATGAGACTACACAATATGATACGATACAATACACAATATCAAACAACAAAAATGATATGATACATGACACAAAATGAAATGATACGGCACTATACGATAGCCAATAGGAAGAATTGAAACACAGCGATATGACACCATACAATATGATATGTTACCTGTCGGGTTTCAGTGATTCTGTGAACACGTAGCCTTTATATTGAATAATATAAACTTGCTCTAAAAAGTTAAAGACCAGGATTAATGTATTATTTCACAACAATTTGTTGGAAGTCACCTCATCTCTTTCTTCTTTAATCGGCTTTCTGACATGACCTTCTTCTTCTTCTCCTTTTTTTAATACCACTGTCAACTTCTTTGGCAAATTAACCCTATGTTCCCGTTACTCCCATGCATGTCATAAGCGCAGCTGGGAGGAATCACAAAGTCGTGCCAAAAAGAGTGAAATTGGCAGAGAAAAGTGTCTAGAACGCCATATTTTTACAAATTAATTTTTGAAAATTAGCGTCAGGGAATTAATCATTGTGTCACACGAGTCAGGACGACTATTTATTGCCATATAAACATTTTGTACCAACCCATAGTCTCCATCTCTCTCTTTTGTCTCTCTCTAATGACAGCAAGGAGGAGGAGAAGTTGGAGGATATTGAGAATGATATTTTCAATCTGAGGCTTGATGTAATCTTGTTCAACACTTATCAGGTATCATTTAATAACAAACGGCGTTCTTCCTCACTCTGCACAAAGCTGTCATTTCAGTTATGGGAACATAAACATAAGTCAGTTCTATCTAAATAAATAGCACCAACTATGATGTCATAAACGAGGCAAAATAACAATAAAGCCCAACGTGGAGGCTGCAAAAGTGTATATGTTGTGAATAAAAGAGTTATACCTCATGACTGTCAGGAGACTGGGTGTTAAAATCTACAAAAACTGGGACACTTTGGGGGCTAGCACAAATGTATTTATTTATTTTTTTAAACATTTATTCAACAGGTGCAGCTTCTGCTTTAGGACAAAGGTGCAGAGTCCTCCTCGCAAAGAAAATATTTATTTAAAAAAAAACATTTCAGTACGGAAATGTTGCCAACACAGTTACGCAATTGCAGAAGTTGCCTGCATTTCTTTGGTGATCAAAAACAAGAAATGACCCAATATTGGGTGCCTAGGACTTCTATTTTTGTTGTTGTGGTATGAAAACAGGTATCAGTATCAACTAATTGTTACTGACATTGAAAATCCTATGTGTCTTCTGAGGCAATATTCTATTGTTACAGAATGTCATTAGAAATGCATTATAGAGTCTGCCTTTAGATATTTCAGTGTTTTGTTTTTAAATGGAAATTTTAAGTTGAAAAAGGTTAAACTTTCAAGCTGTGGGCTAAATTTATCCCTGAGTAGCAGCCTTTTTGACAGGATTAAAACATGCCACATGTGATACTGTTTCAGGTCTCTGACTGAGCTGTTTCCAGAGCTTACAGTGTAATCCAGATAACTTTGCTTCCACATCAGCCCACGTAATGTTTAGATTTTTTTTGGGGCAGATTTAGTCAGTAAAGTTCTTCTCATTTAACTGAGTAAACCTGCTCTCAGACCTGGGGTTAAGCCGTGTGAAGTGCTTGCTGTGACCGCGGGACAAATGGCAGCGATCGTTCCACGATGAAGCAATAAAAGACAATGCTGATAACGGCACAGATGAGAGGAAGAGATACTGCCGCAGACTGTCTCTTTGTTTTCATATCGCTCTTCCTCCAACGCCGACGGCCGGCCAAACAATCTCCCAGAGGTGACACGCAGACCCTGGAGTGTGTGTGTGTCAGTGAGAGATTATGGGGAGAGGAAGCTGTATTAAACCACCCAACACAAACACACATTTATAATAAAAAGGGAGGGGGAGATACAGGCAGAGGGGTAACTGAGGGAGGAGGTGAGGAGGAGATAGAAAAAAGGCACAGTAGCCTTTAGAAGCACCTTGAGGCGTAAAAACACTCCTCAGGTCCTGCGTTCAGACAAGCCTCACATTCTTCACCTGAACACAAGCCCTGACACATAAAGGCATTTCAGCACATCTCACAGTTTATGCATTTCACAATTGTTTTGTCTATCGGCTATTAAGATTTAAATACAGCCAACAATCCGGATCAAAGATAAAATCAAAGCATTCCCAGGATTGTTTGACAAAAAGTGTAACCTTCTCTTGTAGTTATAGTTTAAGTTTTTATCTATTTCATCATCATATGAACTACAAACAAAGACGTGAATAAAACAGACGTGATAACAAATTCACAGTCAGTAAAAGGAGACAGAGAACTTCCTCCCTCATTGTGAGACCATCAAAATGTGAAATACTGACTTTGTTAAGTATGTGTTGCCTTGTGCTGTGCCAAAGACTGTTATATATATATATATATCATGTCATCAGGGATACAGAGGCCCCTTAAAGCAAAAGAATAAAATAAGATAAAAGGGAGACTTTTTAAAGTCAATGTTTTTATCCCACATTTTTTCAGTGCAGAGTTGTATTTTTAAAACTAAAACAATCTCCGACAATTACCTGAAGTGAAAAGCAGAGGCCAGCATTTGGCTGCTGAAACACTGAGAATCGTGCATGTTTGGCATCATTTTCCAAATGTCGTTCAAGAAATTGTTCCTCTAAAAACGTTGCCTCAAAAATTGAGCGGTTAATCTGATGTGACATCTGAAAGTTACAGCTACAGCTATGAAAAAGATTGTCAGCCTGCAAACAAAAGGCTGTGACATCACAACAGCAGAGAGTCAGAGACACACTGACTCATATCAGTTTGCATTGTTAGCTCAATCCAATATTTCAGTGTGTGTCATGTTTCAATCTCTTTGAGAATAAAAGTCTTCCTTCAGTGACGAGCGTGAAGACACAAAGAAGAAGAAGAAGAAGAAGGAGTATACTGGAGGGCTTTAAAATTAGATCGATGCTTCACAAGGATGTGGACATGAAGGCTTCCAGAAAGTTTACGACAAATGCAGAAAACATGTCAGACTTTCTTCACACATGAACGTGAACTTTCATGGTTACCATGTGTGAATTCTCCTGCACAAAAAAGTAGCCAACTTGTCTTTTGAATCTTTAATTGTATCATCATCAGTTGTTGCTGTATTAGAAACCTCATTAAACCCAGAGAGTAAATTAAAATGTCCTTCTGATTAACACTGACACCAGTACAGTGGGACTAAACAAGAGAGTCGTTCAAAGGCAAAACTCGCAGGCTGCAGGAGCCTCAGTCAATAAAACACATTGATTAAACTCCACTTTGTAAACGCTGATAAATCAAATCCATCAAAAACTCTCAGCCGGTTCAGACGGCCTCATCCCTCCTCGTCTGTACACATCTGAAATACGAGGTAAAACTACGACAAGTGGGACCAAAAACATACATACGTCCTTTGCTGCCGTGCATAATTGAGAAATCCAGGAGTGTTAGAGGGCCGTAAGTGACTCAAAATAAGCCACTGAGTCAGTAAGGTTGCAATCATGTTGTCTGTGTTTCAACCTCCTCCAACCGTGCCAGGGTCAAGGAAGTGTACTCTGTTGAGTCCTCGTACTACTCAAACAAACTGGACTGAGGGACTGATGCACACACCTGCACAACTGTACAGCTCCTCCATTGCACCTTTTGTACATTTTGTGTTCTCTATTATATATTTCATTTGACTTAAGATTCTTATCTCTTTCTATTAACGACCCCTGTCGATAGGAGTACTGCTGTTTTATAGCCTTTTACCTTTTTATTCTACTTCTATTTTAATATTTTATGCAACAAACACCTCATCGATCAAGTCGATCATGTTTGATGAAAAAAAAGGAATCGGAATACTTTTCAAAGCTTAAGATATGAGCGGGAGCACAGGACATCCTGCAAATTGATTAAGTGATATAACCCTGACTGTTGTCACAGTTTTTCCTTTAATTAATACCAAATTATCAACTTTCATTCCTTGTAAGTTTCTTCAGTTTACGTGTGAAATAAAGCAGAACGAAACCGTCAGCTGAGAGAAAATGGGGGACATTTGGTTATCAGACTGGTCAGAAAGACAATATTAAATCAAGAAGAAAATAAACAGTAAAAACAACTGTATTATTTTTATCATTTTAAAACTGAGATTCATCTTTGTGTTGTAAAACTGTGTAAAATGTGTAAGGCGGATGTCAAATCAACAGGATTCTTATGAAGGAATATATTTTAGTTTTCTATAAAGAAAATACTTCATTTTCTTTTTATGTTTATTACTTCAAACGCACAATCAGCAGTTTGTCATTTGTGAGTCATTTCAATTCCTTGACACTGAAATCCACAGTGAAACAATCACAGAGGTTTAAAGTGCTGTTATTTGACGCTAATGCAGAATAAAAGAGTGTTACTCAAATGAGGTGACATTTCTTTCACATTTTTGTATTATGTGAAGTTCTGACTGTTAGGTCTTCATTTTCCCATCATGCAGTTTGAGCGATTTTTGTTCCATCAATCACTCCAGTGGAGGAGGCGTCGCCGTGTTCGAACAGCAGATTAATACAGAACATCAGCACACAGAGTGAGTGTGTCTTTGTGTATCAGAGGACATGTGTGAGTGCGTTAATAGGTTTCAAAGTGGAGAACACACACACACACACACACACACACACAGGCTCTCTGCTCTCTCTGCTGTGTTGTTGCTGTCTGTGTGGGCGCCTTCCGCTGCCGAACAAAGAAGAGAATCAGTAACTTCAGTTTTTGGTCAGAAATTAAACCGTGTCGTTTCTTTGAGTTCATAAAGCAGTCGGAGGAGGAAGTGACTCCTTTTCCAAACATCTTCTAACACACAGACACTCTCAGCACACAACACAAGTCGAAACACATTATAGGAGCCATAATGTTTGATGTGCCCATGTCACCTCATCGTTCTTTAACGTGTTGACAAGCACTGTCAGTTAATTACACCTGGGTGTGGTTTCAGATTCTTCTAATGAAACAAAGGCTGATCATAAAAGTAGCTTGTTTTTCTGCATATCTTCCTCACAAGACGAAGCCTCACACACTTGGCAGCGAAGGAGGAACAGTATGAAGACTCACCTTGTAGACCTGCCCATAGGTGCCATTTCCAACCAGCTCAACCAGCTCAAAGATACCAGCCGGGTCCTGTGAGAGAGAGAGAGAGAGAGAGAGAGAGAGAGAGAAAAGGAGGAGAAAAGATAAAAAGACAAAGTGAGTCAGGAGATCAAAACTGACCAGGGTCGGCACAAGATGGACGAGGAATTTTTTGAGGAATTTAACCTTCACACACGAGCACACGTGCAAACACACACACAGAAAGGCTGAGAGAGCTCTGCATACCTGTGGCATTACCCTGCTAAAAGCCTCTCTGTATCATCACTCTGTTATTATTCCTTCAGGAGGTAACCTCAGAGCTCACAGCCGTTCTCCCGTTTCATTCTTACAGAAACTCCTCTGCAGCTACTTTCCCGTTAACTCTTCTTTCATTGGTTCTTTTTCCCTCGGTGCAATCTCGGATTCAGTGTTTACTTGAAATGAATGATTCCTCCCCTACAGTTAGCATATGGACCCAAGTACAAGATGGTGTTGTTCTACTTGAAACACACCTGAAAAACACTGTCTCAGGATTTCTTGAAATGCCAACAGACGGAGCATCTCATCTGCATAGAGGGTATTCATCTCATGACTGATGAAACCTGTCACTCACAGCTGCTTTGCCAGGGGGAGACACCAGGGGGCGACACCAGGGGGCGACACCGGGTGTGATATGGTGATTGTCAGAACAAAGTGGCTCACATTAACTGAGGTTGCAATGTTACAATTCACTTAGCAGACGCTTGTATCCAAAGCGACGTACATCAGAGAGTAAGTACAACACTAATCCATTCATACACCGCCACTGAAGCAGCAGGAGCAGAGTTAAGTGTCTTGCCCAAGGACACATCGGACATTAGGGGGATTGAACCCTTGACCTTCCGCTCGAAAGGCGACAACTGAGCCACAGCCGCCCAGAGGTGGAGTTATTATAACAATTTCAAGACAACGGTTATCAACGCAGCATATCATCTGTGGAAGTTCATCATCAAACAAAAATGTTTTTGCAAGAATTTTGCTGATTTTTCTTTAGGGACGCACCGATGCATCGGTTCAACACTGGCAAATAATGTGGCATCAACCGATGTCAGCCGCTGTTAATTTGTTGTGACAAATCAATTGAACGCCGACATCTTGTGCGCCTGACTAATGATTCAGAGACAAGGTTTTTGTTGGGCAGATGAAGTCACCTGTAGAACAAACTGAGTAGTTTTCATTGTCAAACATGAGAGAAAATGGTGGCATGAAACTAACCCCAGTATCACAATCAGCAATGTGCTTAGTTGTTTTTTCAAATATTTTCCCAATCGGAGCATCTCTAAAAATAATTCTCACTTAATAATACTCACCAACTTTTCAATTACACCTTGAGTTTACACCTTCAATTACACCTTGAGTTATCTCTCTGATATAACAGAGTGTCATGTCCCACTCTTCATTTGCATGCTCATGTGGATCGAGTTTCAACGTCGGAAAAAACTTCAAAAAAACAGAGAAACACAGAGTGAACACTGACAATGACAGAGGAAACATCCTCACAATATGTACAGGTAAAACACACACACACACACACACACACACACACACACACACACACACACACACACACACACACACACACACACACACACACACACACACACGCAGAGGAGATAATCTGATCTCCTGAGTGATTAAAATTCAATAAAACTCCCAAAACACAGATCTTGATCTTTAAGCAGTGTGTGTGTGTGTGTGTGTGTGTGTGTGTGTGTGTGTGTGTGTGTGTGTGTGTGTGTGTGTGTGTGTGTGTGTGTGTGTGTGTGTGTGTGCATACAGTAGACCACAGGAGGCCGTTATGGACCATTACAGCAGAGCCTCCAGAGGGGGATTAGCTTAAAAAGCAGCCTTCATTTTCATTCAAGGTCAAACAGAAGCTCATCACACCCCTGCACACACACACACACACACACACACACACACACACACACACACACACACACACACACACACACACACGCTAACATACACACACAGACACACACACACACACCTGTACGTGCCTGTTACTGCCCTCACCAATGTACTGCATTAATAAAACAACACCAGCCAAAAAAGAAAGGAGCATACAGGGAGCTCATTTAACTGAGGTCCACCTGCCGATTGTTAGCTGCTAGGAGGCTAATGAGACATGAAGCACACTGATACACAAGTTTGTACCGAAGAGCATTAATATGAGACGGTGTGACCACAGGAATGAAATTTCCCATGAAACATCCGTCCTTCACATGAGGGAGTCTGACACTACAAAACACTATCTAAACACATATATCTCATACACTTGTCTTATTTGCATAAAGAAAATGAGGTGTTCTGTGCAGTTTTTAAACACTAAATAATTATTTTAAGCAAAGACGACAGAACACAAAGAAACTTTGCGCTTTGTGAAGCTCAGAGGCCCATTTCAGAAAGCTGCTTTAGCGCAAACACCTGGTCAAGAGCAGGTTTTCCTCAATGAACCCGAGTTTCTCTCCTCCTTCTTACAGAGCCAGAGACGCAGTTTTATTTCCTCGTTCCTTCATTCAGTCTGTATCACATCTGTTAGTGGAAATTCCCCATTTGTCTGAACAAAATATGTTGAATGTTGTTTTGATAGTGACTGTGAGGCATACTATAGCCTATAAAACACTGTTTTTTTGTTAAACATGGCACGTTCTTTCGTCGATGAGCTTCTTGATGACAGGGCTGCATTATTTCGCAGGGGGTTTCATTTACGACGGGAGATGTTCATTTTGGAACCAAACCGGATAGTGACAGGAAATGTGAAACCCACATTATGTTGTGGATAAAGGTTATGCACATTAAAATAGCCCCTCAATGATATTCAATAACATAAGGTAGGCCTGTTTGTTCTTCTATTACTTCAGTGGACTTGAGCTTATATAGCGCTTTTTGTAGTCTTCTGACTACTCAGAGTACTTTTACACCCATTCACAGCCAATCACACACTGACGGCAGAGGTTGCTATGTAAAGTAACCATCAGAAGTAACTAATCCCATTCGTTCACATTCATATGCCGCAGACGAAGCAGTGAGAGCAATTCAGGATTAAGTATCTTGCCCAGGGACACATCGGACATGTTGGTGCAGGAGCTGGGGATTGACCGTCTTCTGGTTGAGTGATAACCGACTCTACCAACTGAGCCACAGCCGCCCACTTTACATACCTATTTTGGTAAGACAGTTGTGAACGAGAGGAACCAGAACATTGCCAACTAGTGTGTAATTTAGAAAGTGTGCAGGCGTATACTTGCAGTTTCTTGCAATGACAACAAGAAACAACCCAACTTTGTGAGGACTTACATTTTTGTTGCAGAGCTATCACATAGGTCGGTAAAAAGGGATCAATATAGTTGACTTTTACTAGTATCGTATCAAAGATAAAAAAAAAAAAAATCTGGTATTTTGACAACCCTTGGAGGGAGTCAATATTGACATTTTTGATTAATATTTACCTCTTTCTACCGGACAAGAATGTTTATTTTGGACATTTCTTCAAAAGATGCCGACAATGCTGCGGCTGCTGCTGCTCAAAGTTTGTCCGATGAAAGTTTTTTTTTTCTGCAACTGTCATACTCAGCCTGTTATTTTTAAGTGTCTGAATAAATTCCATAAAATATCCCTTCAGAGATGAATCTTTTTGTTCAAGTAAGATCATTTTCTTACTTTTTTCCCCTCCTTTAAAATCCACCTGACTTCATTGACAAAACCAATAATTTTATCATGCAGCACAATAGTCTACTTCTGCCTCAATCAGTTGGTCCTTTTCAAGATATGAAAACTAATTGACAGATGGTTGAGGCTGTAGACCAACAACAGACCAACCAGAACATGCACGCGCAATACTCGCAAGCACCAGACATTTCTTGTGCACACTCAACACCTTCTCCTGCTCATAGGATTGTTTCTGCTGCGCACCACAAACTTATTTCAAAATATTCTCTCCGCCGATGTCCCGTTAATCGCTCTGTACCTTTCAGTATTTGTGTACCGTGAAATATCTTGAAAAAGACCCAACTGATTGAGGCAGCTGTAGACCAGCAGCTACTGTGATCTGCTAAGGTAAAATAACTTGAAGAGAGTATTGTAACGCCTGTTTCTGTTTTTTTTTTTAAAGCATCATGCACTTCTACAAAAAGGTTCTGTCTCTGTTAGGATCCTTTCAATAATGATGTCACACATTTAGATAGCAATATGAGGAGTGAAGCTTTGACCAAACTGAAAACTGGAAATAAAGGCACAGGATGGACACAAAAATATTTTTCCCTTAAGGAGATCATTTAAAAAGCACAACCTTCCCCCCTCCTAACGCTTTGTATTTTTGTCATGATAACAGAAAAGGATGCTGGGTAACAAAGGACACCAAGGACATGCCCTGTGTGAAGCTGTGTGTGACTCTCGAACAGCTGGTAATGCTGCAATTTAACCTCAGTGTGTGTGATGTGCAGGACGGAGACTTCCGGCCTGATGGGACACATTGAGAGGAGTCGGAGTCGGTTTGGAGGTAAACTGAGGAGGGGAAGATGGCACAAAATGCATGAGGAGATGATCAGAGGAGATCATTTGGGACGTGAGGTGCTGAAGAAACAGGAAGTGTGTGTGTGTGTGTGTGTGTGCTTGCGACAGGCTTTACGTCACGCTGAAATGTTTCCCCCCAGCTCCCTCTGATCCGTCCTGGGTGACCTAATTTCTCCTCGTCATGCCACAGAGGGAGAGAGCAAGGATTCTCGTTTTTGTACAAGAATATGCACATCGAGTCTGTTTTTATCTGCCCCCCCCCCCAGTCTGTATGTCAGTGTGTGTGTGTGTGTGTGGGTGTGTGTGTGTGTGTGTGCTTCTGTAAAACACACGCACAGTCATGCAGTCCCACCCGCTCCATCATGTCCAGACTTGACTGTTGCTTTGCAGGTAAGACTAAGTTGTGTAAGCAGCAGGAGAAAACAAAATAACACACACACACACACACACACACACACGCACACACACACACACACACACACACACACACACGCACGCGCGCACACACACACACACACACACACTTCATCTTATGTTGAGCACCTTAATTTGCAAGTTTATACTTCTCTGAATTGGTCATCACTGCCTCTCAGTCAATCACACACACACACACACACACACACATTCCTGCACTATCTCCTTCTGCACATCTTCCATCCTCGCGCGGCTTTGTACAGCACTTGCACGCGCCCAGACACACAAACAGCGACGGCTGCTGCTGCTGCTGCATGCGATGCTGCTGTCGCCACAACATCACGAAATGGCGGAACTCGCTCCTGTTGCGGTTATCACCGTTTTTATTCACGTGTGTGTGTGTGTGTGTGTGTGTGTGTGTGTGTGTGTGTGTGTGTGTGTGTGTGTTAGATAGAGAGGGTGAGCGCGTGCCAGTGTGTGCGTGCATCTGTATCTGTGTGTGTATCTTTGAGTGTGTGTGTGTGTGTGTGTGTGTGTGTGTGTGTGTGTGTGTGTGTGTGTGTGTGTGCTGTGAATCTGTCAGTGAGCAGGCAGCTTAACATCTGCCCCACATAGTACAGACAGAGCGGCCTCTATTATGCCGCCTGACTCACGCGCACAAGGGGTGAGTGCACGCGCGCAGCAGCAGCAGCAGCAGCAGCAGCTCAGGGCCTCATTACATCACGTCCCAATTGTTAAGAAAAAAACATCAACAACAAACAACAACAACAACAGGAGGACACATGATCTCACTCTGATACATCAGACCTGGTTTCCTCAAACAGAAAGCAACGTTCACGAGCTCAACAGCCAACACACACACACACACACACACACACACACACACACACACACACACACACACACACACACACAATTGAAGGCTGATTTGCATGCACGCGCACGTACACACGCACACACCACCGAGCGGGCGGCTGTAAAAGCAGAGGAAGGCGCAGAGAGACGCATCCTTGCTCGGTAAAGAGGAAGGCAAGACGGGGAGGGGGGGGAGGAGGAGGAGGAGGGGTGGAGGACAGGTGCTCAACGGCCGCACGCGCACATAAAGACACAGACAGAACATACACGTGCACAGAGGGAGACATTTACCCGGAGTGCAGACAGGTCTATCTCGTCCAGACTCCGCGCAGGGGAGTCGCTCGCCATGGTTCTTTCGGTATTCACGGGACTCAAGATGGAAGCTTCCTCAACGACCATCGACCGAGAGGTGCAGAGCGGCGGGGATGAACACTCACGGAAACCTCCTTTAAATGAAATAAATCCCCCCCACCCACCCCCCGCAATAAAATCCACAAAGATTCCTGGTGCAGGCGTTGATTCCCCGCGAGGAGACGGGCGCTCCGGGTCCAGGAGGGAGAAGAGGAGGAGGAGGAGGGGGGAGCGCAGGAAGGGAGTGCGGTGTGCGCGCTGCTCCAGGTGCTACATGCTGCTCGGCGCGGTGAATCCGGTGCTACATTCCTCCACCTCGACCCCCCCGCCCCCAAGTCTGGACAGGACAGGGGTTGACACGCGTGCACGAGATGATGGAGATAGGACGAGAAAAGGCTCGCGCGGCAGGAGAGCGCAGCAGTCGAGGAGGAGCGGCGAAGAAGAAGAAGAAGAAGAAGAAGAAGAAGAACTCACTCCGTCCGTCCGTCTGTCTGTGTGCGGAACAGCAGCGCGCTTCCCGGGAGTGGCCTGAGAGGAGGCTGCGCTACAGACAGAGACGCCCACAATGTTACACGAAAACACACACACACACACACACACACACACACACACACACACACACACCTTAAGACACAAAATCTCAGCTGTCTGCTCCTGTATGGCAGTTCATTAAGGACACAAGAAATGTAACTGTCATTGGGCAGAATATTGCGTTTCACAATCACACACATTCAAGTGTTAACTGTCAGTGTACACACACACACACACACACACACACACACACACACGAGGGGACGACCACCCTGGTGCCCTTTTTCAGAGAAAACTGACCTTTAAAGCACTTATGAAACAGACTGAAATAAATGTTGGCGTATATGAGATTGTGTTTGTCAAAAACATTATTACAGGTCAAATCAGGAGGAGACAGGGGGTTCTGTTTAAGGGGGGTGGGGGAGGGTGCACCAAATCCATCATCAAGCAAAAGTCCCTGACAGAGGGACTTTAAATAACTCACATGGGACATTTCTCTGCTTCATTAATGTCTCCATGTCTCATCTATAGGACATTTTAGGTCCTTGGTTCTCAGCTGGTGGGTTGCAGACATGATGCAGTGCGTACAGGGTATAGGCTAGTTCATTCACACTGGAACAGTATAGGTGGCCTAAATGCACCTTAGGGCTGGTTGCCATTGTGGATAAACAACAGAAGAAGAAGAAGAGGAAGAAGTGTTCAGTTTGTTTTATTGCTGATATTTTTGCATGGAAAAACACAGCCACCACACTGAATACATAAATTAAAAGTAAGATGAGCAGCCAGTGTTGTTGAATATTTTTCTTATTATCTGCTCCTTATTTCTGTGATGCTGCAACAAGCAGCATAACATGCATGAATGCACTTGCTTACCACCAAACAAGGTTAAAATACGGCAAGAAACAAAATGATTCAACACAACACAGGACACACAAAGATTCCTGTTTACATTTTCAGACGGCCTCTTGTGGATCAAACCTGTGTTTGAACCTGTCTAACTCCACCCCTGTGCACCTTTCCCGCCACATTTAATCTTCCTCCCTCACTAAATCTGCGTGCTGAGGATTCAGAGAGCGTGCATGGAACAGATTAGTAAAAACACATGTTGTGATTTCACACGCCCTGCTGTCACTCCTCTCTGCAGGTGCTCACAGAGTCTCCACAACTATCACCTGTTTCACTCACCTGCAGGACACGCCCATCATCTGCTACGACGGTCATGTCATGTAAGCAAATGAGAAAATTTGAAAACTAAGACAGGGTGATGCATCGTTGCATTGATGTAAGAGCTTTTTGCAAAGAAATACCAAGAGTAAAAAGGTATAGACCTTTATAAGTTGTCCCTTTCTAATGGGTCAGAAAAAATTAGATGGTGATTTAAATGTAGCAAAACAACAAGAAAACAAGTCATTTTTATAAGCTAGAGTGGATGCATCCAACATGATGTCACCAAGCGGTTTGTGGACAACAGCTTTGAGGCCCCATAATACCAAAAGTTTGGCATTTTAGCGGTCAGCATCTTCTTTCTTTGGCAGACAGAATATGAGGGTTGAGCTGGATGCCAAGTAAAGTAAATGATTTGTTTTCAGCAAAATAAATTAAGCTTTTTTTTAATGGCATAGTTCACAGTAGCTGTGGTGCAAATTTAGTCAAGATTAAAACAGGTTTTATACAAAATGCAGTTACTCAAAATAATTGTCTGACTGCTTGGAGTGTTTTTTATTCAAAGCAGAACAAGACATGCTTCCTTTTCCTCTGGAAGCGATTTGTCATTATCTGGTAGACATGCTCTAAATCCTCCCCCTCATTATGACCAATTTGAATCTAAACGTGACATAATTCACAAAATGAACACCATGCTGCATTGAAGAAGACTTGAAACTATATTTTGAGACCATAAATCCAGCAGGAAAATGTTTTCTGAGGGAATAAGTCAAGTGAGAAATATTCAGTACAATCAGACTTCTTTTCCCAGCTTGAAGTGTCAAGTGTTCAAGTCCAACCTGAGGCTTCTGTCTCGAATGTCAATCCCTGCTCTCTATCACCCTCATTTCTGCTTTATCTACTGTCCTGTCCAAATGAATACAAAATAACCCCAAAATAAAAATATATTTTTTAAAAGAGTCTTTATTGTTTTAAATTTTTATTTTGAATATCTAAATGAATTGTACTTGAACAATATATAACAAAAATACAATAACAATAGAGTGACTAAAGAAAAAAAGAAAAACTACATAAACTATAATGATAATAATTAATACAAGAAATAAGATACAAAAAGTCATAAACCATGATGTATTACTAAATTGACATGCACCATAATTTATTCTTATTCACCAGCAGCATTGAAGATAATATATTATGTTAAACATCAAGATCTTCATCCAGTGTATTTCAGACATTCATGAACCTTCAACCAGTTACTGTGAATCAGAGTAAGTGAAGAAAAGTCCCTCAATAAATACATCAACAGTAACAGATATCTGAACATGGAAAGGCTTAGTTTTCTCTCTCCACGAGTTCTTATATTGTTATCAATAATTAACCAGTAATAAGTCTAATGTGTCTCTTCCTATTGTACATGTACAGCCAGTAAGGACACACCTAAATCAGTCATGCCCAGGCAGGTATTTCCCACACACACCTTGGCACTAAAACACATCTTCAGAAGGATGACAATGCATGAATCACTTGTTTTCAGGTCCTAAAATTACCCAAACAAATGATATTTACATGTAAATGACTTAAAACTGAACAGTATCATTTTCCTAAAGGTGTAGTTTTTGCAGATATATGATTGTGTTTGAGTTTGCAGGCCTTCATTTCTTAAATTCAGATTTAATGATAACATGAAGGTGGAATAATGTGTCACAAAGTGCAAAAACATCAAACGTTACATCATGTTAAAGGATTCTAAGAGAAGATCCTTATTTTGTTTCTGTGGCACCATCTAGTGGCCCAGGTGAGAACTGCAGGAGGGACCAATGTGGGCCAGTGGAGGTTTTCTGAGGACAGAGCTGTTTTTATATCTGCAGTGACATGTTTTTCACTGCGGTGACAGCATGATAAAAATGTGTGCAGACTGAAGGAGACGAAGGAGAAAAATATTCAGTGATCAGAGCAGAAAAAGGAGGGATGATGGCCGAAAGAGATATGATGAGACATTTGTTTAAGATTCTTAAGATTTATGTTTTTATATATACTGTATATATTTTGGGTTTTTTGGTCATTTTAATTTAGAGTCTCCTGTTTGTAAAAGTCAGGGCTGCAGGTATGGGAAAACTACAGAAGCCCTAACCAGACGCACATTCATATTCTATTTTGCAAAGTTCCCCCATTATAACAGGTTAAGTGTGGTTCAGAATAACAAAACTGGTTTTCCGGTAATGACATAATTTCTTGATATCTTGAGAAAATGACTGAACTTAACTCAGTAACACGGAAAACCAGTATTTGTATCCCGTGATAACGAATAAACAAGACAGGATATAAAAACAAAAAACTGAAATGGACTCAGTTTCCCAGGAGAAGAGTAAAATAAAATGCATCGATGCATGTCCTTGTAAGGCTTCCGTAGAAAACAAATAAGTATTTTTCTATTATAAATGTATAAAGTAAAGAGTAAAGACAGTTAGAGAGTAAAGTTTAAATGTTCAATATAAAGTAAAATCAAGGTTCTCTAATGCAGATGAGGGAAACGAATATTCTGAGGGTGAAGACTTGTTTTTGAATTTTAAGAATTAAATGCACAGTAAGTAAATTCTGTAACATAAAGATGACGTCGAGGCTGGGTTAGAGTTCTCTCTGCTTATTCATTTATTATTTTAATTTAGATGTTTTAATGTAAGCGTTCCAATAAAATTCTACATATTATAAGTTTAACTCCAAATAATGAGAATGAAGAAGAAGACATTGGCAGAGCAGACCATCTGGATATCAGTAATAGCCTTGAAATTATTTACACCCGCATTGATTAAACGTCCGGATTCACACTGTGTCTCCCGACAACACAAAGGATGACAAACTTCAGACTGATCCATTTTAATGATTTATCAATACATAATTTATTCATTCCATCATTTCACAAATAAACTTCACATGACGTGATACTGCAGATCAATTAATGGATCAAAACAAGCAAACAACAGTCTGTGCAAATAGTGCATTTTCATACAAAGACACAGTGACTCAAGCCAGAGAAAATAACAGGACAGGTTAGTGTTTTTCAAACCTCTGCAGCCCAGGAGGGAGGACAATGCTTTTAAAGGTTTAAGGCCCATTTACACCAGGTGCAAAACATTTGTTATTTATTTTAATGCTCCACCTGGAAACTGCACCTATAAAACTATTTAAAACTATTTCCACATTTTGGCTTCAATTCAAATTTTTTTTTTTTTGGATGCACAAAAAAAGTTAATCAACAAATGTAATTCAAAATCACCTTCGTTAGCTATTTAACTTACACCTCTAGAGGTTGAATTGATCGTTTTGTTGTTTTTATATTTCATTTTAGATTGAAACGGACTATTTGTGCACACCACAGTGTTTTATATGCTTTTTTAGGGGACTTCACTTGGTCAATTTTGGGCAAAGCTGCAAATATTCCTGATTTTTCTTAATCCATCACAAACAATAAAAATGTGGACTGGAGCAGGAGGTAGAAACCCACAGAGGTAGAGAAGAAGAATACAACAAAAAAAGAGCACATTTAAGGTCCGATCATCCATAAATATTAAAAGTAGAGAAGCATTCAGGTGTATCTTGCAGACCCACAGCTTAAAGACAGGCACAGAGTTTAGAATACAATAATATTCATGGCTTTAAAGGCAATCGTTTAGCTCACAGGATTCATGCTTTTATCTGTTAATGTTTAATGGCAAAGAGCTGCTGACATGCTGCACGCATCATTTCAAGGTACAATATATTGCACAAAAAAAATCACATGCACTTCATTTTAAAGACCAAAGAGGAAGACACCGACGAGTAAAGATGCTGCATTCCAGAAATGTCAGAAAATCAGAAATCCAGAAGCAACTGTTTGAGTTTTCATTCCAGAAATGAAGTCACCCAGGAGGTTTCTATATGACAGATTCTGATAACCATGATGTGAACATGGTACCACTGTTTCTAACTTTGAAATGGTTTTGAGTAAGATATAATAAATTAATGCAAAATGTAACTGTTGTACCAATAAATTTGACTTTTTGTCCACATGGGGGCAGTAGAAACAAACTGTGAATTCAAAAGTAACAAACTATCAGCATGGATATTTTCAGATGCAGCAGATGAAGATTGATCTTAAATTCATTATGAGTTTAGAGTGACGTTTTAGGCCAAACGTAAGAACTACTCTGTGAAGAAACAGTGTGCTTATAGTGTTGTTGCTAGAGCTAACAGTGTGCTTATGCTCAGTGATGATCACACAAAGATTTATCACAGGCTCCCCAGCTCCTCTTGAAATCACTGAGTCTGTTTTGGCGTCTTTTACTGTACAGTTTTTGTTTCAAGCAACATGAACTGTTTTTGTTTTGTATTTAGATGCTGCAGGCAGCTGTTTCCAGCAAAAACAGCAAAAAGGTTCAAAAACCCCACAACAGACCCCATGAGCAGACATGCATCTACACAATTTATTCACTACTTTCCTGTGATGATTCATTTCCAGAGCTCTCTTATTGTGTTTAGTTTGTTAAAAAGCTCCCAATTAGCAAAATAAGATTCTATTGATGAAACTTTCAATAAGACACATTTGCCAGAAGTCACAGGTTTTCAAGTAATGAACGTGTAGAAATTGATACACATAGATTCCTGATGATTCCCCACTGCAAAATTCAATAAAAGCGTAAAGAAGAGGAACATCGGGCCATTAAGGAGCTGTGATATAATGACTAAATTTCAGATTCCCTTCTTTTTTTTTTTACAATCAGCAAAACTCCTGAACTAAAGTAGTGCAGCATTATAAAAACACCCACCCTGAACGTAACCTCAGAGGAAAACAGCCATCTTAAACGAATCAGTTTGCTCTTGCTTTGGGATTTCTGCCTTTGACAATGAATGAAACCCAGGATCTTAATAACTCGTAAAAATGAATGCATGAATCTGTGGGAAATGTGGCTCAAAAGAGAACGGTAGCGTTTTATTTGACTGTAATTTCCTGGCAGTTTGATGGAAAGACAAATCCATACACACTCTTACAGAGAGGGGGATAAAGTCTACAATATTTGTTTTTCACTTCATTTTTACTCAACTTTATTTATCACAATTCCTGTTGAACTCTAGTGTTGAAAGAGACTTCCCAGGAAAATATGATTAAACTACAAGAAAATAAAGCCCACAAATGAACTACAAAGACCAGATCAGAGCATAAAACAGGTCACTTAAGGTTGGATCCACAGTATGAGGAATGTAAATGAATGTACTTACTGTTAACATCATCGCCTTTGGCACTTGTGATTTCATGTTTGACATAAATATTAAAATCAGGAGTTCAGAGATATCAAAGGTTTTTTAAAAATGGCTGACAGCTCCGTCCAGCTCTTCACCCCCTTCTCTCCTCTCCGGTAAAGTGTCTTTTAGTGTCTCTCAAACCGTCCTCTCTTATCACAGAAGAGTCAGAGCTGCGTTTGCCAGACCTGAACGTTGCATAGTGTTATGAAGACAATGAAGGAGTGAGCTGTTTTCTTGTAAACACGAGGCCCGGGGTGTTCAGGCACGCTAGAGTCCAAAGCTCGTCTGCTGGTTGACTTCTCTCCAGGTTTGAATTCACGTTTGTTTGCATGTTCCATTTGTTTAAAATGTAATAAGTTTAGTCACTCTTCATGTCTTTCCAATGATTCCTTGCCAGTGTTGTAAGTTTCCCATTATTCTTGTGCATTCAGTGGCACTGCTGTTACAGAGACAGTTTACACCCACACCTGATGCCATTTTGGAATTCATTTTTGGCTGCAATTTAAGGCAGAAAACTCTTTAGATTACAGTCTCTTTTCTAATAAAACCAAGTGTTGTCCACCCTGGGTTCAGTCCTGCAGGCACACTGTCCTCTCGGACCCCAAACCTTTTCATCAAGCTAAACTATCAGAACTTGAGTTTATTTTAAAAGTTTTGGAGGGTTTAAATCGTGCAATCAAATCCTGCATGTGTGAAGAGGTCCAACATTAAAGTATTTTTTTTAATGCAGAGCAGTATAATTAAGTTGTCGGACTTATAATAGAAGCTCTTATGGACAGCAAAAACCTGACGCTTCTAATGCAGTAACATCAAAGTTAGAATTCTAATTATTATATTCGTTTTTTTGTGGCAGAAAATAGTTAATGAGCAACCAAGAGCCTGCAGACCAGGAGCTGGAAACTCCTGTGGGACAAAGATTTAAAGGACAAATGTGCCTGACAGCCTGAATTCAGGGCAAACACACCTGAATCTCTTTAGTGTAGATATCTATGTGCTAACAAGTGACTAAAAGCCACAGACACATTATATCAGAGCAGTTTTTTGTTGTTTTTTTTAACTAAAAAACACTTTGACACTTAAACAGCAGATTTTCCTTCAAGCTGTGATTTAAAAAAAAACAAAAAAAACGTTTAAAAGCCGTTTTAGCCGCAAAGACTTCTAAAATGGCATCAGAGTGCACAATTGGACCTGTCATCCTCCAGCATGCTGCGCCTGAACACATGAACTCACGGTTGAGGCTCTCTCTCTCTCTCGCTCTCAGGTCCACACCTCCATGGGCACCATGGCCTCCTTGGAGCCCATGGGAGGAAGCAGATTCTGCTCGCACAAGAACTGAAGAGGAAATTGGACCAGGAAGCCGCGGATCTTCTTCAACTCCTCCCTAGCCTTGTTCGGGTCCTCCTTGTCCAGGCCCGGCTTGGCGAGGAAGCCCTCCAGCTCGAAGATGTTACGGACATCGCTGGATGGCAGACTACGGAAAACCTGAAGAAAGAGGAGAGAAGTGAGAGAGAGAAGCAGGATATCAGGAGCACTGAACATTTTAATGAGGCTGGACAAATCCTTACAATCAGTTTGTATTAAAAGGATGAACCTCTGAGGTTCTGTTTCACATGTGAAGAAGATAAACTGTTTCAAGTAGTTCATCAATTTGTCCGCTCACTGAAACCTTCAGCAGCCATCAACACGAGCCGAGATTTAACATTAGACCAACCTTCTGGTAAATGGTGGCGTTGCGAGCACAGGTGGCCATCCACACCTCCTTATAGAATTGATCACTGATTGGGTCTGACACGTCGATGGAGGGATCGGTGTGAGCGCCGAGGATCATCCTGAAAAACAGATCCACTGTGTTGACTTTTTTATTTCTATGAGACACTTGTTAAGAAACTGTTTAATATCTGTGCACCTCTTAAAAATGATTTTGTTGCAATCAAACAGAAGACTGCATGAATTTTAGACTGTTGTTGACTGATTGAGAGTTTACTCATCTTTAAGTTAATGTTTCATGTCATTGGTATTCTAGTCAGATCAGAGTTTATCTAAACAAACATAAATAAGTCAGGATGCAGTTAGTGTGGGGTTTTTACTTGAAGCACTCGAGGCGGAGCTGCAGGGCGTATTTTCCAGCCTGGTACTCCTGACCATCCATCACAGCCGTCACCATCTCCGAGTCCTCTACAATCACCGCCACCTCGCTGTCCCTCTTTCCCAGCATGCTCCTGTCGTTGATGTTTGCAGACCCTTCAATAATATGAAGGCACAGGACAAGTTAGAGCACAGGAGCCTCCAGCAGATGGCGCTGCAGAGCCTATTTTCAGAATGCATGATTATACAGTTTCAATGTCTAAATCTTAACTTTCTAATTATTTGTATTATAAAATAATAACTACTCACATCTACCCATCATATACATCATGCTGCTAAATAAAAATCAGGGATAAAAATCTGAGAAAATGCCAGATGATTACTGAAATATAAGAGAACAAATCTTCATCATATTCTACATCAGACTTTCCTTTGAGTTTAGTTTTATTCTTGTTATCCTTATGAGAAGTTTGCATCTGTAATGCAACAAAAACATGCTGATTAAACCACCGTAGAAGTAAAGTCACTTCTCTTCTGTGTGGTTGCAGCAAATTGACCAAATAGTTAGGGGTCAATGTTTTATGTGACGCCCCCACGTCTGCTTTCCAAGCACCACAAAAACAATAAAAAATGACCATTTGACATGACATGACTGCTTTCATCACCAGCCCTTCTGTTTCCTGTTATATATTCATTATCTCTGTTAATATTTATAGAAACTTGCTCTCTAAACTTCACTTCAACCCACCTGAAGACGGCTTTTACAAATTTCCAGCTTTAAAAATGTCTCATCATGTCATTTTTCTTTTCCGTCCTCTCAGATATTAAAGAATAAACCGTCTCTCCCGGCAGCTCTGGTTTCTGTCTCCTCTATTATACATGTTCAGTTTAGTGTCGAGGGAATATTTCATTACACCTGTCATCTTTTAATCTCGTAATGGAGACATTTAAGCCGCTTCATCAACGCCAAAGTATCGAGTACTGTGAGATGTTTTACCGATGATGACGGTGTTGTCGTCTGCGATCAGCATCTTGCTGTGGACGTAGATGAGCTCGGTGACCAGTTTTCCCTCCAGCTCTGCGTGAGTCCTCAGACCAGCGATGGAGATGTAGTTCATCCAGTTGTCCCCCACTGAAAGCCAGAAAACAGACGATCAGAGGAAAACATTTGAATGTGGTGGTGTTTGATTTCCCTCATACATAGAGTAAGAAGAGCTCCAAACTGAAGCTGTCTGCAAAAAAGCTCATCAGCGTGTGCACTTTCTGAGGAAGCTTAGGAATTTTAATGTTGACAGCACTTTTATGAAGATGTTTTATTCCTGTTTCATTGACTCAGTTTTAACATTCTGCATGGTGACCTGGTACGGATCACTCAGCATCAAAAACCGCAACAAAATACAGAGCATTGTTAAAATGTGTGTCAGAATCACAGGATCGCCCCTTTCTGACCTTTCTTACTTAAATAGAACAAAGTGTCTTAAGAAAGCACAGTCAATCTTGGCAGAACAAAGTCATCCTTTGTCCAAGGATTTTAAGTTGCTGCCGTCAGGCCGCAGATTCAGCCTGCCAGCATGCAGGACAAAGAGGTTGAGAAACTCATTTGTTCCTGCTGCCATCCCCTTTTTAAACCACTGTGTTGCCTCTGTTTCTTATCCATTGTATTTATTCACTGTCCTTTCGATGTTGTTTGCTCATTTCGGGGTGTATGTATGTGTGTGTTTTACTGCTGACTGCAAAACAAATTACCCTCTAGAAGGGATAATAAAGACAACCTTGAACCTTGAGGAAGAGGAGATGGTTTAAAACTCATTATATCCAGAAAAGAGGAAACTCTTTAACCTCTAAATAAATACAGACTATGTCTAAAGAAATACTTTTATTATTGTTAAGTTCATACAATTTAAAACTGATTGAGTAAAAAATGAGCAGCAGACGATCAATGTAATGACAGACATTCATTTTCTAAAAGTACATCAAATCAGATGGACGGGCGGTTCTTTATATTTTCTGTCATCACAGCTTGTTTCACAGTACTCAATCAATAAATATTTACCTATTTATCTTTGTTTCCTCCCTAAACAGTTTGTGAGATCGTTTTGGGAGTGTCTTTGTCTTTTGGAAACAGCTGCAGGTCACCACTGTTTAGAAAACCACTGAAACCATCTCTTTGGGCCCCGCCCACACACGCAAACAGTTGTACAGTGTAAACTTGAGGTCAAACATTGTGGTCGCCTCTGACTTACTCTCTCTCTTGAGCTGTGAGATGATGGAGTGGTCCCTCTGTTCATCGTCCTGCAGGTGAAGAAAGACACACAGGTGGATGAGCAGCACATCCACATTCCTCACAATGCAAGCCTTTTTGTGTCGTTGTGTTTGCACGGGGAGGGCCGTGTGTTTACACAAGAACGCAGGCAAGACAATGAATGTCAGCTTTAAAGGGTATGACATGCACACACACACACACACACACACACACACACACACACACACACACACACACACACAGCTATAGGGTTTACAGCAGTGTAGTAAAAGTTCAGTAATGGCCGTAATCTATCAGTGGCTCCTTCCGGGCTTTAACACTCGTCAAACACTCAGTTTTCTCATCATGTACACATGTACAATGTCACACTCACACACACACACACACACACACACACACACACACACACACACACACACACACACTGTAGTTGAAGTGCATGACAGCCTGGATGGCGCTGCCCCCTCCAGTGTTGATGTCTCCCTCAAAGCCAGGCAGCAGAGGCGTCACCACGTACACGCGGTACCTTTTACCCTCCCTGAAATGATTTAGACACAGAGGAAGACAAAGTGACAGTTAAATCAGGACTCTATGTTTGGGACACATGCACAAGGAGGCGTCAGGAAAATAAATCAATATTGCTTATGCCAGAAGGGTCAGATCATCAACAGTTACCAATATATGTATTAATATTTGTTTGGCAATTAGAATAAAAAGTTTTCTACAAGCCCTCACTTTGGGACCCTGGTAGGGTGTCAGAGTTTGACTAAACACATACAGTATATGTGGGTGAAATTACTTTATATGATGGTATTTTTTCTTATTATTATGGAAACAGTATTATATTATCATTATCATATTATTACAGAATTTAAAGGGGCCGCGCATATGAACAAACATGCCTGTGATGCCATATTTCACTCGTTTGTGTGCATGAGACCAGAGAAAGATGTAGCTCTTGACTGAATCTGTGTTGTTTAAGTTTTGTTTATTTTCCTATAGAGGTGTATTAGGCTTCTGCTGAAAACAACACAATTTCTGATATGACTATTTTTATAATAAAAGCTTTAAACTACATAATAAGTATGGATTTTTATTGTGAAGGGTTTCTTAGCGGAGTTACTATCGTGGAGCTTTACTTAGCAGAGATTATCAATAACACTGTAGGGAGTTACAGTAATCACCGCTTTGAGCATGAAATCAGAGCCTCAGCATGCTTCTTTGAATCAACCTGGATTTAAGACTCATCAGTTAAAACACATCTTAATGCAGGCGGACCTGTCACAGTGGAGATGCACACACAGACACCCGCTCTGACACGAGAAGGAGGCGGTCAGTAAACATGTTGATCCCTGTCTGGCTCAATTTAGCGTCAGCGTGAAACACACATGACAACATGCGAGCTATTGGTGGCATTAGTGTTGCCACCTGTATGAACTGAAATAACATCGTCATGATGCAGGTTTTATAAACAGTCAAGAGTCAAGCTTTGTCAGGTCTGTCGTCAAGCGGAGAAAAAGACAGCTTTTAAAATGAAAATGTAAAATTGATGCATTTAAACAAGTGAGAAAATTGAAATGAAAAGTGTAAATGTTTGAGCTACAATTCTACAATTCACTTTTATCCAAAGTGACGTACATCAGAGAGTAAGTACAACACAAGCAAGGATCTAGAAAAAGGGAACAATGTCAGTAAGAGCAAACAATCAGCTTTGAGTCTGATTGGACACACAGGTGCTGACAGGAAGTGACCAGAGGCAAAGCACAACATTCACGGCAGTTCTTGAGAGCTCTAATCAGTATAGAAACCATCTATAAGTCGTCGTTATCAATAAAAAACATCGTCACAACCATCATCATCATCAATGATATCGAAACCATCATCATTAAGTTAGTAGGTATTCATGAAAAAGCTGGGTCTTTAGCTTTTTCTTAAAGGTGCAGAGAAAGATCGAGATCAGATTGTTGGCTGCACTTTGATGCAGATATCTGTTGATAGAGATAAATAAATCATCAGATTACTGTTGATGGGAGCCAGGGTGTCATTAGTGCTTTCCATACAGACTCTTTCTCCTGCATACACCAAAGCCTGCTGATATGTGTAAAGCAACTCCTTTTGTTCTCTATTCAAACTCTCCCCACATGGAAGTTTTTTTTTTACAAACATAGCCATGTTTTCTTTAAATTAGCGAACATGTTCTCTGTGAGAAACCAGAAAGATTTAGTGAGATGAAAGCAGCTCCGGACTGTTTATAGACTAAAGCTTGGGTAAGAAACCAGGTCGGGTTTGTTTGGAAGAGCTGGTGCTTGTTCATGTGTTTCCCTCTGATAAGCTCTTAACTCCTTGACAACAAAACACACACACAAAGTGAGAGACTGAACCTTGAAGGGGAAAATATTTGTATAAATCAACACAAAGGCTGAGTCAAACAGGATTTATGATGTGAAATCAGTCTATTAGTCATGTGGAAGGTACACATAGTTACAGGATCACATCCATAAACATACAGTGTGTGAGAGAGAGTGTGTGTGTTTAACCTGTATGCTTTGATGATACGCTCAGCAATAGTGTCTCCTATCTTGTTGAAAACCTGTCGGTTGTCGGCACAGCTGATGAAGAACTGATTCTGAAATTAAAACAAACAAAGAGGCATGGTTAATAATGTACGAGAACCCTTCTTAAATCAAATACAAGAATGAAGAAAATGTCTCATACATGGAAGTAATACAATTCCTTCTTCCATTTTTTTTTTTGACTGAGAATACTTAATATTCATATTTTTAACAAAATGGCTGACCACTTAAAGGGAACTCAGGGATCTGCACAAACACAACAGTGAGTTATTGATGTGCATGCCTGTTACTTTGTTTAAAAGTTTGACTTAAGACTCAAGTGTGACAGATGAGGAAAGAAGAAAGAAGTGTTGAAAGGTCCATCTGATACTTCACTGGCTGCTTAGTCCTAGTGTCCTTGAACTCACCATCGGTTCTGTGTTTTCACTGTGAGTAAAGCTGCAAGACGCTGCAAGACGCTGCAAGACGCTGCAAGACGCTGCAAGACGCTGCAAGACGCTGCAAGACGCTGCAAGACGCTGCGAGACGCTGCAAGACGCTGCGAGACGCTGCGCTTGCTTGTCAGGTTAAGTCAAGATCTTTATTGGTAACATGTTTGGATGGATGCACATACTGCGTCCCAGGGCCATGCAATAAAATACTCAAGCATAATAAAATTCACAAAAACGACATAAATAAAAAACAAGCACACAGCCTGAGCAGAGCAGTGACGTCTGGACACAGACGCAACATTTTGAATCTTTAATTCACAAAAGCTTTTGTGAAGATTGCTGCTTCATGAGAGATCATTTTAAAACACTAATAAGGACAAGAACTCACGTTTTTTTTCACTTTTCTGAACATTTGCACTTGTAGTTAACCTCTGAACGTAGTTTAACGTGTCTTGTGTGATACGATTTTCACACCAATCAGCATAAAGAAAGGATGCGTTCTCTATGGCTGCAGTATTTTTGTGAATGAATACCTCTATGTAGACGAAGTGTTCGCTCTTCTCGATGGCGTGGACGTAAGCGTTGTGGATGGACTCCTCGTGGTATTTGATGCCAGCGGACCAATCACAGGCTGAGCGAAGGATCTGAGAGAAGAGAGACAGTGGTCAAAGTCTTAGAGGGAAGAGAGGAAATGTATAACTTAAACAAAACCTTTTTTTGAGTTTGATGTAGATTGACCTGGTAAAAAATATCTGTTTGACCACTGAGACTCTGAAATGACCAAAAGTTAGTTTAAGACAGCATTTTCAATATGGTGACAATGGTCTTCAAAACGCCTCTTCAGAAACCAATGGGTGACATCACTGAGACTATGTCCATGTTTTGGACGACCTATGATTAGACTTATAGCACAGTCATAATCAAGTGCATGGCATTTGAGGTAAACTACTAACTACCAACCTGTACTTTGGCGGGGATGCAGTTGGGGACTTGGTACCTCTGCTCTCCAGCGGTGGTGTGAGACTTGGGCAGCAGACACGGGAACGACGGCGAGTTGTACTTTGGCTTCACCAGCTGGAGGAGAAACAGGGAAACAGTCAGAGGGAGCTTTCGTCTTGCACATGCTGCACGGCTACTTCTCTTGCTACAACAATGAGGAAATCTGCAGTCAGTTCAGAGGTGCACTGTAACAATGACTGTAAGTCTCTGCATGGTCAGCTGAGCCATCAGGATAACTTTCACATCAGTACCATCAGGTAATTTTTTCATCTAAATGGGCTCATTCATTCCAAAGTAGGCACTCATATTTTGAGCCTTGGAATTGATTGGTTCCTTGATTCAATTTACAGCATTTGCCCTTTACCAATTAAATCAGTGAGCATTACACTTGGTGACCCTGAGTGTGTCGTGCCAAAAACTGGTGAACTACCTTGAGGCAGATGGTCCTGTCAATGGAAAGAAAAGCTTTTCTAAAAGTCAAAATCTTTATTTAGATGATAGTTAACATTTTACCGATGATAGCTGTGCAGCTACAGTGAGCATAAAGGGTCTGAAGGATGTCTGCAGGAAATGATGCAATTTTGCAACCTTTTTATTCCCCCAACGTCCCATTTTTTCTTTATTTACTGCAATCTTATGTTCTTGCTCAACAACTGTACACATTCTATAAAGAGGGATGTGAAGTTACATTAACGCACATGATGGGAGACAGTTCAACAAGTTTTGTATGTTTAAAGCCGAGAGTAAATGAACAGAAATAAATCCATTAAACGACGTACAAAAAACAAGATAATTATGCATTATACACATACATTGAAGTGTACACCAGTATTCATTTACCGTACATGCACATACAAAAGGGGAAACATTCACAGCAATATAGCATCTGTTAGTTTGTCAATTCCAAGAACTGCTGCCTTTAAACCCAGCTTGACCAGGACTGAATGAATCTGTCCATTAGTAAACGAAGTTAGAAGATATTCTTTTTTCCATCATAAAGATTGAATTAAAAAATCTTTATAATGAAATCCCTCTCTATCTCTCTCTCTCTCTCGGACCGAAGCAGCACGTAAACTGACCTTTGTGAAGTTCCACCTTTGAATAAAGTGTCTGGCCACGTCTCGAGCTGCTTTCCCATGAACCACTGAGGAGATGTCATGCCAAGGCATTCTGGGAGTTGTGTGTCTGTCTATGAAATCTAAAACAGCACAAACAGAAATTTTAGAACTAACTTTTCCCTGATACCGAAGAGTCACTTGTAAAATGTAATAGTGTGCTCACCATCGAACGGTTTGTCCAGCTGAATCCAGTCCTTGTGCACAAAGTTGCAGTAGTCTTTTCCGTGCCAGAAGCGCGTGTTTCCAAACAACTCTCCCACCCCGGTTTGAAGACTACGCACTGAGCCGCTCTCTGAAACACACAGGAAATCATGTCATTTTTCCTCTGCACTAAAAAATAAAAACTTTAGTGACAAAAAATCTTCCAAAGACCAGTCCTGCAGGATCTTTTCCTTGAAGTTTTAGTTACTCCTGAAGAGATGGAATTTAATGATGGCCCAGGAACTATCAATGCTGACTTTTTAAGGGGGGAAATCAATCATTGGCCTGTTTTTGGGGTCTGAATGAGTAACAGGTACAAATAGTTTGTGGACCTTTGAAGTAGATTGTATCATACACCAAACTCCATTATCAAAAACAGTAATTTGACCTTGAACATGGGAGTTGGTTGTCTACCACTGCTTCAATTTGGGGTTAGTTTGGTTGTGTTATTGTGTGTTACGTACTTACTGTGTTTGACCTGCATGGTCAAAATCAACCATCTTCCTCTAAAAGGTCTATCTCTGTAGGGATCCTTTCCGTAATGTAGTCAGACACTTAGAATAAAAATCTGAGCCCGTGACAGTGTACATACTTTTGTAATTGTCATTCATTTGGAGCCCAAAATAAGTTCACATTGAATCCAGGGTTACATGCGGGGTATCTTAAACATGGTCAAATCTGTTTACAGTAAACCAGAGGACGATGCTGACTGTGATGCACTGGTGTTTGTAAAACGGTTTGAAGGCACTTTTGCAGAGACGAAACAGCAGCTGGAGGGACAACAGCATGGCACTCAAGATTTATAAAACCTACTACAGAAAGTAGTACAGAGACTGAACTCAACTTTATCTTTTATAGCACTTACCTGAAAAAAAAAAGAATCCCGTTGTTATTATGATGTAAGCAACTGAGTTGAAAAGTAATAAAGAAAAATAACAATGGAGGAGTGTTATCTCCATGTCATTTTGATTTGATTTGTTTAAAGAAGCGTTTGTTTGCACATTAATCGCTGACTCTTCTCGTCCATCATGCAAGCAGGATAAACAGATACAAGCTTTGCAAACAAACTTCATCACTCTTCTGACTTATACAAACCTCCTGCATGTGTTTCAGTGCAGAACAGACACGTGTGCCAAGAAATAGGAGTTTGTTTAGAAACTAAAAAGGGCAAGTGATTACACGCTGCAGTATTTCATCCCATAAAACCCCGGCCCTCTTTGATGTGCAAGACTTCCTAAAAAAAGGGGAAAAGGCGACACATGACCACATGTTTACTTGTTTCCCTTTAATTGGCTGAACTCTTTAAGTTGGTGCTTCAGACTCTCACACAGACAAACCAAAGGAACCAAAGGCTGACATAAAAACCACAGCAAACCACACTAGAAGACAGGAGGAGGTCAGCAGGGTTTAAAACTCGGCCACACTGCGACTCCACACTCACCAGCCTGACACTGGCCAATTAGAGAGGCAGTCCTCAGCTCAGCCAGCCTGCTGTGGATCAGATTGTGTTGGCTGGTGACACTGTTGGACCAACCTAAACAGAGCGGCCACAAACACTGAGACAAAAGCCCAGATTGAGGCTACAGCAGCAGCTAATGCTTTTTACAAGTAAGGCCTCTAAAGATTGAAAACGTTCAATCCTGCAGTCTGACCACAATCATTAAAGGTAACATTGAAGTATTTTTTTTCTCACCACGTTGGTTTTGCACTGATTGTCACCTGTCTCCTGGTATATGGCTTGGCACAACAAACACCTTGCTGCTCATGCTCAAATTAATGATTCCGACCAAGCAAAAATCACAATACAGTCAACAAAACAAAAGAAATAAAAATGATAAAGCAAAGATAAAACTCACTGGCTTCGTCTTCCAGGTCACTGTCGCTGTCAGCGCTGGCAAGCCCGTGTTTCTGTAGGTGTCTCTTGATACTAAACCTGGTCCTCTTCAACCTCCCCTGACCCTTCAGCTTGGGCTGATCCACCGAGTCTGTCACCGTAAACACGCCATTCCCATTGCGCTGGGAAACCCCGCCACTGCCGTTAGCAGGGGCAGCCATATTGGGAGCGACAGCTTCAGCCTAAAAATGAGTTAAACACCCAGCATTAGATGGATGGATGGATGGATGGATTGACAGACACTTTGTCATTCTATAAACAAAACTATGAAACAAAACTTTGTTGGGCTGCATTTCCGTTAAGCAGCATATGTTTGGCTATTTATCAATAAAATAAAATGATTGCCTAGTCGACGAATACTCAAGAAATTGCAGAATAAATAAATAGTTATGTTTATTTACTGTGAATCAATAATAAACGTATTTACAGTTTATGAACAAGTTGACAGTATCCATAAGGTCAAGAATAAATTGTATAAATATGTAATATATATATATATAATAGCTTAACAGCTTTGGTACAGTGAATTAATAAGTTAAATTAGCCAGGGTTCCCAATAAAAAAGCAAAAACATTGAAGCAAAAAAATAAATGAAGAGAAAGAGATCCATTTAAAACAGGAGGGTACCATTCATTATATCAAGTAAACAACTGACCCTTTGTGTGCATTGTGTGTATAGAAGGTTTTCTTGGTTTTATTTTAACTGAACCTGAAGAATGAGAAGTGAATGTGGAAAGTAAAAACAGACAACAAAAAGGGAAAGCTGAAGATGAAGGTGCAATTGCTACACCGGTGCCTTACTTGCTCCAAATGTGAGAGTGTCACACTCCCGACATCCGTTAGCCGGTGTTCCCTGTCGTCCCACCGACCGTACGCGAGGTCAATCCCACCAACGAAGGCCACCGACTGGTCGACGATGATGATCTTCTCATGATGCGCCCACAGGTAGACGGCAGATGAGACGTGGTCTGGATTACGCATCACCTTTGGAGTAAAAGTCATAAAATCAAACAGGGAACATGTGTATTCATGCTGACACAGCTTTAAAGGAAATCACACACAGACCTTGATGTTGGGGTGGAGGTGCCGGAGAGTTCTCTTGCTGTATCCTGAATTAATGCCCAGAGCTAACTCCACCTCTTTGTACAGGATCACAAAGATGTGCACTCCTTGTTCCTATAGAAACAGTAGCAAAACATCAGTCCAAGTTGCTGTAACTTGAGGTAACATTTTGTGCAGTCTTCTTTTACATAAAGGGCCAGTATCTAAAAAAATATTGTATTTATTTTTAAATCTGTATCCAGTCTGTGCGATTTCAGACAAAAAAACAACAATAAAGAACAGGTTTCTTTTCTTACCGCTTTTCGTTTCAGGATGGAGTCCAGACGCCAGCGGTTGCCCTCGACAACCGGCCTCTTTAGGAAGATTTCTGGACTTAACCTGTCAGAAAACACACATCATAGGACTTTATATTTTTTTCTTTTTGTCAGACAAAGCCAAGAAAACCTTTCTACAAGCTGTCTCTCCTTAAAAAGTAAACTTCTGTCTGATGTTTTGCTTTTTTTCTTTCTTCTTAACGTCTTTCGTCATTTGTTTTTCTTAAAATCCCATTATCTAGCACAAAACCTTTGGATAACAAAGTACAGTTTAATACCAATACATTTTTTGGGGGGTGTTTAAGACTTGCGGTGACTGGGTACTGTTCCAGCATCCCAAAAAACCCTGAATAAAATTTGTAAAACTCTATTACAACAAAGAAAGATGCATCAGACATTTTTTAATGACTATACTCTTTGCAAGTACACTTCTCTCACTGCAGATACGCACTCACATTTCACATATAGCACTGAAATGTGACTGTGAGTGTGTATAACAGTAGTCTGAGCCTCAGACTGTAACTGATCTGTTTGACCAGAACACCTCCCAAAGAGGTGACCGCCAAGTGCACTCCCTGCACCCCTGATACACACACACACACACACAGAAAAAGACACACACACACAGAAAAGACACATACAATCAGACTGAGTCACGCACAAAACCAGGGTCTTCCTCTTCTATATACACAAAATCTCCACCTGCAGCAATATTTCATTTTATTCTGCAGACACACACTCAGAAGTAAATGCTTACCACCAGTCTGTGATGAATATCTCCTCTTTGGCCGCTTCAAGAGCATCGGCCACATCTTCCATGTACGTCTTCCCATTCACATACCTACAGAGGACGCACACACATAAATATGCACATTCACACAAACCCAAAAAATATACACATGGGCAGCGCACACACTTTTAGACAGAAAACATTTACCCAATAAAGACTTTCTGCTCTCAATAACATCTCTCAACATCTCAAATAACAATCTGTATATCTTCTTTGTTATGCTTTTTCTGGAGGACATATCAGCTGTGAACACACACACACACACACACACACACACACACAGTCTCACAGACAGTATAGTGTTGCCCAGCAGGGACATAGGTGATGAGCAGGGGAGGCTCACTTTCGCTCTCTTTGTGTCGGGTTACTCCAGCGAGCCACACACACACACCATACAAACGCACACACTCACACACTCCCTGCTAGCTGGACCGGGCTTTGTCTAGACATTTTCACGGACACCTGGCCCCGGTGTGTTTGGCGCTAATTTGCAACCATGTTATCCCGAGGCCCCGAAGGTGAACTCCTCATTTACATGTAGAATAAAAAAAGGCTCATTTAACCACTAATGAAGGCAACAAATTGCTGATATCACAGATGAAAAAAATAAAAAAAACACCAGTGGACAATGTCATTTGGTTGTCATGGTTACCATTTGGCAGGGATGTTAACTTCCTCTCTGGCGAAGGATCCGAAGCGGTGGTCGGTGAGAAAGGCTGAGCCGTGCTTCTGGACGAAGCCTTCAATGGCCTGACCCCACCAGCGGGCGTGTCTGTAGCTGCTGCACTTCAGCAACAGCGACCTGTACACATAAAACACACACACACACACACACACACACACACACACACACACACACTATGAAGAACCAACTATTAAAGCTTAAATGTTCCACTGATGGTAAACTCTTTGATGCTGCCGTTTTGTTCCCCACTTTATTAAGAAAAGGGGCCATTTACAGTGTGTGCAGAACAATGGATTGGTTTGTGTTATGTTTTGAATTTGCTGTTAAAACAACAAACTAACCGAATACACAGCAGTCAACAAACAACTCTCTTTCCTGCAAGTTAAAATGGGATGTTTTTCCAGTGGAGTCTAGTGGTTTTGAAGGTGGTGACTTACCAGCTGTTTCTGCTCAAAAAAGAAAACATCTCGTATTTCACTAGTAATAAAAGCCTTTTGGTAATCAACGCTGATTAAACATATAAACTGTGCAAAACTCCTTGTAAGTAATCACACACCTGGACAGACTGTCGATGCGAACGCCGTGTTTGGTCTCTGTGTCTCTGGAGTCCATCTTGATGCTGAACTCCTTGTCAACTAGCATCACAAAAGAGATCGCACCAGAGTCCGGCTTCATGTAGAGCAGGAACGAGTCCTTCACTACCAGCCAGCTGCAAAAAAAAAAAAACAGAGGAAGAAAAATGTGAAAATTAAACTCTGACCAAATGAGAGCAGAAGTTGTCTTAAATCAAACTTCTGTAAACGTGTAAAAAAAAAATAATCCTGGAATCACAAAGTCTTCAAATAAACAGATTCCTGTATTTAAGTTTAAGGAAGTGCTTCTATTCTACCCTCAGCCGTAAAACCAGGACAAACAGATGCCCTATACAACTTTGAAAGTTAGTGTTTGTCTGTGTGTTTTCTTACCGTTTGGACCAATGGTAGCACATTTTACTGCGACCGCAGCAGTTCATCCCGGGAACACGATGACCGCCGGATCTCTTCTGCACCATCCCTTCTCTGAAAGACAAGAAAACATGTTGTGCATATCAGAAAAATAATAGTTCTACATATGCAAAAAGCTCTAATAAAGATGATGTTTACGATGTTAGGGACAAAGTTTTTTCTGGATGCAAACTAAAATTGTGTCAAACTTTGTCATAAAGAATGCAACGCTTTGGATGTCAAGGTGATTATTAAATGTGCTTTTGTCACCTAGATGTGCAAAAAGATTTTTGTGTTTTCAATGCTTATGAGTAATAGGTAAATACAATTAAAAATAACTGATATTGGGTTGTTCTTACAAGCCTTTTGGTCCCAGATCGTGGATAAAAGACAGTTGGCTAACATCAATGAACTCCATCTGAAAGAGAAAAAGTGTTTCCGATCAAAACAAAATCTGTAGCAAATATTTACACTGTTTTTCAGAACTTTATTGTCATTTATCTAGTCAATTTTCAGGCATTTTCTAGATATTAAGTACCACCCTTACCGTTGCATGGTAGTTTCTGTACATTGGCACCTTCAGCAGGTTATTCAAGTAATCTTCTAGTTGTTTCTGTAACAAACACATCAGAGTACTATAGTCAAGCCAGCATTATCAAATTCGATAATCCATCAACTATTAACGAGTATAAAAGCAAGAGAGGCGTAAATGAAAGCTGAGTTACCCTGCGACTGGAAACCTGCTCCTCTCTGCCCAGCTCATCTCCTCTTCCTCGGTGCAGGGTGGGCATGTGTCTCACCCCCTCTGCTGCCGACTGCCTCTTCACTGTGTGACTGCAAAAAGAAATGACAAAAAAAAAAGACAAGTGGTTGTTATTTCAAATACCAAAGATGAAGGCAACCTGTGCAACAACTATTGCAACTTTCTTGGTTGTTAAGGCCACTGAGTCAACACAAAGGATTGTCTGTTGAAGGCTAACTGTGTCCAACTTCAAGTTTCTGAGGCTCAACAGAACCATAACCTAAGCAATCCGGAGGAAGAATGGACAGGAAAAAGTCTTGAGTGTTAACCTGCGTGTGGGCAACGGGAGCTTCATGAACGTCTTGTATGTCCTGAGCTCTCTGTGCAGATCCATGAAGTGTTTCTCCTTCCTCTTCACCAGCCACGTGAACTCCCCGTGCTTCAACTCGATCTTAAACACCGCCGGCATCGACTGAGAAAAACAGAAACAGAGACACGGCATGCTTTAAATATTTAACGTTTCCTCATCTGGTGTTTCTAGTATTCAGTTATTTGCAACAGCTTTTAAAAATTAACAAAAACAGATCATTGCTGTTTCTTTCTTTTCTTAATTGCTTTAGAGAAGATATCTTTTCATAGTCAGAGCTAGGATAATGTAGCAACATCGGGCACCCTACAGTGACTCCAGGTAGAAAGTTTAAAGTTTGGTTGGAAGACAGAAAAGCAGCCATTAAACGTATCTCTTTATGGAGACTGACAACCAAGCCAATCTCAGGAGTTGCTGCTCTACCACTGCCTCCTTTGTTCGGTGTGTTTGTGTACATTTTGGTGCTGTGCCTGGTAAAATGACTGGTTTGTAAATGGACTCTGGAGGCTTTGAAGAAAAGCACTCTTACAGTTGTTTCTGTTTTAAAAACAAATCCAACCCTTTGACAATCAGGCTGTAGGGATCCTTTCTGTAATGTTGTCAGACACATAAAACATTGAAAATTGAGTCCAAGACTTTCTATTTTAAATCTCTCAAACTATGGCCCAGGTTTAATAATATCCAAATAACCCTTTAACATCAGCACATTAGCATCAAATATTGTAAGCATGTAAGCATGCTAACCAGAGACTGAGTTCACCTTGTTGATGCTCCTCTGCGTGGTGACGTTGAAGCGGTCCTGAGCAGAGGTGAAGCGCTCCACCTCCAGGATCTTAGCAGTGATCGGTGAAGACAGGAACACTTGGGCCCTGGACTCCTTAAAACCCACCGTCTTGTAGATTGCCGTGAAAGGTAAATGATCGGCTGCAGAAACAAACAAGCAGATACAAGAACTTACTCGAACTCATATTGTTATCATAAATTAAAAAAAGAGGTGAATAAACAGCTGGAAAAACCACACTCACCTGGAGTGGTGGTGTCGGTTGTGTCGTACTCTCCATCTTCCAGGTCCAGCTCGTGGGTGTCCAGCTTCTCCATGATGTCGGTCATATCATTAGCAACCAGCTGCAGGGTACTGGAGTTTGGGTCGGACTGCCGCAGCATGGTTAGCACTCAGACTGGAGCCCAGGGCTCACCTGGAGGGACAGGTAAAAAGGGGGGATTTTAAACCAAAGGTAGGGGATCCAACTTGAAAAAGATTCTTTCCTTTGAAGGATTGGGTCGTGTTGCAGGCACACAGTGGTGTAGTGCAGGGTATAGGCAGACAGTTTTAAAAAAAAAGCTTCTTACAAGATGATTCCACCATTGATTCTGAACTTTTCCTTCGATAAAACATCAGTATTCTGTTGTTTTAAAAATGAACAGGAACTTGTTTTCGTCGCATTTTTCATTTTCAAATAAAAGACCTAAATGAGTGTATTGTATTTGGAAGTTGAGAGAAAAAAACATATTTTGCAGTCGTCTCTTGTTTTTTTTTCTTGAGCTGTATTTGTCAGATAAATGTAAAGATGTAAAAGTATCGCAGATGTAGAAAGTGTCATTAAATAAAATATTGACGCAAAGCACAAGTACCTCAATTTTTATTTGACAACAGTAATGAATGACTGAATGTAATAAAAGTATAAATCTCCTCTCTATGATTAAACTCTGTTCATATCAGCTGAATGATTTCTTCACTCCTTTTGTCTCTTTTTTTTTTACATCCCCGACTCTCCAGCCTTTTTGTTCTCACTCTCTACCTCCTCCACCTTTTCCCTGCTTCTTTTTCTTCTTTAGCCGCTTAATCCGATCAACCTGCATCTCTTTCTCTCTCTGTCCGCAGCCTCAGATCACATCAGATCAGACACTAATCCAAACAGGATTACAGATCAGAGACAGACAGGAAGCAGAGGCCTTTTCAAAAACACATTCCTCTGAATGAAAACGTGTGTGTGCAGAGGGGAGAAAGTGAGTCACACTGTGAGTGTGTGTTTATGGATGAAAGGATCGACTGCAGGGTTCCCACATGAACTGACCACAAAACATGAAAGTGACACCAAACTGTGTGTGTTGATGAAACAGAGACAGACACAACAACTGGACGATTTCACCTGAACTCCCAGGATAAAGAACTTAATCTGTTATTGATGATTCAGTCAGTTAAACCCTTGAGCCAATCAGAAACAAGCAGATGCAGGTGCTTGGAAAGTTTTGTGCAAACTCCCTCGGTCTCAGTCGGAGGTTTTTATTTGAAAAGTGGAAACACAATGCTGTAATGTCTCATAAGATTTATATAGCTGCAGAATCACCAAAACACACAGGACTCATACTCTGAATAAAGAGGAGTACAGTCATTCAGAGATCCAAAACCTCTTGAAAGTTTCGAAAAGTGTGCGTCTTGATGAAAAAGTATGTTTTAGTTCCACTGAAACTTAAACTGAGGTTTAATTGCGGTCTGTCTGCTCTCACTTCCCTTTCCTCATGACTCCACCACAAACCCCTTTGGTCAGACAATCTGTCCCACATTTATTGAAAAACTAAACAGGTCTGAACACTGTAAAGGCAAACAAGTCTCAATCAGCAGCCATCAGTCCAGTTGTTGTCCTCAAGAAAGACCCTGACCTGACACACCCTCACCAAAACACACACACTGTGCTCAGAGATGTACCTTGTTGTTTCCCTCGTTGAAGCAGAACACGTAACCATTTCGAACAACTAAGTTAAAATTGAAAAGTTAAAGTGAATCTAGCATTCAGGTTGAATTGTCCCCCACCCATTTTCTGAGATCTCCTAATGGCCATGTAGGTTCAGCGTTGTCACAAGCTGGAACTTGCTTGTACAGAGACTAGCTCTGTTGAAAGTAGCACTGCCGTTTGGGCTATGATGTCCATATGGTAGGGGAGGTAAGATGGTATGGTCGGGTAGGTGTTGTGGGAAGGTGAAGGGAGGTTTCCACTTAACAACACCTGTGATGCTCTTTTTTCTGATCGGTTTACACGGTTGGGTTGTGGGGGCCAGACTACCTGGAGCTTGCATAAACAGTGCCTGGGTCTGTTGAAGGTGGCAGTGCTGCTTGGGTTTCAGTGGCAACTAAGGGACATAGGGTATAGGTAACTTATCAGAGGGGCATGATTGGGATGAGGGTTTCTTCACTGAGCACTTATCCTTTCATTAGGGCATAAGGATCTTGTTTTTATTTCAAATTAAGAAAGACATATAAACTGTATTGTTTGCCTGAGTTTTTTCGGGTATCCGCTCTGCCTCTGATCAACCATCACCAAAAAATACACTCTTTATTTGGTTGCCGTTCACCTTTAGCGTTTACACACACCTCACATTCATCAAAAGTCTTGAGGTACAAACTGAAACAACGAGATGCAAATGCTATAACCTTTACTCCACCGCCATGGCTCCACATTTGGTTGCACAATCCAAACACAAACACTGCACACTGTGCAGAGTGTCGGTAGTATGCAAACCAAACACAGCACTGAGATCCTGTGTGTGTCGGTTAGCCTCTGTGTGACTGTTGAATGAGGTAAATGTGTGTTAAATGCATCTCTGAGGTGTGTCTGCAGACATCTAGCAGAAGCTGCTGGATGAACCAGGAATTCAGAAATAACTGAAAACCTGCAGGAATGAATGCAAAGTAAGAAATACAGGATCAGCAGGTTCAAACTGAGCAGAAAAGTGAGATTATACAGATTCAATTTAAGCAGCTATGGGGTGTGATGTGTTAACAGACAGGCTCTGCTTCAGGTAGGCTACTTATTAAAACGTCCACATTCACTTTCATGTCTTTAGTCAATGAAGGGAACATGTCGTCATCACTAAAACAAACAACAAAGAGCCTGTTCATCAGGCTTATTTAGGTATAGACCCTGGTGCTGAACAGGTTGATGCATTAGCATCTGTATAAAAACTGTTTAGTGTATATTTTGTTTTTCTTAACAGAGACATCTTTGTGTTCTGCCCAGCAACTACAGATGTAAATTAGCTCATTAGGCCCCTGTCAAAATCAACAAGTAAACAAAATACAGTAGAACATATCAGACTTTACTCAGTAAATAATTATACTCACATAAGAGACATGAGATGTTAAATTATGAAGAGAGTAATAATAAGAAAATGATGAACTTGTACATCCCTCTTCCCTAACATCTAATCCACTAATAATTGATATAAAGGTTAAAAAGTTCAACATAGCGCTAGAAATTAGGTTTTTATGATACCACCATTTTTAAACTTCCATATGATTCTATTCAAAAGCCAACTATAGCGATACCTGTTTGGATACCACAAGAACAAAATTACAAGTCCAAGACCCCCAATTTTGAGCAACTTCTTGTTTTTAACTGTTAAAAAAATGCAGCAGCACTTTGTTTGTATTGCACAAAGATGTTGGTGTTGAAATGTACAGTCTCCTCCTCTGCTCCCCGTCGGTTTGTAAGAGACATAAATGTAACTTTGTCGTCTTTATGGGACATGAAAAGGACTCGAGAAATGTCAGTATGTGTAAGTATCTGACGAACTGACCACACACCTCTCTCTCTCACTGGTGGAGACTTTATTGTAAAAACATGACAGAAGATCTTTCAAAGCTTTGGTACTTTACAATGCATCATTACAATTCTGAGATTGTGTTGTTTTAAAACATGTGGTATTGAAAAAGTAATGAAGTATCATAAATGTTGACAACCCTCTATATCACATTTTAAGGATATGACTCTCTTGAAATATAATTTACTTCATATTTTTGTCTTTAAGTCATCAGTTAAAAAAAATATTGAGATATTGTAAAGGTATCTGGTTCATGAACATTATGGTTGGAGATAGTGGAGATTATAATAAATGTAACTAAAGTATAACTTTATTCTATCTAGTTTCCCAAAAAAGAAGAAAGACTAAAGTCTGCTGTCTCGTTTGCATTTATGGCCTTCGTGTTTTTTCTTTGTTCTGGGTATTTGTTGACCATTAACAAACCCGTTTTGTGGTTTAGCCATGAAGGTAAATGTGTCAAAGTTTCTGTTTACATTCAGTGTTTGTAACCTCACAGCAGTGTGTGTTTCCATGAAGGCCGTCAAACATGTCTAATGTATGTATTTCAACATGTTCTGTGAATGTTCTCCAGTTATTTAAAAACCGGATTTTTTTTCCTCCATGTTTACACGGAGGGGCTCTTCTTCTTCATGCCTTTTGCTGGTGCATTGTGGATTAAAGATATATGAATTTAATTTATTTTAGATATCTAACTAGTTCTAGTGGTGATCACCATTTGTCATTTTTGTAGTTTGCATTGATTTCTGCATTTTATGTTGTATTTGAGCTGATAGGAAAATCAGCTTTACAAAGACTCCTTTCTAGTTCAGGATATTTTCGGAGGAGGCAACCTGAGTTCAATCTAAACTGGAGGCTGTTGGAATCACAAAATATATATTTTAATATGATTAATGTTGGGATTGTTTGGCACATGTGTCTGTGTATTATGCCCGGCCGCATTGAGCACTTACACTAATTGGGAACAGTGTGGACCATCGCCCCCCCCCCCCCCCCCCAACTGCATCACTCAGCAGCCAGGTGGCAGGCTGATGAGTCCTCTCACACACACCAGCACGCACACACACACACACACACACACACACACACACACAGAAGAGACACATACAACAATTTTCCCTCCCTCTCTGATATTTTGTGCAGGTTGAAAGCACTCACTGGCAATGCAGAGATTAATTATAGTCACTTCACAGGTAAAAATACAAATGAGTTGTTCTGCTTCTGTAACTGGATCAGATAACTTTGTAAAACCTTACAGGTGAAACAGGTTCTCGTGCCAGTGTCAAATACCAAGGAAGACATCTGAGTCAGAGAGATCCCCACACAGAAAGTATGAAAGACTCAGTTCATCCTCTGCATCATCATCTGCATGAATCTCAGCGTAATTAATCAGGTAATGAAAGGTGACGCACAAAAAAAACGAGACCAAAATAACCATGAAATAAAAGTGTGTGATCTCACACTCCCTGGATTTGTTAGTTGTAGGGGGTTATTTTTACTGTGTGCAACACAAATATTCTGTGAAGTCAGTATAACGACACTCTGATAGAAGCAGATAAAGAAAGTAGCTCCTGTGTGTGTGTGTGTGTGTGTGTGTGTGTGTGTGTGTGTGTGTGTGTGTGTGTGTGTGTGAGTCTGGTTAGTAAGAACGTTCACTAAACGTTTTTTGGTTTTTTTTTGTCAGTGACAGGCTCAGATTGTTGTTGTAAGTGCCCGATACCATTACAGATAGACTTCTTACAGGTATAAACCTTTTCGATGATTTATTCAAACCAGAAACAGATACTCGTTTTAGGGCCACCAAACCAAAAACTGACACTGACCTTTGATATTCAACTCAATACCATGTGTTTTTAAACAATACAATCTCTCGAGGATAGTATCGAAAAGTACCGAAGCTTTTACAAACTATATCTATTGCATTATACAGGAGTTTAGGAGAGGAAGGAATCCATCATAAATTGCAAGAAAAACTCCACTACAGAAAGTCTATCTTGCACAAATACATTGTGTTATACAATCCACAATACAATACACACTAAACTATACAATGTTTAGTTTTTGTGTAATTCAGACATTGTGTTGAGAGTTTGCATGCAGTTTTTTGGAAACTGAAAACAAGAACTTTCAAATCAGGTGCCTAGTACTTCTATTTCTGTTGCCCAGTATCAATAGTACCAAGTTTAAAATTCTGGTGTTGTGAGTGAACCCTATAACACACACACACACACACACACACACACACACACACACTTAGAGTCTGCTTGGAAACTGGAAACCTCCAACTGGCTGGAGAACACTGTATTATACAATAGCAGGAGGAGCACGAATATACTTTACTTGCACACAAACACACACAAACACACACACTTCACAGAGCACACACTGACCTGAGCCCACGGAGGCTGAGGGAAGCCCATCATCATCCTCACCATCATCACCATGTCCTCACTTCTCTAAACTCTTCCTCCGTCAGGAAACAAAGTAACTGAAGACGCTTTTTTAAATTGACTCACACACACTCTCTACAACACACACACACACACACACACACACACACACACACACACACACACACACACTGTCTCACACATCCACAGACACACACACAGCCCAGGCAGACAGTCTAGCTGGTGAGGAGCAGAGTGCAGCCGGGACACAGACAGAAGAGGGGAGAATCAGTCTGACCAGACACAGAGAGCAGAGAGGAGACGTGATTGGCTGGAGGGACATTCAAGGAGTTCAAAGAAAGCCAATGAGAAAAGAGGGCGGGACCTACTGTTTGAGGCACCTGTCTGTATTAAAGGGACTATGTGCCTTTAAAGGAACTTCCATCAACTTTTAACTCATCGTCGTTTCAGTCACACATTTTGGTTAATCAAGTAATCTATTGAGTCAAGCAGAAAAAAGAATATTATCATAAAATGGGAGAACATAACATTTGAGTCAAGGCAAGTTTATAATATCACATTTTAAAAAGCCTCAGCTGACCAAAGAGCTTTACAGACGGCATAATAAAGCAGATAGGCAAATAAAGACAATTTTCTTTAATAGAAATCACAGACAAAAAAAAAATGTGTGACTATATTTTAAACTTTAACTGGTCAGGTTGATGAATATAGAGGGAGGGGGGTGGACCTCTGATAATTAAAAAAAATGAAGCTACTGCGCAAGTGCAAAAACTCTGCAGTTCCTTGAGAGTCTATAGAGACCGGCTGCAAAAAATCAAGGAATCCCCATTAGGACCCATATTAAAACGTCCATTTCTTCTGCAGACAAAAACGTGTTAACAGACTGGTACAATAACAGTTTTCGTCTAGCTCATTTCTTTATTCGTTACGAGTTTACAGGGGGTGAATCTTCTTAATACCTCATCTGTTTTGATTGATATTAAGGCTAAGCATTAAACATAGGCTACATCTGCATTATTGGGGGCATTGCCTGGTTTACTGACAGGTGGGCGTGTTATAGCTTTCAGGAGGCTTAAGGCCTGTCTAGATCCATCCAAAGTAAGCTGCAATCAGCATTTCCAACATAGAGACCCCCATCATTGGGCTTCATAACACCTCGTCAGACGTCACTGAGACTATGTCAGTCTATGTTTTAATGAATTAGGAAATGGTTGTGAACTGCCTCCTGGACCCCATCTTCACTGGGCACTTTAGCATACTGATCACTGACACTTCAAAACATGAAGCCGAACCTTATCTTCTAGAAGAGTATCTAATAAAATGATTTTTTTTTTTATTGTATTGTGAAGTGCTTGGAAAGATTGATACCATTCAAATCTGTATGATGAGCATGACGCTACAGCCAGCTGCTGGTTAGCCAACAGCTAGTTTGGCTCTGACTAAATTAACAGTTTTCTTACTTTAGGTCACTCAATTACACATTTTCTCATGTCTGTGTAACATGCTTCCATTGTTTTGGCCACATTTTTTTTTTTAATTTCCTTTGACTGGCTGCTTTGTTTCAGACCAAATCCAGCTAACTGAAGTGTCCTGCAGCTCATTGTTGAAGTTCTGGTCGCTCGTACATGTCAGAGAGAAATGAGAACATGCACGAGGGGATGAAGGCAGCACAAGAATGCAATCAGCCCAATGTTCATGACACACACCTGTACAGGTTGAATGTTTAAGTGAGTAAAGGTTGTTTTAGAAACAGGCTGAACCAGTGAGTGAGTTATGACGCTAGACGACAGAGCAGCCCTGCCCTGAGACCAACGGGCCGCCGTGACTCATTGTTGACATTCCAGACAGGGATCAAGCAGTCAGACTCCCACACATGTGTGAGAACATGTGTGAACACACACACACAGACACACAAATGGATACACAAAAGATTTTTACAATATTAGCTGAATAGGAAAAAAACGGGCAGAAAAGAATAGACTAGAGTTGTACAGTATGGTACAGCATGGTACAGTAAATTGCAGCATTTCTCGATGGAGTTTGGTTGACCAAATTCTTAAAAATACTCATCCATGCACTCAATAAACTTATTTCCTTTCTTCATTTCCTTACAATGTCATATTAATAATTAATCCAATAAATGACCAAATCCTGGCCACACATCCGACTTAATATTCTCACTTCATCTCTTCTGTGCTTCCAACCCAAGTGACGTGCTCCAAACTTAAAAGATAAGTAGTCAAGAGGGAAAAGAATGTTTCATGAAAGGCTTAAGCTCATGGCACACCAATCAGACACCCTCCTTAAAAAGAAAACACACTGAGAAGAAGGATGTTAAAGTGTGAAACGGATTGAGGAATTTTAAATATAAGCAGTTGACTAAACTTAAAAAGTAAAACAGACAGTTTTTAAAACTACATCTCAAAAAAGATGACAGACACTACCGCTGCAATATCAAGTTCATAAGCAGGGCTGTGCACTTGTCCAAAGACTTAATCATAACGATTACCCTGTCCACGATTTGATTTGATCTGCTCTTATGTTGTTCATTATAATGATGCATCACGATGGTTTGCATCCTCACTTTTATATATTACTGCACATGGCGACTTTTTAACAAATGAAGACGAGCAGCCAAATAACAAAGCACTTTAGAAGTCAATGTCAACATGAATGTCTTTACATTGTAAACCAAAATAAATTCATTATATAGGTCCAGCCACAGCAAGAAAATCTACAAGCAACGTAACTACGCACACCCAAAGTATCAAGATGTCATTAAACAAAAGAAAGAGCGTCTAAAAAACATCATGAGCAACAGCTGGTTTATGAGACAACAAAATACGAGTGTAAAAGATCACAATGTACAGCAGATGATTATGGAAATGTCAGTAGTTTTGCAGGTATTAAGGAACAATCCAAAGAGTTGGGCACTGTAATATTTTTCCCTGATGATTGCGATAGATGCCACATTGCAGGGTTACCAAATTTGCTTGCAAAAGTCAGCCTCCACAGGAAGCATTTCACCACTAAACAAACTTTAAAGTTATGGCGGTCAACAGATCTATTTTGACTCTTTATGAACGAGCTGAGCGCCGCCAACACTTTGAATATTTTGTAGAGAATTTCTCTAAAAAGCAGATCTCAAAACAACAAGCCCTAAAACGAAATCACACGCTGTTTAAGTAGCTGTTAATGCATCTACTTAACAACACAACAAAAAAAACACTTTCTTTAATACGAGGTGCATCTATGTCCTATACAGAGAGAGTTGTGGAGGCCATTCCCTGCTCCTGATCAATAAAGTGCATTAGCTCGCCTTTGTAAAGCTGTTCATTAACAGGCTGTTGTCTCCGCCATTATTCTTAACTGTCGTCTTAATGTTTGTTCCTGGATAATCTCAGAGAGCTCAGTGTCTGTGCAGAGAGGCAGTTTTCCTCTACTTTACCCTGTGGAATAAATCTTACCGCAGCTCCAGGATATCAAACTAATTGAACAGAGATTCTTGAGATTTTATTGTTGATTTTTTTGGTGTTGTTTACACCAAAATGCTAGACATTTAGATTCCGGTTAGATTTTTTAATAAAGAGCATAACGACAGTCTGAAACAATTGAGAGATGAGATAATTCTCCTGCAGGACAAATAGGATTTGATGACATTACTTCAGCATGGCAGTGCCAACATGAGGCGGGGGGAAACCTTAACAATGTCAGTCAAAACCCCTACAAATCACATATCTGTTGACCTGACTCAATTCAAAGTCACTTCTTAAGTTTCTGTTTATGTCAGGTGAGTTATTTTTACAGTTTATGATCTGAACCCACTGCCTGATACTGCCACCTGCTGGTCAGCTCTGTCAACTGCATAAACTCCATAAACTATTTCCTTTGGATTAAAACACAATATGATTTCACACATAATGCTTCTCATGGAAACAAAAACTAAGCAATCGTTTTAACTGCAGCAAAACACTGACACATATTACTAAAGAAGCTTTTGAAAGTTTAAGTGAAAGTCATAAATAATTCATGTTTGTCTTTTGCTGCAGAAAAAAAAAGAGTTGTTGCTGCAACTACGATGATGTTTTACATATGAACGCATCATCTCAATGCCCTTCACTCTATGGATGGAGCCCTGCTTTGTCCACAGACTAAATCAATTGTCTGTTGTTCATTATTATAAGGCAATATTTAACCTGCTTCATACTTTTGTAATTTTATTCGTTTGAAAAATGCTGGACGCTATACAGTCTTCACTCTGTGACCCAGTCACAAAACATATTTCTTTCTATCTGTTCCTATTTGTTTTTCATTCTAATTCAACTTTATTAATTATCTATAAACCAAATAGATTCATGTGTAACCAAAAAGATGATGAAAATGGAAAAACTAGTGAATATTATGTCGTTGTTGAAACTGAAAAAAAAAAACTTTAAGTCTAAATAAAGAAATAAAGTAGACTGAGGGTGTTGGAGGACGATGCATCAGGTTGCAGATGATTTGCCTGGTGACTTTCGGTGAACAACGATATGTTGACCTGCGTTTTTGTAATGATTTCTGTGATGTCTGTAACTTTGTTTATCTGCTGCCGATCTTGACCAGAATACTCTTGTAAAAGAGATTCCTAATCTCAAAGAGGATTTCCTGGTTGATAAATTATATCAACTTTCATATGCCCACCATTCTTGACAGGCTGGTTGTCCTCTACATGAAGCTAAAGGCACCTTTTATGAAATGCACAAAAGGGGATTTTTATCATAAATCTGAAGAGACTTTATTCAGAAACAAATAATCCATCCAACATATTAAAGAAATTTACAGTAAAATTAGTAAATCAGTCTTTTTGTGTCTCTTTCTGTCTTTAAGTCGGGGGTCCTGCTCTTCTAAAGGATGAAATAGAGGCTGGAGGGATTTTACATTATTGTACCCAGAGGTCTGTTTTCTCACAACTCATCCCTGTGTGGTGTTTAAGTTGTTTTTTAGCAACATGGGGTGATTTGATGAATGCAAACTGACATCATCCATGTCATGCGACAGACGGCAAGCTTGCAGCACACTTCTTCTTTCTTGCACTGTAAATGTGTGTAATATTGTGTGTATGTGTGTGTGTGTGTGTGTGTGTGTGTGTGTATTATTGCATGTGTGAAACTGGTCAGGCAACAGAAAATACAGTGACAGTGTTTCTTTACAGAGGCTTAAAACTCGTCTTCTTGTTTTGCACAGTGCAGGAAGTGTCCTGTTTTTAAATCAGATGATTGCAATCTCCT